GTTCTGTATGCATAAAAAAACGGTGAATGACTAGATAGCCTATCTAAATAAACTAATGATGTCGCTTTCTGTTTTACTCAAGATCTTGTGAGAAGATAATAGTAAAAGAAATCGTTGCCATAATCTTGCTAAGATCTTAGGTACAGATTTATCAGATAGGACAAGATCTGAACAAGCGAATTATCTTTTAAAGATCTTGATAAGATCTTACCTACCAATCCCAAGATTTCAAGATGTTACTTACAAGATGTTTCACTAGGGTATACCCAAGAGAAGAACCTGTCAGATTCCGTACCAATGTACTGAACTTAAAAATGGTTTCGTGACAAAATACTAAACCTTTACAGTTTCGTATAAATCCTGTAGAAAATCGTTAGAGTTTAGTACGAAACCCTGGGGATTCAATACAACATTGTAAAGGTTTTGTGTTTTGTTACGAAACCCTTTTTAAGTTCGGTAGTACAAAAAACGTTTGCCAGGAGAAGGTTCAGAGAGTGTGTCGAGTTAAAGAACCATTCAAAGTTCTGTAAAATTGAAGAGTTGTTATTTCGTCATTACGAGTCATTTGGATGCTAACAGAAATCTACCAAATATGTTTTTGGGGTTTCGAAAAATATCTTTTCTTTTAGTGTATATATATATATATATATACTCTAACTGTAACCCTTCTATTCAGCCAGGAATCCGATACGATCTGTCCTAATCTCCTTAGGGCCTTATTAATAGATCTCAACTCAGGTCGAAGAAAGCAATCCGTAAACGGCCTTATACGTCGTAATAACGGTGTAAAACTTTAAAAAACGACGACGTAATCTGTCATACCTGATTAAAATGTTAGAACCGGCGGATAGCGATGACCTTCTTCTAATTAAAAAACGAATTTCAAAAAGAACTGACAGATTCAGACGAAATTGGGTGAAAAATGATAGAAAGAAGCATACCATGATTCGGATTTCGTCCATTCTGAAGGGACTCATTGAATTGCCTAAGGCATCTTAATTGGATTAGAGTCAAAAATAAAAAAGGAACTGTTTTTAAAAGTAAATTATTCATTTTATTTACTTTAGACACCTAGTGATGAGCCACTACCAGGTTATTTATCATTGCATCTCAGTTATCGTGGTTTAACATTAAAATGGATGCCAAACCAACTTATGAATGGTTATACTGAAAGTACAAAAACATCATAAAATAGTTCACAAGGAACAACGGAATCTGAACCACGTCATACAATAGAATCTACAAAACAGTTTGAGTTTGCTTTTAGTTGTTTTTTATGAATAACTAATTTTTTTTTGAATTAGTGTTTATTGAAATTATGCAATATCACTAAATATGTTTTCAATTGTTTATCTTCATTGTCATCAATATGGTTAGAAGGAAAACATTATTTTTACTTTTATTTTGTTTCCTTTTTATTCATAGTTGGTGGTGATAGTATTTTACTTGTTGATCACGATGATGTACAATATCCTCCATTTCATATAAAAGATAAAGGTGGGCATTTATTAGCATTTCTTACTTGTTTAAAAAGTTGTCTTGCACCAAATGGTCTACTTGATCCACCGTTAGTAAATGAACCGGAACAAGGTTAGTTGAATTGTTTAATATGTTGATACACAATAGATAAAGAGTCTGAATCCAATAAATTGATTTGAAATTTTAAAAAAAGCAAAAGAATTTCAATATGATGAAGCTGTTCTCTTAATATTATCGATGTCCCATATACAAATGATATTTCGTCATAGTTACTGATTGAAAATTCTTTTAGCAAATACTATTGAAATTTTACTGTTAGAGAGTACTCTAACAAGTTATTAATTTATTCTTATACGTTCTTGTTTCGTCTTTATGCGTTGTGTTTCTTATATGTGCAATCCAACTCGAGATGCACATACATCAACTGTTCTTTTTCATTCTTCCCAGGTTGATCAAAACGGACTCGTTTACGGTCTGTTTATCGACGGTAAACGATGTCAAAACGGTATATTTACGTCAGTAAATAGGCTGTATTTGCNAATTCCTCAGCTATGAGGAACATGGGTATTCATTTTAGTATCCATTTTAGATATCCACTTGAATGGATATCGTGACTGGTATGTCGACGATACCCAGTGTTAGGATATTATGACATCTCTGACTGTTTGACCTGAGTTTCTTTCCTCTCTTCGTATCTCTCTATTGTCTTCTTTCCTCCCGTGCGTGACGATGTAAACATCGATTCTTCGACTAGAATTCAAGTGCGTTTATAGAATGATGCACCATCATTTTTATACACAAAATAGTCTAGTCGAAATCTACAAATGACTTTTCTTCCTTTGTTTCTTCTTCTCTCTCTCTCTCTCTCTCTCTCTCTCTTGTGTGTGTGTACTGTACAGTATAAATAGGAAAAAAAACATAATAATAAAAGAGATTATATTCGATAAGATTAAGGCTATGATTCAGATTAGGAATCGAAAATAGGAAGTTTGCTGTTGATTGGTTAAAGAGAAACGTAAGTTTCTATTTTGTGAATTGATTTAAGTTACAGCGGGGTCTCTGTAACATTTACAGAGAATTAATAAATTTATTTCCTCTACTGAGATGAGGGCCTTACGCTGAGAAGATAGGGGTGCACCAATTCCGATTCGAGTCAATTCAATTCCTAAAATTGGTCGGAATTGCTTGGAATTGGTCTGCAATCGGTATAGAATTAACTGAAATTGATGGTACAATTGTTTATTCTTGACTATCCAGTCAGACAAACTATGAAAAATAATGTGTAAAAACGAGTCGGAATTTTAACGAGAAAAAATCGTAAAAATGTGCGGTTTTAACGATTTTTTTTCGTTAAAATTCCGACGAGCTTTCACGTGTTTGTTTACTGAAACAATAAACCTTATAAGAGTTTAGAAAAAGAATAACCCTTCCACAGACCCTTAGAAAGGGTTTAGGGATTGCCTATAAAAAACTGATTGATGATCAAGATCAATTTTTACGCTTATCTGTTCTACCTGACAGTATTTCCCCTCAGATAACAACAATGAACTTGAGGAACAGATGCTGTGATCGCTTACACCTGTGCATGTTCTTCTAAAGAGTAGTGAATTTGAATTCACTTGAATGAAACTCCGCAGAAAAGTTTAGACAGCCAAATAAGTTTCCATTTGACACATACTAACCTATCCCGTGGAGATTCGTTCGAATTCGAATCAGTTTGGATTCACTATTCTTTAAAAAAATATTCGCAGTTGTAAACCATGACACCGCCAGTTCTTCAAGTGCATTATTGTTACATGAAGGAAAACGCTGTGAGGTAGAATTACTATCTTCAGTCAGTTTTCAACGCTGGTTTCCATATTCAGTTGCGATGAATCTAAAAAGAAAAAGAGAAACCATTATTATGAAAATTTTCATACTTACAGTATTTTGAATTTGATGTTGAACTGAATAAAGAAAACATGTAGATATATAGGTATATTTATATTTATATAAATAAAGTATACTTACTTTGAACATGTTGTCCGGATCAATCTGAAAAGACAAAAAGAACTAATTATTATAAAAAAATTGATATTTACGTTGTTTTGAGTTTTATATTGAACGAAATGAAGAAAAAATATGTGTATGAATAGATGAGCGGAGGGTGTGGGTGTGGGTGGGCATCAATCTTCTCTGTACACGCACCCACACCCTCAAGAATGCTAAGAAGATGAACATCGTGACCAAAATGTCAATTGAAAAATAGTTACGAGCATCATTTCTTCCGTTTTTTTTTCTTATAGTGGGATAATCGTCGAGCTCATGTACGTTGGACTCACAAAAGGGATGTTGCAAAAGAACCTAGTTTATCGTCTCCAGTGGAAATGAAAGTTGCTGCTGTACAAACTCCACCTTCACTTGCAACTGATCAGCTATCAAATCGTCTAGCAACATTTCGAAGATCCTTAATTCAACCATTTATTAGCATTGACTGCAGTATGGATAGTGAAACGGAGTCATTATCCGAGTAATATATATGTTGATATGTTTTGATTGTATTTAAGTATAAATTATATGAATTTTTTTAAACTTATATTAAATTATTCACGCATTTTTCGAAAAAAATACTGTTGTCATGCGATGTTGGCAGTTAAGTTTACTGGAAAGAAAAGAATATTCAATATATTTCATGTTAGAATTCATTTAAAACTAACTTTATTCCCATCGGATAGAATTTGAGAGAAGTTCAGAATCTCAAGTAAAACATATTGAAGTTTGAGGATTTCGTGGAACTAATTTTTAGAGATTAGATTAACCATGCTGGATTTTTATAACGTAATATACAGTTAAGATAATTATTTAGTTTTCGAAGAATCTACATCATGATAGATAGATTTTGATAAGAAGTAGTGAAAAGAAAAGAAATAATAAATGAGTAAGCGGTTGATTATGAAAAAATTTGATTGATGCTTTTGAAGAAAATGGATCAATGTTTGCCGATACCGACGAAGTTGCATTAGTATATGCACCACTTGTCGTTATTCGAATCCAGTCTTGATAATAGGCTACACGAGTATAGACACCAGGATAATCTGCTCGCGCACAACCAATACCATAACTAGTCAAACCAACTAATACCCATTGATGACTTGTTGTAAACATCATCAGAGGACCGCCCGAGTCACCTTTGCATGTGTCTAAGAGAACAAAACTAGCATTACGAAAAGAAAAGGAAAACGATTGAATGAAATTTACCTTTCCCACCACCAGAAACACCAGCACAAAATTGTAGTTGTGGATTATTCAATAAAGAGCTACAAGTGGATGCTTGAGAATCAATTGTTTGAACGGTTACTTGTTGGAGAGTTGTTGATGTTGAGCCGCCTTCTTGTAAAGTACCCCATCCAATAGCTACAACCTATCAATGTATTATCGGTCATTGATACGTATATGAAACATAAAGTAAAAATAATAATTTATCTTACATATAAGCCAGAAGATGGCCATTCACCAACAGATAGTGTAGTCGAGCTTACCGCTGGAATACAGACCGCACTTATTAATGAACTTGACATTCTCAATGGAGTGCCAAGATGTATCAATGCAATATCATTTACCTTAGTTCTACTAACGTAACTTGGGTGTACTGTAATACTAGTCGCAACTCGAGATTGACCAGCAAATTTAGTGTTTGAACCAGCATAAACAGTTACTTGTGATGTTGAGACTCCACTCACACAATGAGCTGCTGTGAGAATCCATGAACTTGACAAAATAGACCCACCACATAATGAAATTCCACGTATAGAAATCGACACAGCCCAACCCCAAGTAGTTGCCCAAGCTGTTTCTCCGCCAGCGATTCGACTGATGTAGACTGAATTCAATGAGCATCCACATGCTGTATCTGAATCACATGTATAAATGTGTTGTTGGCTTGATCGAATGAAAACAAGTTGAAATACAGCATAAAATATAATCATAAGTTTGTTACATGCAAATTTCATTCTTGCTTTTGCGCTAATGATGATTATTTCTGTGCAACAGCATATAGATTCTTTTTTTTTAGTTGACGTCTGTAATGAATGCAGCTCGATGTTTAACTTGCAGCACCACAGAGTATTCAGAGTAGGGTGAAAATCGACAAGCTGTCTTCTGTCTGCGCACGTAGAATTTTTTTTCTTTCATAATACTTCCTTTGTAGGAACAACAACATACGTCAATGAGACATTTTTGTGCTTCAATTGATATTTACAAAATAAAATCGACCACAATCAAATGTGCTAGATAAACAAATGTGAATCAGATGGAAAATTATAATTAGAGGAATTTTCGAGATCAGCGGAAAAAACGAAAATGATTCACAGTATCGAACATTTAACTATGTAGTTCATAGAAAAACAGTATGAATAAGTTGTATTAATAATTTCAAATCTGCAAGCACAATATTATTAACAGAAAACAACTTTTGTGATTTTTCAGTCGAGAAAAGAATTCCTATTTCATTCATACGAGGAGCAAAAGCATGAAATTACAGTGCGATTTTTTCTTTCTCGTTAGGCGTGAATTGTTGTGCAACGCAACCAGCGACATCTTTCAACATACTTGTCGATGGTCACTTTGTTCCTAGGTTACCATTCCGGAGGGTGATCAATGGATTAAATTTGTGGTTCCTTCTTTGTCAATCATTGAACTGATCAATAATCAAGTCATGCACGATCCACAGCAAAATTCTTCTCGCCAATTAATCTCTATAACTCCTCGAAAGAAATCTGTTCGTTTTAATATAACATCTCCATCACCGCGAATTCCAAAATTATTGACTCAAAATGACTCCAACCATCAACATCATCCATTAAATATATCCTACACAATACCTTCAACAACGGTCAATATTGATCATGTAACAAATCAATCTCATATGCAACATTTAAATAATCATATTGAATATGTTCCAACAGCACGACGAAATAATTTACAAATAAATGGTGAAAAAATTCTTCCACCACCAAAAACACTTGATGAACTTCACCAATTTATGAAAACGAAAGCTGAAAGTCTTCGTAGAAATATGACAAATGTTACGACAACTTTTAATCATGCCAGTACACATTTAAATCATATTAAAGAAGGTTAAGATCTTAATCAATATTTTTATTTATTTTATTATTTATTATTTTCTTTAGAACAACAAACAGCACTTAAACGACCAAGTCGTATTCCTATTTCTACTCGGCATCGTTCACCTTCGCCAACAACTGTGATTTATAAAAAACCACAACATCGCTCACTGGAAGATTTACGTTGGTATTGTTTAGCAAGAAAATTCTCAATTTTATGGCAGAAAAAAATTTTCGGTTGCCATATTCGTCGAATAAAATCCTATTGCCAACAAAGATTACTTCAAAAGTATTTTCATCCATGGAAATATGTAATAAAAAATGATCCATACGAATTAATAGCTGTTCAATTTTATCATCAACAATTAATAAAAAATTATTTTCATGTATGGTTAAATTTTAATTCACTAACTCAATTAGCTGTTGAACATATTAATCATAAACGTATTACAAATACTTGGACAATGTGGAAATTACAATTACACAAACGACAATTACATCAACAACAATATGTTACTGCTAATAAACAATATAATAAAAAAATTCAATCTCATGTAAGGAGTTAAATTTTTGATTTAATGCAAATTTCCTTTTCATACAGTTTATATTAATGAGCTCGGTTTAATCATGTATATATGAAAAAATTTTCTAGCAGATGTGCTTTTTTTTGTTTAAGTTTTATTACATTTGGCAAATGAAAACATCTCAACGACGACAAGAAGTCGAAAAAAGTCTACGGTCCAATTATCATTATCGTATTCATTTACAAAGAATATGTTTCAATGCATGGGTAACCTATACTGAATATCGACGAAGGAAAAATATTCATAAAAGTATGAGAAGAAACATTTTCTCGCTGTTAAATTATTTTCTTTTGACACTGAATTCTATTAGAGCGTGTTCATGATTATTATCAAAAACGTTTGGCAGGAAAAATTTATGCGAAATGGAAAGAAGCATTAACAAGAAAATTTCTCATGCAACAACATCAACATCGTTTAGCTGAATTACAAGAAAGAGTGTTAATGAGATGGGCATTCGAACGATGGAAACTATGTTAGCATTGTCTTTGGGTTTTACAGGATTGTTTCTATCGATTATTTTTTTATTATAGATCTTCATGATTTGGCGGATGAACAGCGGACAATGCAAATGGCTGAACAGTATAGTGACCGACGCATTATGGTAATGAAAAACAATAGGCTATTTTAGGAAAAAGATCTATGAGCATGAGTTTCTTGGGGCCGAGCTCCTATCGGATATGATGAGAAACTTCATTGATTTTAGAATTTTTTTGCTTAGCGTTCGGCAATGGTCACACTCCATCAGTATGTCATTAAACGTCGAATGAAACAACGTTTCAATTGGATTGCTGTACAACATCGTGCTCAAATGGTATTCGAACTTTTCTTTTTGTCTTCGTGAACTATATTTTTTTTGTCTAGATAAAACGTATTCATTATCGAATATGGAAACATCGATTAGAACAACGTGAAAATATTTATATGCATGCTGAATATCAAAAGGCTGAATCGTTTTATCATATGAAAATTACGATTCGATATTGGTTTGGTTGGCGACGATATATTAATGATTGCCGACAAGAAAATGTAAAAACATAGAAATACATTCTTTCTCAAAGAAAACAAAATTTCTTCATTTCTGTTTTGAAGGCGCGACTTACTGCGGCTGATACATATTTTAATTTAAAAATAATACGCAAATATTTTAATCTTCTTCGTGCTAATATAACAGATGAACGTCATGAAAAATTACTTGAAAAACGTGCAGATGATTCTTATCGGTAGGAATATCTTTCTTGTTCTACTCTGAATTCAACATATTTTCATTGTTAAGTTTACGATACCTACGACTTTATTATGTGTATTGGCAAATGCAAACACGTATACGTGAACAGTATCAAATGAATTGGAGAATAGTAAATTATAATCGATTGCATTTCCATCTCTACTGATTTATTTTTTCTTTCATTGTAAGGCCATTGTTCATGAAGAACACAATATACGTCAAAGAATTTTCAATACATGGCTAGATCGAGCACATTCAAGATTAATTGATAATGAGCAAAATGTAAAAAAATAATTCAGAAAGAAAACAGACGGAACTATTGTCGCTTTTTTTATTTAAAGATTGTTGCTGAACGACATTATTTTCGAACAATAATTACTCAAGCTTGGCTATCATGGCGTCAAGTCATTGATGAACGACACAATGAAGAACGATCCGAACGGATTGCCATCCAATTTTATTTCCATACAATTCAACGACGTGCACTTATTGCATGGAAATTGGTAGAAAATTGATTTATTTCGATATTAAATTATTATCAACTTAACTTTTCTTCTTAGTATATTCGTCATTGTCATTATATGAAACAAATGTATCGTCAAGCTGAACAGTTTCATCTTCAACATCGTGGAAAAAGTATATTCTTTGAATGGTCGAACAAAGCAAGAAATCAACGACGATTAATGCGTCTTATAAATGAACGTTTCGAACGTAAACAACGAGTTATATTAAGGTATATGGTTGTAATTCTCGAAATAAGAAAATTACTTAGAAATTATTTTCAAATGCTAAATTCAGATCAACTTATTATAGATACTCGAGGAAAACTTGACGTCATTTCATTTTATTCAATTCTATTGCAATGAAGTTCACACTGAGGCAATATTTCTGAAAAGTAAATAGTGTACACTCTAGACGAGTCCTTCGGCTGTCAAATCTCGAATCAAGGTTTTTTCTGAGAGTAGGCATAGAGTTTTTAAACAAAAGGAAAAATTGAATAGATCCGAATTTAAAATTACTACATCATGTGGTGTCTCTTAATCATAAAATTTTCTCAGAAGACCGAAAAATTGACTACATGAAAAAATCCATCTGATTGAAATTATGCACATCGAGTGTTTCAATGAACATTTATGACTATTTATATGAAGTACATTCGAATAGATTACTGACATTTCATGTTTGAACATCCTTATCTGGGTTACTTGTGTTAGTTGACTCTTTGAATCAAACGCAACACTTATAAATGTCTTTATATAAAAGTAATGTTTAGATAAGATACCAACTAGATGAGGCAACAGTAACGACATCTATTGAGATCATGTAGATTCCAGTGAATTTCATAAAGCTATCATTCCTATATTTTTTTGAATTAGAAAATATTTTCGTCAATGGCGAGATAATGCTCAAGAAGAAAAGGACGATCGTGAATTAACTCAATATGCCATCGATCATTATAATCGTTCCTTGAAACGAAAGGTACTTCTTGGTTGGAACAACGAAATGATTCAACAAGTTTTGATTGATAATGAAAATCAAATGAAATTAAATAAATACCGAGAAGAAAAAAATCATTTTCATTTACAAGTTCTTTATGAAAAGTGGAAACAACGAACAAATAAATATTTACGTGATTGCTTTCTCAATCAACGTTCACAAGTATTTTATGAGAAAAAATTATTAAAAAATTATTTTTCCCAATGGAAAGAACAACATCATTTTAACATGCGAATTAAAGTAAATTTAAATAGAAAATTATGTTATTGTATTCATTTTCTATGAAAATAGTTACTTGAACGACAAGCTATGTGGTTCGATCGAATGCGTTTGATGAGTCGAATTTATCTTCAATGGAAACAAGCATTTCAATCAGAACAAAAATTAAGCGAACATAAACATCGTGCATTACTTTTTTGGGCTTTACAATTACAAAAAAACGTACTTTTCTTAAGCTCACTACTTAGATTTGCTTATAATTGTTCTGTTATTTAGTGTTTTCTAACATGGTTACTCTATGTCAGTGAACGGAAACGAAAAAAAACCCGCTATAATAAAGCAACTCATAAACGACATGATGAACTTGTTCGTAATTGTTTACGTCAATTTCTTACCTATACAGATCATACTAAACAAAGGCGGCAAGCTCTATTTATTCATCAACAAGTTTATGTATGTTGGTAAACAATAAGAAAATAATTAAATAATTTCTTTGTTTTAGTTATATCATGATCGAAATGCATTAGCGACGAAATATGTTTTGAAATGGCGAGCATTTGTACAAGAATCAATTGCGCGTAAACAACTAACACAACGTTTAGTTAAAAGAACAACAAATATTGTGCCGACACCTACTAATCCACTGGCTCTTGTAAAATTTGATAATAGTCCACCAAAGTAAATATTATAACAAAAAAAAAGATTCAATCCATTGTCTAGAATCGTTTCTTTGTATGCAGAGTTGCTTTTAAGTAATCACCGGAGCAAACTTACGAGGCAACCTATCCAACTGATAGATCACGTTTGAATCTGGATAATGTGCATCATATAGGTTCTCTTCAGGAGCACTTGGAAAGCCGAGTTTCGAATTTTGACCTGAAACATTGCATCGAGACAGGTCTCAATAAGAACCGTTTATTGTGAGTGCCAGATCGTTTGGTTGTTCCTATCCTAAAATAAAGTTATGGCGTTAGATCGCACTTATATATGGCCAGCTTCGATGTTCTTATTTCAGACTAGGAACAGTCAAGCGATCTGAAACTTTCACAGCAAACTATTCTCACCGTTTTCTTAGTGTTCCTGGGTGGAACCACGGTCTGCTGATTTAAAATATCGTAAAAATGCTACGTCTCGGCAATACTAAGCTACTGGCACGAAATCTATTCAGCATGTGTTCATAACTCATTAGGACCTGAATTATAGGCATTGTCTTGATTCAAAAATGATTTATCAGTTGGATATGTTCCCTCGTTAGTTAATATTTGTTCTATTAAGACATTTTGAAGGGTTCCCTATAATTGATGCGCTTCTGATAGAGAGTTCTGATTCATATAGTGGCATTTCTTTGCTAGTCTGTTGTGTATAAATTCAAATGTATCTTGTTTATTTTACTAGAATAACCAATCGACCACGACCACGAAAACCTGCATTTTTATCTGACTCATTTTCTACTTCCAATATAAATAAAACGTAAGATTTTATTCAACATAAATATTTTGAAAAATCTCGTATTCTAGAGAATCTGAAATGCCTACACTGAATGTTCAATCATCATCATCATCACCACCTCCTCTTCCTCCAACAATTGATCATTCTTTACATTCTCCATTTATTAGTGTTAAACAATCATCGGATACCCGAAAAGATACATCGTCACCGCCAGTACTTCTACCGCCATCAGCATTTCAAATAAATCCTAATGAAATAAAAATGCCATTATCATCTCGACGAACAATCGAAGATAAAATTCAAGTTTCTCATCGGCCATATTCAACTCAACCATCAAGCAGTACCCTAGTTAATAAAGATAATTTACTTCATGTTAAACAACGTTTAGAAATTTATCTTAATACAAAAGCTAAACTAAAGTAAATGGCGATCAAGTTAATTCACTCAGATTTTAAATTCAATACTATATTTTTAGGCGTCTTCGGCAAAAACTTGCAAATCTATCTTCGTTACAAATCGATAAAGAAGTAAAATAATATTTTTTGTTGCACACTTCATGCTTTCTCTTTCTATTTTTCTAGCTTGAGCAAGAATGCCAGCAGTTGGCTGCATTTATAGCTTCAGAAAAAATTCATTTGACTAGTATATTACAAAATCTATAATATTTTGATGTGCCTTTTTTCTTTTGTACCAAACTATTCCTACTTGTTTTTTTTTATATCATCAATAATGGATAGACTTTGACAAATAAATTGCATTGGGTTATTCATATAGAAAATACGAATGACTTTTTGTTTTCCACTTGAATCTTTATGATATAAATTTCAGTTTGTTTACTTTATCTTTTAGTTCGTGTGATTGAAATGTAAGATTAGCCTGTTCTAATATGCTCCTTGTACTGCTTTGTAGTGTTACTCGATAAAACTATCAGTTCTCTTTCAAGTTGGTTCATATTCAAACGAATTCACCAAGCTTATTGACATGCTTCAAAAGATATTAGAAAACGAAAAAAGATTACGGATGGGGCCGATGAAGAAATATAAGATAATGATATCGAAAAATATCGAGTCAATAAGTAAAGAAAAGATATTACATTTTTTGAAGACATGAGCAAAATGTATCTTGAGTGTGAAGGATTGTATGTTTTATATGACTAAAACATAAAAAACGAATTATTGTATGAAAATGATCATCCTATTTTGTAGAAACTATACTACCAAAATTCGTCTATCAATCTCGAACACAAATTTATTTATTATCATATAAAAATACTCCTGTAAGTATGACGCTTGAAAATTATACACATAGACGAAAAAGGCACCAATAAATATGTTCTGAGGGCTCTGCATGAACTGGATGCGTCAAATTTACACGTATTAATTTTGATTTTCATCAGTTTATCACCGAAGAATTTTATTTACGAAAGACAACGCTTTCAGTACTTGTTCTGAATCAAAAGAGTTAATCGTTTTTCTGTTGCATTTTTTTAGTCGGAAGAAAAAGAACAAGACTCATTTGATGTTGTTCTATTTTCCCTACACAATTCGTCACTTTAACGGCATGATTCTCGTTCGAAACAACAACATCAAATGTTGCATTCGATAAAGAGTCGAAACATCGCTGGAAATGTCACAATATATTGCAACTAATCATTCCCTATGTTAAAAGTAATTAGAAGCCAAGTTGAGAACCATTATCAAATTATTAAGGAAATTTTTACTCCAACAAATATAGAAAAACATTTCTTTCGATTTCAGTGAGTATTTACATCGACTGACGAATTTCATACAAATCATTTTTTATCTACTGTGGGGGTAAAGTGAATATACTGATAACATATGAAGGAAAGAATAGCGGTCGAAACTCTTCAAGTGTATTTTTAAGCCTGTATATCGTATCGTAACTCTTGATGAGCACGACCATGTCGCATATATTTTATCTAAAGATAAAGGCTTTATTAATATCGTATAGGGTGGACTAAGAACGTACTGTCCATAGGGTAAATATGTTCTCATAGAGTACTGAAAAAATGGACATTGACTCGAATAGATTTTTTCTAAGATTAACGAAAATTTATGAAATATTCGCAACTCTAAAAACGACTAAGGCTTTTATAATTACTAATTTATGAGCATTCGAAAACTCTTCCAGTAATCTTAATAAACAGATAGAGTCATACTATTTCTTTTCTGAATACAAATATAAATTCATTTTAGATCAAGATTTTTTCTGATATTATTGTTATATTTGCCATCATTGAATTAGTTTTTATACAGAGGAAATGGCAACAGTGGATGACTCAAGCGTATGCTCAGTCTGTAATAAACTTCCAGGCAAACGCTTCTGCATGGGATGTAAAAAATACTTTTGTTCGAAAGATTTCAAAGAACATGAAAAACAACTATCGATACAGTTCGATAATGAAATAGTACGATCTCATGATGAATTGCTGGATATGATTCAAAAATTAGAAAAACCGGATGATTTATCATCAGATGTTTTTGATCAAATTGATCAATGGAAAAAATTAACAATCAACAAGGTAAAACAAGCGGCCGAAAGAGCTCGTCATGAACTCATCGAATTGCTCGATAAACGGCGAGCAGCAGTAACAAAACAGTTAGAAGCAATAACAAAAGAAATTCGTAGTCATCGAGAGGAAGAAAATTTCCTTGAAGATGACATTGCTCGACTTCGAACGAAACTTAATGATATCCAAAAAGTACTTGGACAGTTCACTCGAAAAGATACAAAGAGAACTATCATAGCTACGAATGATCAAATTGATTGGGACCGAATTATTTACATAGCAAAAGGAGAAGAAATCGGTGAGTATATTTACTTTAAGACAGAAGAAACGATTACTCTGATCAATCAGTTAAATATGTATCTACTTCATTTATGAATAAAAACAACTTAGTGGATACATGAGTAGCATTTTGAGAGAAATACTCAAGCAGCTTTCATGATTTGCACAGTACACAGTTAGTTTTCTCCCAAATTAAAAGATGCTTAGCATTTTTAAAACCTTTTTTCGATGTCAAACAGCAGCTGTTTTTAGATCTAGCACCACAATACAGCCAAAACGGCTAACGGTCAACCAACATGATTGAAGTAGAAGCTGTTTTGTTTTCAAAACAAACTATACCATCTTGTAAAACACAACTTTCTGTATAAGAAACTCTATTTTGATTGGTTCGACAGCATAAGTAAGACTGGAAAATATGACTGAAACTGATTACTGGTCACCAGGGTCTAGGCTTGATTTGGAAGTGCTTCTCAAAATGTAAATGAGAGACACGGAAAGAAAAGAGTAAACATGAAGTGTCATGTAGCATTTTGTAGAAAAATGTTCCGACTTTCTTTATGGCTACATCGAATTTTTCCAGATCGATGTTCTGTTTAGAAAAAATGAACTAAAAACCTTCATGTTTTTCATGTCTGTGCGTTACCAAAAGGGCTCTTAGTTTATCGCATCATGAGATTAAAACAGTTTTCTTAATTTTGATCAATGGCCTACCGTCAACTTTTTACGGGCTATCCGATGAGCCAATTGGTTTCTCTTCATCTCTTTTCTTTGACTCTGAAAATTGGGTAACACACAGACATTTTTCCTGTTGTCACTCAACATAATCAATATGCACCTCGTAAAACTTCATATTCTACTATGAATTACTTTTTTCGAATGAATACATGGGTAATTTGATGTGCTCTACACAATGGTATCCTCAGAATTATCTGGATCGAAAATCTTCGATTGGTCTTTTTTGAGTCTGATATTCAAATTTCCAACTCAAACGTGAGTTTCAAGCAAAATAAACTTTTGAATCATGATCAGTGTATCCGATTACCCATGATCAACTATTTTTAATAAATAAATAGTTTGATTGATATAAAATTCGCCCGAAACAGACATTTTTCTAAAAAAATGTGTCTGTGCGTTACCAAAATGTCTGTGTGTTACTTCCAATTTTGTCAATAGCTCGCTCATTTTTCAAATTAATTATATTTTCTCTTCACCAAAAGATACTTCTACTTCTGAGCTACAAAATGCTCTGTCACAATATTCATTAACACAGCGTAGTTCGCAGCATTTATCACTTCTCTCGCATCTACTGAGAACGAAGGACCTTTTTTGTCTGTGTGTTACCGACCAGTATTTCACCTATAGAATCTAAACAACCCAACAATTGAGGCTCAAACTTTCAGGTATTATAGAAGTTGTCGACTTACATAAGTGTTTAAATTTACAAGCTTTTTCCTTTTACCATTATCGAGATACAATCGTTCGAAGTTGGAAAAACGTCCGTGCGTTACCTGCGTTTCGGCTGAATAGTGACCTGTAAAATACTCATTTGAAGCTTCGAGACAATTGTACGATGGAACATTCCTCTTCATGACACGCATAAAGTCTAAATCAAAATCTTATGCTCACAGCTAGAAACACACCTGTAAAACGGCATTCGATAGATTCTCATATTTCAGAACTGTATTTGGGTCTCATTTACTTTGAACTTTTTATATATCATCGAAGCTCAAATAATTTTGTTACCATTTCATTCTATTTAATTGTTTTGAAGAAAATTGAACGGCCTACAGATCTGCTTCTTTCTTTAAAAATTTGATGAAGTCCTGATGCCTATCAAAACTCTTCTGTCATCACGATTTATATTCGCTTTCAATGATGAAATTACCATTTTTGACACAAGTAAGACTATTAGACTGCTTAACCTTGAGTTTTAATAATCGAATCGTCAATAGACGTGACTTCTATTCTTTTAACTTCATTTGCAGAGAATCTAACTTTGAACGAGAATACGAAATGGGTACTGGATGGTGTAACAATTGCTGGAGGAAATGGAGTTGGTATCAGAATGAATCAGCTATCCGTTCCATTGGGTCTGTGCATTGATGGGAATCAGACTGTCTACATTGCTGATTACTCAAATCATCGGATTATGGAATGGAAATATGGTGTGACGGCTGGTCGAGTTGTAGCTGGTGGAAAAGGTGGCGGGAACTGCACTGACCAACTGAGCTATCCGGTACATGTAATTATTGATCGAGGCAGAAATAACTTGATCATTAGCGATTATATCAATAAAAGAATAGTTCGATGGTCTCGTGAAAATGGTACCGGGGGCGAAGTAATCATTTCAAATGTTGGTTGTTGGGGATTGGCCCTCGATGACGTTGGATTCATTTATATTGCTGATTACGATAAACATGAAGTGAGACGATATCGAATGGGAGAGAATCAAGGAACCATAGTGGCGGGTGGAAATGGAGCAGGTACTGGTCTCAATCAATTGAATCATCCAAGATATGTTTTCGTCGATGAAGATCATTCTATTTACGTGTCAGACGAAATCAATCATCGTGTTATGAAATGGATAGAAGGTGCGAAACAAGGTATCATTGTGGCTGGTGGAGAAGGATCAGGGAATAGTCTTACACAATTGTCAAATCCTTATGGAGTTTTTGTGGATCACTCAGGTACCGTCTATGTTGCTGATGGCTCGAATCATCGAATCGTTCGTTGGTACCGCGGAGCCACTCAAGGAGAGGTGATTGTTGGGGGACATGGACCAGGAAACCAATCAAATCAACTGAATACCCCCTTTGGTTTATCATTCGATCGAGAAGGAAATATTTATGTGAGTGAGCACAGTAATCATCGAGTGCAAAAATTCGATATTCAAAAACGTTGATGACATTCTAACATTGACTACATTTCAAAGATTTTTAACATATGAGCAATTTCTTTTGTTTCCGATAGAACCAGCCTGTATTGGCTAACTGATCATCTTGAACAAAATCGTTTTCTTTTGGATCCTACAAAATATTTCACTTTTGACCTTAGTCGTAAAACTAGGTGTATGTTACAGCTATCAAATAGGTTGAGTGATAATACATAGTTAACAATCATTCGGAATTGGTCAGTAAATGGAACAATTTGTGAACATGTTCTTCTAGTAAGAAATCAAAATAGATTCAAATATAGCAGGTCAACATTTCTGATTTCATATCACGATTATGGTTGTCATAAACAAGCTGATATCCATTTGTATCAAGATTTTTATGTCAACCATAAATGCAGAGAGTAGATGAATAGTGACAAGTTTTTTTCTAATATAATATTGCTGCTATGCCTAATGAATTAGTAAAACAACACATTGCTCGATCCAACTATTTATTATGTACTATCGAATATCTTCATTCGTTCATCAGAACTTCATCCATTCTTCTTTCATTAGATATGTTTTGGATGCTTGAATTTGTAACGAATCTGTTTAAGAACCAGCAAATGGCGATGGATCTTAACAATAGCTTTTAAATAAGAAAGAGAGATGAAGATCTATTAACACCATGAGTGTAATGTTTCAGTAAATATACTTTCGATATGTTTCTCTTATTATCTCAGAATCATTTTGTTCAAAATCAATCGAATCAATACTAACCTAAGACGTCTTCGAGAAAAACTGTTGAATTTATTTAAATCATAAATCTGCAAACAACACGCGAACATATTTTCAGTTATATTCTCCATGGTTCCCAACTATTCTGTTCTCGCTGAAAGAACTATTCTTACTTGTTCTTTTTCTATCATCAATAATGGATAGATTTAAACAAATAAATCGCATTGAGTTATTCATGTAGAAAATGCAAATGATTTTTGTTTCCTATTTGAAACTGCGATATAAATTTCAGTTTGGTTATTTTTGTCTTTTCCTTCATGTGATAAAGATGCAAGACTAGTTTGCTGTATTGTGCTATTTGATTAATCTTTTCACTAATTTTGCAGCGTTACTCGATAAGACTATCGGTTTTCTTTCAAGCTGGTTCATATCCAAACGAATTCACCAAGCTTATTGACATGCTTCAAAAGATATTAAAAAACGAAAAAAAATGACGGAGAAATGTTAAAGAAGAAATATACATAACTAGAATCAAAAATTATCGAGTCAATAAGTAAAGAAAAGATGTTCCATTTTTTGAAGACGTGAGCAAAATGTGCCTTGAGTGTGAAGGATTGTATGTTTTATATGGCTAAAACATAAAAAAAAACGAATTATTGTATGAAAATGATCATCCTATTTTGTAGAAACTATACTACCAAAATTCGTCTGTCAATCTCGAACACAAGTTTATTTATTATCATATAAAAATGCTCCTGTAAGTATGACGCTTGAAAATTATACACATAGACAAAAAAGGCACCAATAAATATGTTCTGAGGGCTCTGCATAAACTGGATGCGTCAAATTTACACCTATTAATTTTGATTTTCATCAGTTTATCACCGAAGAATTTTATTTACGAAAGACAACGCGTTCAGTACTTGTTCTGAATCAAAAGAGTTAATCGTTTTTCTGTTGCATTTTTTTAGTCGGAAGAAAAAGAACAAGACTCATTTGATGTTGTTCTATTTTCCCTACACAATTCGTCACTTTAACGGCATGATTCTCGTTCGAAACAACAACATCAAATGTTGCATTCGATAAAGAGTCGAAACATCGCTGGAAATGTCACAATATATTGCAACTAATCATTCCCTATGTTAAAAGTAATTAGAAGCCAAGTTGAGAACCATTATCAAATTATTAAGGAAATTTTTACTCCAACAAATATAGAAAAACATTTCTTTCGATTTCAGTGAGTATTTACATCGACTGACGAATTTCATACAAATCATTTTTTATCTACTGTGGGGGTAAAGTGAATATACTGATAACATATGAAGGAAAGAATAGCGGTCGAAACTCTTCAAGTGTATTTTTAAGCCTGTATATCGTATCGTAACTATTGATGAGCACGACCATGTCGCATATATTTTATCTAAAGATAAAGGCTTTATTAATATCGTATAGGGTGGACTAAGAAAGTATTACCCATAGGGTAAATATGTTGTCATAGAGTACTGAAAAAATGGACATTGGCTCAAATAGGTTTTTTCTAAGGTGAACAAAAGTTTATGAAACATTCGAAACTCTAAAAACAACTAAGACTCTTATAATTACTGATTTATGAACATTCGAAAGCTCTCCCCATAATCTTAATTAAGAGATAGAGTCATACTATTCCTTCTCTAAAGATACATTTAAATTCATTTTAGATCAACACTATTTCAAATATCATCATCACATTTTACATCATTCAACTAGTATTTATACAAAAGAAATGGCAAAAGTGGCTGACTCAAGCTTATGTTCAGTTTGCAATAAAATCCCAGGGAGATGCTTCTGCGTGGGATGTAAAAAATACTTTTGTTCGAAAGACTTCAAAGAACATGAAAAACAGCTATCGATACAGTTCGATAACGAAATAGTAAGATCTCATGATGAATTGCTGGATATAATTCAAAGATTAGAAAACCCGGATGATTTATCATATGATCTTTTCGATCAAATCGATCAGTGGAAAAAGATAACAATCAGCAAGGTAAAAAACGCGGCAGCGAGAGCTCGTCATGACCTAATTGAATTGATCGATAAACGACGAACAGCAGTAACAAAACAGTTAGAAGCAATAACAAAAGAAATTCGTAGTCATCGAGACGAAGAAAATTTCCTTGAAGATGACATTGCTCGACTTCGAACGAAACTTAATGAAATCCAAAAAGTACTTGAACAGTTCACTCGAAAAGATACAAAGAGAGCTATCATAGCGACGAATGATCAAATTGATTGGGACCGAATTATTCATATCCAAGGAAAGCATAAAATCGGTGAGTATATTTACCTTTAGACAGCAGAAAGGATTAATGTGATTAATCAATTAAATATATGTTTGTTTTATTCATCAATATAAATAATTGAGTTCAGAGATGAGTAGCATTGGAAGAGAAAGAAAAGGAATAAAATATCGATTTTGGTTATCGTTTGAACATTGCAACAGCAACTTTTCTTTTAAAGTAAAAGAGCCGGTGACTTTTTGGAGCTTCCTTTTCAAATCCAAAAGCGAGTTGCATTTGAATTATGTCCTACAATAACTATTTATAAACGAGTCTTTTGATCCTTCAAAATATTTTTACAATGGAACAGTTTAGCTCTTCACACTCGCTAGATTTAAACTTAAATCTTATGTTCGTAACAAAAGATAGACTTGAATGGCGATCTACAACATATTGGTATATTACGGAGATAGAAAAATTTATCGTCAAATTTGAATATATTAGCCATCTCAGAAACTTGTCGTCAAGTTTGATTAGAAGTTCATTTTATTTGTCATATATTTCTAAATTTATTTAAATAGAATTACCTATCTCGTAAACGTATAGGACGTTTTTAATGATTTTAATCGCGAAATCGTCATTTTCGAGAACAAGAAGATGATATTTTGAATTGCTTCAGTTTGAATTATAATCAGGAAAACATCGATGATCATACTGATGATTGGTATTGTAAAACTAATTAGAATCGGATTTGTTCGAAGCTATTTACACTGGTTGTTGCTGAACAAACCTAGCCTAGTTTGTGAATTGTGGTAGTGTAATGGTAGCATAACGCATGTTTCGTGTAAAATTTGATCACCGACCATTTCTTGAAGCATTTTCAGATAGTACTGTCGAAACGCTCCAGACACCTATCGAACCTATCAATCATTGGCCTCGTTCCTCAAATCATTTTAAGTTTGCTGAGATTGAATTATTTTTGAGCTCCTATCACACATCATCGTGACATAATTTCGAACTTATTTAATAATTAAAAATAGCTTTTAGTGCTGCGGATAAGCTCCGCTACTTTTGAACTGATTTTCAGTGTACACAGGAGGAATTTACAGAATGCGAAACATAATTGGAACTACTACATTAGTAACAACATTTCAATATTACGAAACTCCGAAAATATATGATCCTTTGTACTTCAGTGTCATTTTTTCAATTCGCCTATGGTATAATAGTTATTCGATAGGGTTCCCTTTTCATAACAGGCTCGATAATATATCATTGATGTTTTCTATTACAGAAGCTATAGACGACAAAATTTGCAATGCGAGTATTTTAAGCAGAATTCAGAATGTATTGAATTCGAACGAGTGGTTTAGGTCAAAACCAGTAATTTCCTGTCTTTACAACTATTGTCAGGAAATATCAATAGAAAAAAAGTGAAAATTCCCATTGTGGTAGAAATAATTGCGATGAATTACGATTATCCTTTACTATTAAAGCTTAGGTGGAACATGAGAAGGTCTTTGGAATATTGATATCAAAAGATAATTTGAGTGTGAATTCGATTATCAGAATTTTCATCATGATTAAATAGAAACCGTTCGGCTTATTTCTATTCAAAGTATCGAAACAAAAAGATGATCATCCATGAAGTGTGCGATATTAGGGCTGAGCAAAAATATTCTTTTACTCACACTTCCCCTATCAAACTTCTCTACTTTGTGAATAGAATTTCACCCCTTGCATTAAGTCAGCGTTGATAAACATACTGTGCTTTTTTGTAGCCTCATTTGCGGGGAATCTACCTCTGAACACGAATACGAAATGGATACAAAATGGCGTCACAATTGCTGGAGGAAGTGGAGATGGCAGTAGAATAAATCAGCTCTCATATCCAGTGGGCTTGTGTATTGATGAAGATCAGACTATATACATTGCTGATTACTCGAATCATCGGATTGTGGAATGGGCACGTGGCGCGACGATGGGTCGAGTTGTGGCTGGTGGCAGTGAATCAGGGAGCAGACGTGGCCAGTTCAGCTACCCGACAGATGTAATTATTGATAAAGAAAGCAATGGCCTGATCATTAGTGATTATGGCAATCGAAGAGTAGTTCGATGGTCTCGTGAGAATGAAGAAGTAATCATTTCAAATGTTGGATGTTGGGGATTGACAGTGGATGATGTTGGACTTATTTATATAGCTGATTGCGATAAACATGAAATTCGACGATATCAAATGGGAGAGAATCAAGGAACCATAGTGGCGGGTGGAAATGGAGTAGGGAGTGGTCTCAACCAGTTGAATCATCCTACATGCGTGTTTGTCGATCGAGATCATTCCGTTTACGTGTCAGATTCAAATAATCATCGTATTATGAAATGGATAGTAGGTGCGAAGCAAGGTATCATTGTGGCTGGTGGACAAGGATCAGGGAATAGTCTTACACAATTGTCAAGTCCTTATGGAGTTTTTGTGGATCACTTAAGTACTATCTATGTCGCTGATGGCTCGAATCATCGAATCGTTCGTTGGTGTCACGGAGCCACCCAGGGACATGTGATTGTTGGCGGATATGGGCGAGGAAACCAATCAAATCAACTGAATATCCCATTTGGTTTATCATTCGATCAAGAAGGAAATATTTATGTGAGTGAGCACAGTAACCATCGAGTGCAAAAATTCAATATTCAAAAACGTTGATGATATTCAAACATTGACTTCACTTCAAAGCTTTTACAAAAGCTTTTTAACATATGTGTAATTTATTTTTTGTTTCCGATAGAACCAGCCTGTCTGTATTGGCTAACTGATCATCTTGAACAAAATCGTTTTCTTTTGGATCCTTCAAAATATTTCACTTTGAACTTTGTCGTAAAAGTAGATGTACGTTACAGTTATCAAATAGGTTGAGTAATAATACATAGTTAACCGTCATTCGGTATCGGCCAGTAAATGGAACAATTTGTGTACATGTTCTTCTAGTAAGAAATCAAAACAGATTCAAACATAGTAGGTTAACATTTCTGATTTGATAGCACGATTTATGTTTTTCATAAATAGGTAGAAATTCATTTGTATTAAGATATTTATGCCAACCAAAAATGCAGAGAGTAGATAAATAGTGACAAGTTTTTTCTAATATAGCATTGGTGCTATGCCAAGCCAACTCAATTAGAAAAACAGTGCACTGCTCGATTTAACTATTGTTTATGTACTATAAAATGTCCTCATTCGTTCAACGAAACTTCATTCATGTTTGTTTCATTGGGTGTGATGTGAATACTTAACGTTGTAATGAATCTGTTTAAGAACCGGATAACGACGACGGATATTAACAATAGGTTTCTTAATGAAAAAAAGAGAAATCAACGACTATTATTGTAATGATTGTAATACTTCGGTAAATATACTTATTATCCGTTTCTCTTATTACGACAGAATCAATTTGCTCAACATCAATCGAATTAATACTAAGCTTGCCGTTGAAGTATTTCATTTTAATTGAAAAAAATTATTTTCTAATCAAAAAGAATGAACTTCGAGCTATTCTGAATGAGATCAATCGAGAAATGTATTGTCATTTATCAAATTTCTTATGACTACTAATAAACTGTTCTAATCAACAGTAATATCAAAGCTTAAAGGCAGAGAAGTTTTTGTATCGAAATGAAATCCTTGGGACCAATCGATATTTTAAGAAAATGCCACACTTCGAAATTTTCATTAAAAAATTCATGTTGAAATAGTGCTCCTCCCGAAACCTTCCTTTTCGTAAATGAGATTAAATTCATTAAATATTGCATTCAACTTTTAATCTCATTTCTGCACCTCAAGCATACGGCGCATCTTTTCATCGTTAATAATATGGCGGTATAGGTGAATGTGTTGGCCAAGCATTTTCCTTAATCCTCATCCTACCATCTACTAAAATCTACAGTAGTATGCAAGACACAAACCTATTACAAAAATTAGCTTATGCAGAAAACTTGTGGTTGGGGCTCGTTACTTACGTTAAATCAGAATATTCGCTCTTTATTCGCTTTAGTAAACCTTCCTCCTATTTTTCACTTGCATTGTGATGTACAAGATACGCTATTTCTCTTGAATAACGAGTCGATCATGAGTAGTGCCAGTATTTCTCGATGCATTTCCATTTCGAAACTGAAAGAAAATGCGAAATTCTCTTCAAGGCAAATGCTTTAGAAAATCGGAAGTAATCTCACTGGACATTTTAAGCGCTATTGTCAGACGCTCAAATAATCGATCTTTCATTATCGACGTTAAAACGAAAATGGTGCTCACACCTCGACGAATCATCTACCATAGTCAAATCAGTCATGAAGATACATCCTGGCTATTCAGGATGATTTTCATCTAGGATCAAATATTTTAGTTTAAGATGTCTTCGAGAAAAACCGTTGAATTTATTTAAATCATAAGTCTACCAACGACATGCGAACATATTTTTCAGTTATATTCTCCATGATTCCTAACTATTATGTTTTCGCTGAAACAATTATTCTAACTTGTTTTTTTTATATCATTAATAATGGATAGATTTTAATAAATAAATTGCACTGGATTATTCATATAGAAAATATGAATGACTTTTTGTTTCGTACTTGAAACTCTGTGATATAAATTTCACTTTGGTTATTTCATCGGGTATAGGGGTGGCACTTTATCTTTGCTTTGAAAAAGTAAAGTAAAGTGACTTGTATTAAGTTAACTTTGTTGTTCATTTTCTAGACCAGCATCAAGCTCTGATAACGCTGCCGTATACGAAAGCGTTCAGCAATGAAAAATATGACATTTTCATCATTACTTTACTTTTTGTTCCACTTTGTTTTGTGAAGAAATGGTTTTGAAAATACTTTCGTATGCTGTAGCGTTATTAGTGTATGATACTGGGCTAGAGAATTGACAACAAATTCAACTTTATTTAATTAACTTAACTTAACTTTACTGTATCGGATAAAGTAACGTAGCGAACTTTACTTTACCCGGTAAAGTAAAGATAAAGTGCCACCCGTAATCGTGTACTTCACGCAAATAAGATGTAAGGCTAGTCTGCTGTATTGTGCTGTTTGATTAATATTTTTACTGCTGTTGCAGTGTTACTGGATAAGACTACCGGTTCTCTTTCAAGATGGTTCATATCCAAACGAATTCAGCAAGCTTATTGAAATGTTTTCAAAAATATCAAAACCCGAAAAAATATTATCGAGAAATGTTGAAGCAGAAATATACAGGACTATAATGGAAAAATATCGAGCCACTCAGAAAACAAAATATGTCTCGAATATGAAAAGTTGAACATTTCATATGGCTAAAACTTAAAAAAACGAATTATTATACGGAAATTATCGTCGTGTTCTGTAGAAACTCTATTAAAAACATTTGTCGATGAATCTCAAATACAAGTTTATTTAGCATCTCATAAATTAGACGCATCAAAGTTACAAAATATCATTTTTGATTTTTGTAGTGTAGTGACATTTTGTGTTTTTCTTTTCTTTGTCTCTGTTGTTTCGTATTGTTGTGTTCGTTCTTGTTAGCACGTTACGCTATACAATACGTATATTGTTTTCTCTTTCTTTTGTCGTTCTTTGATATTTTTCGATGTCATTTTTTTTCTATATTGATCACCAAGATCAAAACAACATTATGTTTGGCCTTGATGATTTTCTATAATTGCGTAATAGTATTTTCTATTACGCAATATTAGATAGACAAAAATACATTAGAAAGGACGTACCGAGTGGGATACGTGACAATTTTCATCAGTTTATCAGGGAAGAATTTTATCTACGAAAGACAACATTTTCAGCACTTGTTTTGAATCAGAAGAATGAATCTTTCTGTTTATTGCTTCTTTTCTATTCGGAAGAAAAAGAAAAAGACTCATTTGTTGCCCTTCTCTTTCTCCTACACAATTTGTCATGTTAACGGCATGCTTTTCGTTCGAAACAACACAAAAAATTTTTCACTCAATAAGAAGTAAGAAATTCATCATTCGAAGTATTCTATTGCATTGGAGTCGACCATTCTCTATGTTGAGAATAATTAAAAGCCACTTAGAGAAACATTATCAAATCATTACGTAAATTTTTAGTCAAACAATGATAGAAAAACATTTGTCTCAATATGAGTGAGTATTTGCATGGATTGACAAGTGATATAAAAACGTTTGCTATCCACAGAATGAATATACTGATGGCCGATGAAGGAAATAATAGTGGTGGAAACTCTTGGGACGCATTTTAAAGGCATTATAAGGTATCGTAACTATTGGTGAGCATGACCAATTTGCATATATTTTATCTAAAGATGGTCTTTATTAATATCGTATATGATGAGCTAGGAAAGCTCGTCCAATAGGATAAATATGTTTTCATAGAGTGATGGAAAAATGGACATTCACTCGAATAGGTTTTTTCTAAGGTCAACGAAAATTTATGAAATATTCGCAACTTTAAAAACGACTAAGGCTTTTATAATTACTAATTTATGAGCATTCGAAAACTCTTCCAATAATCTTAGTAAACAGATAGAGTCATACTATTTCTTTTCTGAATACAAATATAAATTCATTTTAGATCAAGATTATTTCTGATATTATCATTAATTTTTACATCATTGAATTAGTTTTTATACAGAGGAAATGGCAACAGTGGATGACTCAAGCGTATGCTCAGTCTGTAATAAACTTCCAGGCAAACGCTTCTGCATGGGATGTAAAAAATACTTTTGTTCGAAAGATTTCAAAGAACATGAAAAACAACTATCGATACAGTTCGATAATGAAATAGTACGATCTCATGATGAATTGCTGGATATGATTCAAAAATTAGAAAAACCGGATGATTTATCATCAGATGTTTTTGATCAAATTGATCAATGGAAAAAATTAACAATCAACAAGGTAAAACAAGCGGCCGAAAGAGCTCGTCATGAACTTATCGAATTGCTCGATAAACGGCGAACAGCAGTAACAAAACAGTTAGAAGCAATAACAAAAGAAATTCGTAGTCATCGTGAGGAAGAAAATTTCCTTGAAGATGACATTGCTCGACTTCGAACGAAACTTAATGAAATCCAAAAAGTACTTGAACAGTTCACTAGAAAAGATACAAAGAAAGCTATCATAGCTACGAATGATCAAATTGATTGGGACCGAATTATTTACATAGCAAAAGGAGAAGAAATCGGTGAGTATATTTACTTTAAGGCAGCATATATGATTTATTAAAATATCAACTGCACAGCAAGTTTTCTTCTGAATTAAAGGATATTCAGGATTTTCCAAATGTATTTTCATGTCAACCAGCAACTGTTATTAGGTCTGGTCCTATAATAATCATTAGTAAAAGATATATTCGATTCTTTTTCGTGACCCAGGCAATTCAATAGTGGCGCAGAATGTTCATTAGAATGCATTGTTTTCCTTGGACATACCATTTTGACCATTAAAAATGTATTGATTCAACTTTTCAGAGCATAGACTATTTCTATTAATTTTTTCCCGCTTGACTTTAGATCTAGATTTGAGAAGAATATATTTCTATCGCTTGCAAGAATGCGATATCAATGTGTAGCTTCGGAAACATGAAGCAAAAGAGAATATTTAAAGTAAACATATATTGAAGAGATTTTCCCATTGATGCGTGATGTTATCGTCATGATATGATGAAAGCTTCTATTTGCATGTGGTTGATTTATACTGTACTTGGGAATTGCGGTTCTCGAAAATGCTCTAAAACTGTTCTCTACGTCCGTTGATATGCCAATAATTAGGTAATTTTTCGTAGATTATTTTCATTACTCCAAATGAATGTCTCCAATTCATCTAAAAGAAAAGTGATTCCTTGGACTTCGGCATCATTTTTTAAATTCATCTATGAGATAATATCAATAGTGACTTTATAGGGTTTCCTTTTCAAAAAAGAAGTCGACGATATATTATTGATGTTGTCTGTTAGATAAATTATAGGTGAGCAATGTTCAATTTAGCTACCTTACGAAGACTCGAGATATTATTGAGTAAGTTAGGTTGGAGCCAGAAACTTTGATTCTCTGCAACTATGTTCAGAAAATATTGATTCGAGAAAAAGAGCCAATTTCCATTGCGATCCGAAGAATTTTCATGCAACATGATTATACTTTGGTGATAAAACGTCAGGGAAAAACGAGCATCTTCAGTAGTGTTAATATTAAGTGACAATTTGAGTGTAAATTCAGATACCAAAATTCCAACACAATTATATATAAACTATTCAGCATACTTCTATTCAAAGTATCAAAACAAAGAGATGACTATTCATAAACTGTTAGATATAAAAACTGAGGAAAAAACATTCTCTCGCCCACACTTTCTATCAAGGTTCACTACCAAGTTTATAGCTTTTCATCCATTACATCAATTCAAAGCCAATAAAGAAAACTACTTTTTTTGCAACTTCATTTTGTAGAAAGCTTATCTCTGAATACGAATACGAAATGGATGCAGACTGGTGTCACAATTGCTGGAGGAAATGGGGCTGGTGGTGGAATGAATCAGCTTCAGAATCCAGTAGGTTTGTGTGTTGACGATGATCGGACTGTTTACATTGCTGATTACTTGAATCATCGAATACTGGAATGGAAATATGGTGTGACGACCGGTCGAGTGGTAGCTGGTGGAAATGGGAGCGGTAGCCGACTTGACCAGCTTAACTCGCCGGCAGCCGTAATCATTGATAAAGAAAGAAATAACTTGATCATTAGCGATTATAACAATAAAAGAATAGTACGATGGCCGCGTCAAAATGGTACACAGGGTGAAACGATCATTTCAAATGTCGGTTGTTGGGGATTGGCACTCGATAACGATGGATTCGTTTATCTTGCTGATTACGATAACCATGAAGTGAGACGATATCGAATGGGAGAGAATCGAGGAACCGTCGTGGCGGGTGGAAATGGAGCAGGTAGTGGTCTCAATCAATTAAACCATCCAAGGTGCGTATTTGTCGATCGTGATCATTCCGTTTACGTGTCAGATGAAAGCAATTATCGTGTTATGAAGTGGATAGTAGGTGCAAAACAAGGAGTCATTATGGCTGGAGGACACGGCGGGGGGAATAGTCTCACACAACTATTAAATCCTTATGAAGTTTTTGTCGACCAATCAGGCACTGTCTATGTTGTTGATGGCTCGAATTGTCGAATCGTTCGCTGGAACCACGGAGCCACTGAAGGTGATGTTATTGTTGGGGGACATGGACCAGGAAACCAATCAAATCAACTGAATGTCCCCTTTGGCTTATCATTTGATCGAGAAGGAAATATTTATGTGAGTGAGCATAGTAATCATCGAGTGCAAAAATTCAATGTTCAAAAAAGTTGATTATCTTCTAACATAGACTTCATTTCAAATCTTGTATGAAAGCTTTTTAACACATCAGAAAAATGTTTTGTTTCCGATATAACTAGCATGTATCAGTTACCTGATCATCTTGAACCAAATGGAATATAATTGTTTTCTATTGTATTCTATAAAATATTTCACTTTCGAACTTTTCCCCAAACGTATACAGATGCGAAAGTTATCGAATAGGTGGACTGATCATACATAGCTAACAGTCATTTGGAATTAGTCAATAAATGAAACACTTCTCCTACAGGTTCTCCTAGTAACACACAAAAAGATTCAAACATATGAGGTCAACACCTCTGATTTAAAACAACGATTTATATTTGTCATAAACAAGTAGAAATTCATTTATAGTAAGATATTGAGTGTAAACTATTTAACGCGGAGAGAATCTAAAAAACGGAACTGATTTTATGTCTGTTCAACTACTGAAACATTACACTGGTGGATTCAACTATTAACTATCTAAATCGAGTTTTCTCATTGGTTCATCATTTTTAAAATTGTTTGTGATTACTGATAAACGGTTCGAATCTTCAGTAAGATAAATTTTATAAGGCTTGGAAGTTTTTTTGTAGAAACAAATTAGTGCTGGTCAATCGATATTTGAAGGAAAAGCAGCATGATTTAAAATTTTATTGAAAAAATTCATGTTTGAATGGAGATTGGGCATAATTCATTATTCAATTATGATCGTCATGAAGCATTCACTTTTGTAAAGGACGCTAAATTCAGTAAATGTGACATTTAACTGATTGATTGAATGCATTTCATTGGTCAGAAGCAGTTAGGTAGTTTTTCACCGAGTGGTAGAATTAATTTCACCATTTTACAACAACGAAGTAGATTTTATTCAACTCCTGCATACTTTCGAAGAAAATATACAGATTTGTCGGTTAAAATCGAGGTTTTCGCAGCTTCCTCTTCGTTCTTGCAATGGCCAGTGAGAATGGGGAGAACAAATGGTAGATTTCTATAGTATAGAGAAAAGGCACGTAAGCAATAGCGGTGGTTATATTATTCTAAAACTCTGTACACCCTAACTACGTAGTCTAAATATGACAAATTTATTATTTAATTCAATGAAATGGTGCTACTTTACATGTCATTCAGTAGATCGAAGCTATTATTCATTTAATAGAGTAAGAATAGGATGAGCATCATGTAAAATTATGAAATAGCTGAGTTTCAAATTTAGAAAAAACTCAATTTATATCTCATTATTTGTCAAAACAACTAATAGCGTGTCAGGCTCTTCCTAAATGACCAAATCAATGTATATAGCAAGTTAATATGGTAGTCAAAAACGATTGAAAGAATAAAATGATATCTACACTTCATATAACGTGTGTCGCATATTATCATTGGAAGAAAAGAATTGATGCATTCAAGATGTTATTATTTCACAGTAGAAAAAACGTTTTCAGTTCAAGAATATTAAATGAGTCTAATAAATTGCTTGAATAATAGCAATACGTGGACACATTTTTCACATGATTAAATATACGAGCACGCGTATCAGCTATAAAAAGTTGTAATCGCTTTGGATCATTTATTTGTCCAGTTATTTGAAGCCCTTATGCATTTTATCTCAGGTAAACAACAAGTAGAGTTTCTGAATTCCACATTTTCATTCCTCAAGAGACTAACGCGATAAGTTTTCGGATAGCCTTTACCATATCAACCAGATTATGTAACAATTTTCTGCTATATAATCCGGTCCCCAAGCAATTTTCAACTGGCTGAACCCAGAACGATTATTCAACTTTTCCAAGTTAGAACACCTAGAAAACTTGACTGGCTGCTGAAATCAGCGACATGGGTCTGTTTGGTACGTTAGAAACTGCTCTGAACTAGGGGAGATTCTTTATCTTTGCTTAGTACAGTAAGACTAAGTGACCATTCATATTCTATAGCCAATTAAGATATCTTTTGTTGCGTTCTGTTGACACTCAATGGCTATATGTTACTTAGTCGCACTCGTAAGTCATAAGATCCGGTTCTTACGATGATGCACCCGCCGGGAGCCAGTCCAAAATCATCCTTATAAACTCATGTCTTTGCGGTTTGGTGTTCTGTGTGGACAAGCTGTAGAACATCGTGCGCAATGGTCTTAGTACATGAGACAGCATACTGCACACGGAACGTTTTATCTCCATACATACAACAAGAAATGTTTGCAGTTTTTAACCTAACTAATGACGACGTCAACGCAAATGGCCGGAAATACACAATTTCAGTCCCACAAAGTAGTCTTTGTATATTCTTCGTGATGCTGGTCAGCTGCTTGAGCGCTCAGACTGCTTTATACTTTTTGGAGCTTCCTCTCTTTATGGCCCTTCACTTCTCGATGTTTAGGACTTCTCTCTCCATACCGTCAAACGTTCGTAGACTATATATATATCAACTATGAGCTCCGGTTTCGAAATCAAAGCAACAGCGGTAATCAGGATGGTAAATAATGACAACTCGCGAAACAACAGTAATCCAATTTCTTTCGTGACTGAATGTTGATTCCAACCAAACCTAACATTTTGACATCATTGTCGGGTGAGAAAGTCACTTGCGATCTGCAATCCTTTGAGTGGTCTTGGTAAAACAATGAAACCAACCGCACCGGTTCATTGGTCGATTAGATATCGTTCCAATATGCTATTTTATTGTTGTGAAATGGTAACTGATACGCTTTTGGCTGAGATTCAGCAATATACAGATTGTATCTCTTGTGCTCGACTCAATGATTCTTACGATGATGGGTGAACTGATTTTTCTATTGAATGGAATGATCGGCAGTCTTCAGAGTGTCATCTCTATAATGATTCTATATTGTTCCTATTGATGTTACGACATCATGCTCGAAAAATACAGTGACATTCATAGTGATTCCAGCGCCGATGGAATCACATAGAATCAGCTTTGTCTCCGTTGGATTTTTCACTCCAAAACTGAAAGAAGATGTGATTTTTTTTATTGAAAAAATATCCTGTAGAGACTATGAAGTAATCTCACTGGATATTTTCAGCACTCTAATCAAATGCTTGAACAATCGATCTTTCATTCTAGGTGCTACAAAGATAATACCGTTCTCCTCTCGATGAATCATCGACCGCATTGAACGCACTCATCAAAACACATGTAGACTAATAAAGATAATTTTCTTGCGTTGAGAATTTATGTAATTGAAAAATCTATAAGAAATTGAGAATATTTCTCATCTATTTTGTTCAAGATTTCCCACTATTTGGCTGTAGCTGAGACAATTATTTTGAATATCACATTAGTCTTCCGTGTTTTTCTATATGATTCATTAGGAATAGATTTCAACAAGTAAATACCATCGAGTTATTCATATAGAACATGAGGATGATATTTTATTCTGCATCTAACTCAGTACTATAAAGCTCAACTTGAAGTTTTTATGCTTTGCTTAATTAAATAAACATGTAATTCAATATTTCGATGATTTATCAGCGTTTATGTATTCTAGAGCAGTCCCGAATAATCTTAATGGTATTGTGTTTCTATCGTGTTTACTGCTTTTGTATGGTAAATCATGCAGTAATTTCGCAAAATGTTAATGATAAAGAAATGTAAAACAGTAGGAAAAATGTGAATAGAATAATGAAAACGCGTTGCCGTTTATTGATCAGTAAGAAGGAGAAGAAGAAAAAAAAAGGTAAGCGAAAGAAAAATATCAAGATCTTGCCTTCTTTTTCTTTTCCAGTTCTAATCATCACGCATCTACATCACAAAAAATAATCGCGGGACCTTTCGTTGGCAACACTTATTTAATGATCATCATGTCGATGGCAAACTAGAAGTATGGTTTCTTTATCCGTTCTAGAGAGAAAAAAAAACAGCGAGATTAATAAAACGTGTGTGCCTCTTCTAATAATTAAGTTTTTTCTTCTTTAGGAAAAATTGAACTGATTTTGTTTATCTTTATTTCTAACCTTTGAAAATTGATTTAGTAAAATTTTCAATTTATGAGTGAACCTAATACATCAAATCCTTCAACATACATATCGACGACGTCTCACGAACGATCATCAACTACCGTTCATGGAAGCGGCTATATTAATATGGGTCCTTTAACTGCGCAACATTATGAAATTCCAACAAAATGTATTCATACGATACATAGAAAAATAATGAATCTCACTGAATCATCAACCGGTGATAATGAATATGAATTTAACGTCTTACTGCTAGGCGATAGTGGCGTTGGTAAGTTAGAATTGATACGATAATTTTCTTTAACTAATCCAACTTCTAGGTAAAACATGTTTACTCGTACGTTTTAATGACGAAAAATTTCTAACTGGAAATTTCCACAGTACGGTTGGTATTGATTATAGAAGTAAAATTGTAACAATTGGAAATAATAAAATTAATTTACAAATATACGATACAGTAAGTTTATGATTAACTTTTTGTTTTTCGGAAAGATGACTAATCATAATGAAGAGCATCTCTTCAGCAGTTCTTTATGAAATTTTCATATATGAAAAAATATAGCTAGACAAAAGATATTCTTTGTTTTCCTCTAAATTAAAATAAACAAACGGATGACTTTCAGTAATATTAATTTCCGTTTTGCCTGTTGATTATATGAAAAAGTCAATGTTCGTCGCCGACGTCTTGGTTTTTGTAATGATACTTAAAACTACGTTCGATGTTATTTTTCCGTTCTATAGATCAAAAGAAACAACCAAATTTTATTATCCTATAAAGTCAGTCGGCTGAATTATAGATTCTTCTTGGTTCGAGGAAAACAGCTGACTGTTTTTTGCTGTTGTTGTTTTCTCTATATAGGCTGGCCAAGAACGTTTTCGATCGATACCGCACGCTTACTATCGTGATGCCAATGCGTTACTATTAATTTATGATGTAACGTCTGTAACATCGTTTGAAAATATATCAGCTTGGTTAAATGAAATCAAAGAATTTACTGATAGTGATTTACTTATAATGTTAATTGGAAATAAAATTGACAAATCTCAACGTGTTATATCAAGAGAATCGGGCGAACGTTTAGCAAGAGATTGTGAAATTTACTTTCTTGAAACATCTGCAAAAACAGGTCAAAACGTTGAGTTGGCTTTTATGACAACAGCTCAAACTCTAATTGATAAAAAATTACATTCTAAGAGTATAGATAATTCGTCTAATGATAGAATTAAAGTTAAAGCTACGGAATCTAATTATTTCTGTTGCTAACAATTTATTTTCTATTAGAAAATATATATATATATATGCATCTTATGTGACATATTTTAATTGTAAACATATATTATTTGCTTGTATTAAGTTAAAAGTAAAATGTTGATCTAAGAGGAAAATAAAAACAGTCTAATTTCTTATTTGATTGGATGTTTTTTTAAATTATACCTAACAGTTGATGCATATGAACAAATTGTAAAAGTGTTGAACTTTTCGATGAAGAAATTTCTTGTTCCACTGTTTTATATTCATCATTGATTGCTTTTTGAGTTGTTTCAAATACGAAAAGTAAATGTGGCGAAGAAGATGGTATTACATAAACTGATGTTTGTTCAAAAGTTCGAGTTAGCATATAGATTACCGATGCTTGTAAACGAGTAAGAAGAGGTGCCGATTGAACATAATAAACACCATTTTCACATTGTAACTAATGGAGGAAGAAAAAGCTTGTTAGATCAATCTACGAGACATCGGAAATGTTTGAGTTCTATATAATTCAGTACAGTCATTTGATTTATTTTATATCTTCATAGGAAAGGGAATCGATTTGTGAAGCACACTAAAAGAGTTTTTTTTTCTTTTAAATTTCTGGATGTTTTTCTCAAATAATGTAAGAGGTTATTATGTATTGAAGAAAGGAGTGCTTTTAAATTGATATAGCTCGATAGAGAATTCATTTTTTCTATCGAATCATCTACTTGTTGTCCACTTTATTCGGCATTTCGACTCAATATTTAGAAGATTCTAACGATTTCGTTCAATAAAAATTAAATTATAGTCGTCTAATTATTACAATATTTTCAATCAGTATACAGTTGAATAAGGCAACAGCTGCCAGATTGGTTCACCTAATTTTAATTATAGTGTTTTACAGGTAAATTTGAGATTATGTGAATAATATGAAAAAACTAGTGGAACAAAAGCGCCGAAAATTGTATTCCCTTCTGCAATTTTAAAAATGGTTTCATTCAATACTCTGTGGAGCCGTAAGTTCAACGGATCTCTTCGATCTAAAAATATTTTTTAGAGCCATCGGATTTGATCTGACTGAAATATAGACGTGCAAAGGTTTAGAAATGCTTTAGTTTTCTTATCACGATACAAAATAAGTCAAACAGTTCGTTCGACAGAGTAACCAATGGTCTACCGAATCATGCCGTATATTTCTTCTAATTCTAAACTCAACCGTTAGAATTGTTGACAAGAACGGCCACAAAAATCGTTTGATTAAGAATTCAAATATTGATAATCATCACTTCCTCTTTGCACCCCAAATGAATGTTGAATAGCTCATTGAAAATAATTTAGTCGATTTCAGATCCTATCCGAGTATCTCATGACATTTCCTATTAACTAGCACACAGTAGATCTCATCAATCAGAATGTTTCCTGTTAGTGCTTGATGACTTTTAGCAAGATTTTGTCGCATAATCTGTTTCAATTGTGATTGGCTTCCTGTCTGGAAAGTAACCCGCCTGACACTGAAAAAGTGTTATATCATGTTTCAAAATTTGTACGATTACATAACTGATATATCAACTGTACTCAAAAGAAAAAGGCAAGCAAGATTGAATTACTGCTTTTTGATCACTTTGATAATCACAGCCTTTTTTAACACAATAACGAACGATTCGAATTTCTATGTGCGCCTGTACACAATGATCTTAAAATGAAACTTACATTTATTTCATAGTCACGAGTAAATCGTTCCAGTCGTTCAAATTGTTCATGAGAAATTTCGACTGCAGATGATTTTTTAATAGATTTTAAATCAATTAATTTTTCATTCTAAATACAAAAAAAAATTTAATTTCAATAGAAACAAAAAAAATAAATAATCCGTTATTCTCACCGATGAAACTGTATAAATATCAATTTTACTGCATAGTTCAAGCAAATATCTATTACAAAAACATGAATTTCGAATAGCCTTCGTTTTTTTCCCATAGACACAATCGAGAATAATTTGTTTACTGGCAATTAGTTCACCGATGTAAATATGAGATATGGATAACGATCGATCACTAATGATTTGAGATGACAGCTGACAAGCATGACATAAATCATTAATTTTATTATTTGAACATATTAAACAAAAGAATCCATTGTGAATTTGACCTTGAACTGTGTCGATGTCGATTTGATGCTGATTATTAAAAGTACCTGTACGAGTTATTCGATTGTTGTGCTGATAAGAATATTTCGATTCTAAATCTGCTTTTAATAGATGTCGATCGCTGGATAGTAATTCACGAATTTGACATCGATCAAGATATTGATTGAGAACGTTTTCTTTTAATTTACTTAATTTTTTATTAAATTTTTTGCTTCGATTTTCAAAACAATTGAGATTATGTTTTATTGTATTTATTTGATTGAATTGCAATAATTCCGAACATTGAATAAGTTGATTAACAAACGACGATGAATATGGCGAAGATTTGATTTCGAGATTGTCGGAAAAGCAATTTGTAAATTTATCACGATTAAAATCAATACAAATTACATAAACTTCAGAATTTCCTTTCTTCGAAAAAAACAAAACAAATGAAAAGCATTTACTGGTTGGACTCATACAACTTGTGTTTCGAGTATGATGTAGTGTTTTGTTTTGATTAATCGATGGAGTTCGGAGTGCTACTCTTCTCTTAATGTCTCGCGCAAATTGATTTTTAATAGCACTCGTATGTTATGGCCTTCACGCAAACATAACTAGTAGGCCTGTTCTATGAGCAAGACAGCTATGGTTCAAATCTCAAAATTCGTCTACTCAATCACTGGAAAAAGAAAATTATTCTTACTTTACTCGTTTGTGGTTTGAACATTGATATCTGTATAATATAGTAATTAGGAAAGTTGAGTTAAAAATTGAATTATTGATTTACCTGACGAAACGTTCGATAGAGCAAATGAATCAGGTCAATAGTAACTTGTTCAAACATAGTAAATAATTTTAATATAAAATTTCCGTGCGCAATTAAACATGACAATGCAACATAAACTTCAGTTTTCAACAAAGGATAAACAAGTCCTTCTTGTTCACCGGGATTATTTTGAACATCAAAACTGCCATCAGCAGTTATCTAAACAGGAATATCTAAAAATTGTACTACATAAGTGTTCGTTTTTGTGTACTCGAAAAAAGTGAGTACACTTTAGATTCGGCCAGTGTCCGTCCAGCCGTTAACACGATAACACGATAACTTTTGAAAGCTTCATCCAATTGTCATGAAATTTTGTACACAGAATGATCTCATCAATATCTCAGTCGAGTTCGAAGATGAAAGCAGTCTGTCAAGAAATGGCTGAGTTATTGAAAAAATTGTCATTATTGACTAGACCATCCCTGAGGGGGAGTACAGGGATTTTTTCAAAAAACCTTTTTCTCGGTATTATTCACAACATATAACAATCGGATGCGAATCCGATGTTTCCTCATTTATTTAAGTGTCAAATCAATATTTGTCGAGAAGAAAAGTAGATCTAGATATTTCAACACATATAATAATGAAAAGCTGTTAGTCTAATTCCTAGAGGATTTAAGTGTCGAACACGATAGGAATATAGTGAGTGAGTTAGTTGTTTTTTAATCAATCGTTCAGAAACCAATTTTCATATATGCAAACGAGATGTTATTGATACACAGGCATTTATCGTATTACAATATGCGTCTGCCATAGTGTTCAAGAGAAGTATGAACAAATAGAAGAAGAGTTTTCTACAGTCGGAAAAATACTTTATTCCGTACGAAAATCTGTGACTATCATTTACTAAAAATAGTTCTTTCCGGTTAAACAATAAATGAGATGGTCGTTCAAGGACATGCTTTATATATTTTCCTTATCGAGTAATCAACACTAGTCTATATGTGCCGTTTTAATTCAATTACTACGCTTTTTACATTAGCAGCTAGTTTCGGATCATAATTATAACTTCTGCGTTTGTTGGTAAAAGTTTATCACGTTCTAAGAAATATCAATAATTATTATGTAACATTGACCTTTCATCTTCTCTCGCATTGTTGACAAAGTAAATCTAGTACCCATTGTCATACATGAAATGTTACTTATATTCTCATCTGTCTATATTCATGAACAATAAACAAACCATAAACTACTGTCAGAGTAACTTACAAATCAAGGAAAGGTCGTTTCGAATAAAAATCGATTTAACTCGTTCGAACAAGTCAAACTTACCAGATGAATATCCATAGATTGAAACCGTGATATATAATAATTAATATTTTCTTCATTCATAATATTTCCGCTATTATCAATTCCGAAATCCCAATGTTTCTCATCGATCGTATGATATATAATACGATCATCATCAATAAGCATCGCTACAGTTGATTCATCATGTTCATAATAAGGATTTAGAGTTTGAGCAAACCATTGCCATTCAATATTTCGATTTTCTTCTAAGAAAAATAGAACCTTATTTGATTTATGTGACAAAGAAAAATTCACCTCGAGTAACAAGAAAATGATTAAGAGCAGAAATAAATGCACCAGGTGCTTCACATAAATGAAGCGTTGTCAATAGTGGATTTTTATTTACATCATTAATCAAATCAAAATTTGCTAAAATTTCATACATTTTTGCCCATGCTTGTGTACCGATTTCAATATTTAATTTCTCACGCAAATATGGTACAATAGTCGAAGCTGTATTCATATAAGCAGTATGCCTTGAAAAATAGAAAGTGATTATTAATTTATCTGGTTGAGAAAAAGATTTATGGCTCATTTTAGATTCCGAGAAAGTAGAAGCTGAAATTTTGTTTTGTTTCCTTATCGTATTGATTGATGATTATTATCAAATGAGTGTTGTATGTGCTCTCTCTCTCTCTTTCTCTCTTCCTTATTTCGATATGATTAATGATACTATATGTATTCGAACCTGTTCCAATCGATAATATCTTTATCGGAAAGTAATGATTTAACATCGTTTAGTTGCTGCTTAATTGTAGTTAATTTTTCCAATAAAGAAGATACATCTGCATTTCCAATAGAATTACTAAAATTTACAATTAAGAATTCAGTTGTTTATTGCTGTGACCGATTTATGTATTTAGTTTTACTTCTCAAAAAAATCAAAGCGTAGATTTGTTCTACCAGTTTCTATGTTTCTACGTTTTGCTTCATCAGAATATTCATTGTCATTTTGTCGTTTTCTTGTTGTTATCGATTCCTCAATAGGTCTGTCATCTTCATTCATTTTCACTTTATTTGTCTAAAATAAATACATAAATCACGCATAAATTTTGGTTCGAATCGGTAATTCATTAGTATTCTATTTCATCCTAGCCAATATTTGATAGTTAACGAGAACACAATTACTTTTGTAGTTAAATAGCGTATTGATTTTTTCGCTCACAAATTATTTGCAAAGCAAAATAGTAAACAAAAAGAAGAAAAAAAAAGGCAAAACATCCCAAAACCCAAAAGAAACAATAACTAATCACTGTCAATTCTATTTTCGCTAATCTGACACAACCTGTTATTTTTTTTTTCGATAAATAGTTTTATACGCACACATTTAAAATAATAAAAAAGCGGTACGCATAAAAGACAAAAGACAGAAAGCATTCTCAGTATGTATATATAGATATGTATATTCAAAAGAGTTTCCAACGTTTCTTCAGATCGACACGTCGCCATTCTGGTAAGTTATAAAATTCTGATCGTGACATTTGAAATAATGAATGAAATTCATCATTGGATAGATGACGCTAAAGAAAACGAACACGAAAGATAAACAAAAAAGAAGAATGCATTGGTAACAAACTTCAAGGTGATCTCGATCGACATCTGATGGCAATCGTTTTTTCAAAAGAATTTTTAAGTCTTCATACGCATAAATCTTTGGATTACTCATTAAAGCTGGAGCAGAATGGGTTGAATGTGTATATCGACCCTCGACATCAACTGTCTAAAATGTCAATAGAATAAAACTCAATAAAAAAAAACAAAAAAAAAACGTTTTTTTCTCATACGAACCTTTACTGACTTATCTTGATCTCTATCATTTGAATCTATAATATATCACAATAAGATATCAATGTAATCGATCACTAATTACTTACAACATGAATTTGTTGTTGATTCTATATCACAATTTCTCTGTATGTCAAGTCGATTAGGCAATGTTTGAGCTTTCAGTGATGGTAAACTGTTATCATCAGGCCTTAAAACTAATATTTCATGTTGTTGTTGATATCTTGGTAAAAGAATATTTTTTGTAATAGCCGGTGTTGTCGACATTGACGCTGATAGACCAGCGAGACTATCATCCTGATTAGTCATCGATGATGAGTGTGTATGCACACGTCGTGATGGCGAAGCAAATGTTGGTGATTCAAAACGACAACGTCGGGGTGGTTCAATAGCTGCTGACGGCGAACGTGATGCTTTCCATGGATCAAGTGGTAATTGCCGTGATATAATTTTTTCTTGTATACGCAAATTTTCAAGCAATGCATGAGCCATGCCAGACGATTCTTTTATTTTGGACATAATATCGATATCTTTTTCTAATTTTTGATCAACACGTAATTGATCATCATCATAATCTGGATCGGTATTTTCGCTTGAAATTATTTGTTCGTCACTAATCGAAATTCTTTGAATTATTTCATTAGGATTCGCACGTGATTCACTTCGACTTCGATAGGATTTCATTAGTTCCGGTACAGCTTGCATAGCGATAGGCGCCGGCCAATCAAGGGATTCGATTTTTTTCGGAGCTGCTGGATCAGGTATAAAACCGCCTGAATATCGAGATAGAATAATAGGCTCTTCTTCAATTTTATTTTCATGATCCGACAATGTTGCCACTGAAGGTGATGTAGAACAATGAACTTTACGCACTTTAGTTTGTGCTGATAATGGAAGGAGAGGAAAAAAAATAGAATTAGTTTTAATTTAAAATAGATAAATATATACCAGTAACTAAAGCTTTCATTCCTTTTTTAGTACCAGGAACTGAAAATTTTTGTGTTCGATTGTATGAAAATCCAACTAAAATAAAGACAGAAAAAATGAATCTTTTTATTGATAAGATATAAAGATTTTCAAAGAGAAAAAAAAAGAACTTCTATCAATGACATAACTTTTTAAGTATATACATATGTTGAAATCATTTCAAGGATTTTTACAGAACTAGTTCTTCTTAGTTCGTTTTACATGGATATTTAAAATCAATGTACTAAATAATAGATTCGTTTCTTCTAGCACATACACATGTGTATTAAGCTGATTATAGTGCTGTTTATGTATCATGGCCGCCTGCAGACAATATACCACTTGCATTTGCTCTTGGCTCTTTTGATAAGTAAGAAAGAAAGAAAGAAAGGCAGACAAACTAGTTATGTTTCGTTACATCATCCATAAAACTAAGCACATCAGTCAAGTGAACAAATACGTGTAGATTTAATTGAGTTATGATCTTTTACTACCTTTGGTATAGCGAGGAGAAGGAAAAAAGAATTAATATTCTATAACTGATTTCATCCTTTTCTCATCTATTATTATTATTATTATTTACGTTTAGGTTTAATTATTATCTTTAAATAAATAGTTTGAAATAAAAAGACAAGACCTTAGTATCAACACTTACTCATTTCTTTTTTTAATGGCGGAACTTGTTGCTGCTGCTGATGGTGGTGAACCATCAACATTATCGATCGCTTGTGTGTATATGAGTGTGCGTGTCGTCTTCTTATCGCCCCGTTGTTAATAGTAGTAGTAGTGCACACATACAAAGCACGATTGGGTTTTTTTCTGTCTCTTTCTCGCGCTTGTCTTTCCTTTTCTGCTCACTGCTTTATTCGCTCTCGACGTCTGCTATAGAAGTTGAGAATGTTTTTTTTCCGATTGTTTCACCACGTTTGTCATCAACTATTTTTGAGCTCTTGCATTGAAATATCTCGGTATGTCTCCTTTTTCATTCCGGCATGTCAAGGCCATTCACCAGACTATATATATATATATATATATCGCACACAAAAATGTTATTTTCTTCGTCCTATCATGATAGTTTCGAGTCTATCGATTTCTTTCCGTCTTCTTAGTTTTTTTTCTTTATCTTCCGAACTCCGGAAATAGACGAACGAATAAAGAGAAAAAATACTCTCTCACAGCTGTCATTTTGGTATTCAACAGATGTTCGGAAGACGAGTAACTATATCCATACATCCACCTGCTGATTACCCAATCGATATTGCTCTTTCCTTTTGCGTTGTCAAGCCGTGTAATTGATAGGATCAGAATAGGAAATAATAGCAGTTTAGTGTGATCATCTTTCAAGCGAAACAAATTATTGTTCAATGACATACTCTTGCCTTTTTCTTGCGTCATTGATATTCACTCATATTTTTATGTTACACAACGAGATCGATCCGTTTAAGGATACCTTTCAATTGATTAGTGGAGAACAACAAAAAGAAGAAAAAGAAAAGAAACGAACGTCAACAGCTATTTAAAAAATGAGATGAAAGTTATAATTACCTGGTCTATGAAATTGTGGTGATTTTGTGCATGAAGCTATATGATCACTACCGCCTCTTTTCATATAACCCATATTTTCTTCGCCATTCAAATAGCCAGATGTCAATATTCGGTTTAGATCACTTCTGCCTATTTGACTCGGTGTTACTGTACCTATTGTATGTGTAAGAGCGGTCTAAGAAGAAGAAGACGAAGAGAAAAAAATGTCTTGATGATTGTCATTCAATTTATCAAATAATAATCATTTATGATTATAAATTTCATGGGTGTGTCTCGTCGGCACGCTATATATCTTGTTAGTTACTATTAATCAGTTTTCTCTTACTCGATGTGGATGTGATGTACTTGATAGATCACGGGGACTTGCTTCGTTTGAATCATCATATGAAATTAAAGATTTACTCGATGGATTTTGAGTAACATCAATATGAATATTATCGTTTGCGAGATTTTTGTCATGTGTTTCGGGTGATACAAGAGATAATGAATAGTCATATGCATGATTTTCCTTGTTTTCACTTATAATTGGTTCAGATTTTTTAATTTTTCTAATTAGAAAAAAGAAGAAGAAGAACGATGAGAGATTATATTGTTTTGTATAGAAGAATTTTAAACCTACCTCTTTTTCAGAAATGAGAACATGATGCCGTGCTAAAACGAAAAAAAAAGATATCAAGTTTGTGTTGAGCCACCTCAGCAAAGAAAAATATCACTTTCGATAGCATTTTCTCTTAACGTATATAAAATTTTTCGTAGATATATAGGCTTGACGACAATGAGCGAAAGAGAGAATGAAAATGTATGAAGCACCTACCGAATAGTTACTATCGTCGATTTTTTGCGTATAAATGTAATTGAGAAGAAAAAAGAAGAAGAAATATAATAATTGTCTTCTTTTTTTTTATCGAAATAAAGTAATAAAACAAAGATCGATTGATGCGACGATAGTTATGCTTCAATTAGAGAATAATGAAGCACTCACAATCGAAGTACTGACACAGCAACGCGTGATAACGAATAAAATAGCTGAATTTATTTAGTATTGAGAAGATCTTTGCATTTCATGGATGCTTTGATCTGCTCATTTACTGCTGCCAACAATGAAGGCAGCAGTACCATCGTCTAATACCACTAACAGCAAAAAGAACAAAAGTATAATGGGTTATATTATATCTCACAGAGCTTTTTTCTCTTTCTTTCTTCGGCCGGCGTCCGTTGATAAACAAGGAACGTAGGGCTTTCTCTCTCCTATTTTCTTCTTCTTCTTCTTCTTCATTGTGTCGGACGACTATGTCTGTAGGATAAAAAGATCCCATTTATTCTAGTATGCACTATGTGCATATGTTCTATGCCGATAGGTCACAGACATTCACACACACACAAACAGACTGTTCATTGTTTCTCTCTTGATTTATTTCGTCTTCTTCTTCTTCTTCTGTAAATAAGAAGGGAAGGAAATAATGAAGTGACATACATGATGACAAAGAATAAACGCATTCTACGGATTTCTTTTCGTGTCATAGTTATCAAGCAAACTGCTATTTATATAAATATGCGTACACACATATATATATATTATATATAAACGTATCAAATTTATTCATATATATATATATATATATGTATTGGCTTCAATGTTCAGAGAAAACGAATGAAGATATATAAGTGCTCATCAATATTATGCAAATGTATATGTATTACGTGTTAGTCGCCATCGAATCAACGACTGCGAATTATAATAGGCATATTAAAAATTTTCATGCCATACGCATCTAGCCTACATGTTAGATATCCTTTCATTTATCTGGCTTACCGATTTGATTGATTCCTTAATATAAAATCATTGCTATACCAATTTACTTTTTTCGATTTTATTTATCAAGGATAATGAGATTAAGGAAAGAGAAATATAAGTAGTCAATCGTAAGTGAAGATGTCAAAAAAGGTTATCTATCGGAGTTGATCATCGCCATGATGGCCTTCTATTATCCTTTAACAGAGAACAAAATAAAATAATGTTCTATTTATGGGAATAAGACAATCTACTATGAAAGCAACATAACAGTATTTAATTAAATAATTTAGAAAGTTTTTAAACTAAATTACACATATTCATAATCTAGCGACATCTTAATGTTTATTAAACGACGAAAATCAATAAAAACAAAATAAAATTTCTCTATTTGATCGGAATTTACCAAAGACAAAATGAAATTCAATGAAACTTTTCTTTTTTATTCTTGATCAATGTCCAATCATCAACCAGTATCGATCATGCATGTATCCATCTATATATATTTGTTGCTCAGATGATCATGATGATGTGTTGATGTAGAACAAGACGACAACGAAGAAAAAAACAACAACGGTCTATATTAATATTTTTAGATTTCTGACTGACATTATCATGAATATTTATTAAAAAGCTAGCAGAAAAAAAAGCGAACTATCATGACTATATTTTCATCAAAGAAACCTTCAAATAGCAATAAAGATTTATCATCAAATTCAACTACACAACAACAACAACAACAACAACAACAATCATCATCATCAAATATTTCCCGTGCACGTTTATCACGTGATGATGATAATCCGAATAATATTCAAGTTAATTCAACTGAAGAATCTAATTTAGTATGTGAAAATAATCTTCCATCATCATCTTCAACAACAAATACAATTCTAACAACACCAGCAGCACCTGCATCTAAACGTAAATCGCACTATTATCATCAAACAACAGTTAAACAAGCTCGTCGAAGAGGTGCTTCTGTTGGAGAAAAATTAATCTCAAATGCTTCAATAACCAATGTGACTTCTAATAGTCCATCGTCGAGTTTATCGATTGAAAATAATTTAACATCCATATCAAACACAAATGAACTTTTAACACAAACGTCAACGCCAACACCATCCCTAACAACCGTTGCTCACGATGAACAATGTAACAGTGAAGATGAATATGAACAAACATCCGTTAAATATGATACAAATAATCTCAATGAGGTTTGCTATTTTATTTCCAAAGGAATTTTTCTTATTTCTTAAATTTTTAGCTTGAAATGCGGTTTGCCAGAGCATTGAAAGAGAAAAAAGGCTTTGTTATTAAAGCAGTTCAAGAAGATGGCGCATGTTTATTCCGAGCAGTGTGTAAGTAAAATATTATTTGTATTTGAGAGCAATCATTCATTCGCCAACGAACTTTCCGTAGTTGAAATCCATCTGTCTCGGAATAATAAAGTTCAAACTATCCTAGATAAGCTAAAAACCAAATACAATCGGAGTTAGTCATTTTTTAGAAAAACACCTGATAGGAGAAATGCATTTTTCGAAAGACTAAAAAAAAGACACTTGTCATAAAATAAAAGAGTTCAGAAAAAAAAACTAATATGAAAATCCGTTTATATCATTAGCTTTTAATTTGAGAATAATCGTCGAACTTTGAAGAAACAGATATTTATTGTAATCGAAAAAGTAACAGGTGAATATCACCTGCTGCATTCGTTCGCTACGTGATAAAAACATCTCGTATCTTAAGACTGAAGCATTTTGTTTATTTTATTTTCTATACACATAGTTACTGGAGCTATGCTGAAAAATTTCAATTCTATAAACATTCATGCCATAGGGTTATTATTGAAAATCGACGGAAGTCATGATGAGAGGTGAAGGTTGTCGCTGTGTACGCTTTTATTTGTATATTTTACAAGGTCAAACAGTATTATTGAAAATTCACCAGTGCATTTTGTACAGGTTTCTTCAGAGTACAAAGTACTCGTACCTGAACTTTTTTTCTTCGGAGCCTAATTAGATTGTTCTATTAAACAGAAGGCGGCTCATTTTGCTATCAGCAACGAGAGTAAATACAATTATAGAAAAAACGATAAATCTATTGTTACTGAATGAGAAACCGGAAAACTTGTTTCGAGACTATACAAAAAAAAACAATACATATCGTCATAATCAGACCAGTGAATGAAGGATACTCGTGCTGATTTCGCCCACATGAATAAATACTAACTATGAGTAATTATGTCTTTATAGCTGATCAAGTATTTGGTGATGAAGAAATGCATGCAACAGTTCGACAGAATTGTATGGATTATATTGTAAGTTACTTGATATCAACGAAGCAAAAGCTGTCTTAATTTCTTTTAAATTTAGGTAAAAAATGCAGATTTTTTCCGTTCATATATAACAGAAGATTTTGATCATTATGTAAATCGTAAACGAAGGCAAAATTGTCATGGAAATCATATTGAAATGATAGCCCTATCAGAATTATATAATCGACCGATCGAAGTTTATGAATATAGTATAGGTACGTACGAGAGACAGGGTAATAAAAAAAAATCTATTTTGAGTTCTTTCTCTCGTTTTTTTTTTAGAGCCGATCAATATTGTACATGGAATGTATAAAACAGATAATGAGCCTATTCGTTTGAGTTATCACTGCGGTGTTCATTATAATTCAATTATTGATCCGTGGAGACCTACAGCTGGTCATGGTCTTGGATTACCTGATCTTCAGCCAGGAGTAAATAATTCGAACGAAAAAAAACGACGAACCACAACATTTTTGTTTACTATTGATTTTAGCGTGCTCAAGAATCACTCATACGAACAGCCCTACGTCAATCAGAAGAGAGTCATATTGAGCGTGCTATGCTCGATGACAAAATAGCTGCAACTGATTGGGAAGCAACACAAGATCAATTAATACAACAAGTAGCAAGAGAATCTTATTTACAATGGTTATGTGATAGTAATCAACAACATAAAGATAACAAAATGGTTCGTTAATAATCGATTGCCAGGCTCTAGATTTACTCAGACTAACGAACGTTATTGGGCTCTTTTATTTTAGATGCCATCTTCCAGTTCGTCACCGACATCAGCAACAACCCATGAACGAACTGCAAATAGTAATCACGGTACTTTTAAACCTTCGAAAAAAAAAATTTTGTTTTTCTTATGTTCTTTTCATTAGGAAGTTCCCCAAGAAATTTATTACCGTTGAGACTTGATGAAAGAAAAGATTGTGAATTTGCCTTACCATTTAATTATGAATGTGATCCTTCATCAAAACCTAGTATGTCTTCGTATTGACTTTTTTGGTTTAGAATTCACTTAGAAATATTTAGAACTGGACGATGACGACGATGATAATTCATTATTGCGACAGGTTCTTGCCATATCACAAATCGAATATGTTGAAACATTAAAAAAACAGCAAAAACCTCCGAAATCAGACGATCCCAATGGTCCATCTTCGTCTTCAGACACACATCTTTTGTAGAAATTGTTGTTTCTGTGTTTATTTTTTTCTCTTCATTTGTTTGTTGTTTTTGTTAATTTATACTCCTCGTTTTTTTCTATCCTGCTGATATTTCAACAACAACAAAAAAAGCCAACACAAGTTACACAGAATATAGCATATGCGAACAGGTAATGTGTGTGATGCACGTTTGAAAATTTTTTTCTTTTCGCTTTTTCCTCTTCTATTGTCTTAAGTTTATGTCAATTATATCGGTGTGTGTATGTTTGGAATTGAACGAGAGTCGTATTTCGGGTATATCTCTCGATTTTATTTCAGATAATGTCAAATAAAGAAATAAAAAATCCGAAACGTAAATTAAAATCTGATGATGACCAGGATGATGAGAAATGGTCAAAATTATCACGTGAACAAATCATTCAACGGTGCCAACAACTTGAAAAACATGTTGACCAATTAAGAAATACAATTGTAAAAAAGAAAGAAAAAAAATCGAATGAGAAAAACACTAAATCTATGAGACCGTTCGATTTTAGTAAACATCCGAAACGACATATCTTTCTAAAATTTTTCTATCTTGGCTGGGAATATCATGTGAGAAAATGAAAATTTCGGTTGGAATAAAAGAAATATTTTTCAAGTGAATTTCAGGGTTTCGTAGTTCAAGAAACAACATCGCAAACAGTGGAAGATTTCTTATTTGACGCTCTCATAAAAACTCGATTGATTGAACAACGAGCAACATCTAATTATCATCGATGTGGACGAACAGATAGAGGCGAGTGAATTTTCGATAAAAAAAAAAAAAGTTGAAGGCTACCTTTTTATCGGGCAGATAAAACAACAATAGAAGATAGCACTTAAAGCTATTAAATAACTAATAGTATATGTAAGATCGTTTTGTTCTCGATGACCATGAAAGTCAATTTGACATCGTTTTATAAAGAGAAAAGGTCCCGACTATTATATTCTATTGTTTTCAACTTGAATAGAAAACCATGATTTCGTTTCTATTCTAATGAACTAATCTCAATTTATCCTATTGACACATTCATTTTTTCCTACTCATTGACCTGAAGGCATACACAAGAAAAACACGACGACGTGTCTAGACAAATGCCCAAGGATCATTTAATGAGAGAAATTTAAGAAAAAAAAACACAGATTAAATCTTCGATTGATCAATAGACAATTGTTTCAAACTCTATGAAATGATTTCCCATATGCATGCTAATATATTCATTTGTTTTCTTTTTGTAGGTGTGAGTGCATTTACACAAGTGATTTCATTGACTGTTCGATCGAAAATTACTGCAGAATGGTAGCAATCTTTCTCTCTCTCTCTCTCGTCCTTTTTCTCTTCATTATTTTATTCTAGCACCGAAGAACTTAATTATGTACATATGTTAAATGGTGTTTTACCTAATTCGATTCGATGCGTAGCATGGGCATCTGTACCCGACGGGAAATCTGCTCGATTCGATTGTATATCAAGATCCTACCGGTACTATTTTCCAAAGTAAGAAATTGATTTATTCTTCGTTAAGATGATTTTGTTTATTTTTTATTAATCTATAAAGAGCGAACCTTGATCTCGATCAAATACGTCAAGCAGCAGCTGACCTCGTTGGTACGCATGACTTTCGAAACTTTTGCAAACTCGATATTACCAATTCAGAACCGACATTTATTCGGCGTATTGATAATGTAACTGTTGAACAGTTAAATAGTGACCATGATTTGAATAGTAATAATTCTGGGTAAGTGTTCGTTTTTGTGTACTCAAAAAAAGTGAGTACACTCTAGATTCGGCCAGTGTGCGTCCGGCCGTTAACACGATAACTTTTGAAAGCTTCATCCAATTGTCATGAAATTTTGTACACAGAATGATCTCATCAATATCTCAGTCGAGTTCGAAGATGAGAAGGATCCGTCAAGAAATAGCTGAGTTATCGAAAAAATTGTCATTATTGACTAAACCATCCCTGAGGGGGAGTACAGGGATTTTTTCAAAAAAAAAAATTTTTTTTCAGAATTGTTCACAACATATATAAATCGACTCAGTTTTTGCAGTACACATAACAATCGGATGCGAATCCGATGTTTCCTCATTTATTTCAAAATAAAACTATTAAAACTTATCTTTCTTTATAGTTATGAAATGTGCGAATTATTAGTGCACGGTTCTGGATTTTTATGGCATCAAATCCGATGTGTTGTAGCGATTTTAATTTCTATCGGCCAAGGAAAAGAAGATGCTAGTTTAGTTAGAATGTTACTTGACATTGAAAAATATCCATGCACACCGAATTATCAAATAGCATCTGGTAAAAACGATTTTTGCGTGTTGTCTAATTTCAATCTTCTTCTCTTAGAACTACCTTTGGTTTTATTCGATTGTCAATTCGATGGCGTTGATTGGATATGTGATCAAGCCAGTCTTCGTATAACTATTTGTCATTTACAACGGCATTGGGCTTCATTTCAAATTCGTGCCACTATGATTAAAGCCATGTTAGATAATTTAGAAAATCAAATTTCTGACAAACAACAACTGCCGATTTTAGGACAATTGTGCATTGTAGACACTGACAGTAATTCATTATTAGGATACAATAATACTCGAAGAAATTATCAACCAATTCTAACACGTCCAGTACGAGAAAGTGTTGAATCAAAAGTTGAAAAATTTCAAAATAAAAAAACTAAACTAGAAACAACCGATGAAATAAATCAATCGGATTAAGTTTTCGTTTTTTTTACATCTTTGTCAATATAAAATTGTGTCTCATATTGGTTATCTCTATACTATGAATGGACTCTTCGTTCTAAGGCCGAACACTGTACTATTCTAAAAGGGAGAAACAATATTGTCAATCGATGCCTTATGGTGATATTCAGAGTTTTGTTTTGTCACATGACTGCATCCTACTACATGAAATCTTAGAACTTACTTGAGAGTATCTTAACAGAGACTGCTGAATAGATTTTCAGAAAAATATTTTATAGTACATGATCTTTAAAATCACTTATTTTATTCATAAATAGACAAACATACAGAAAAACCAAACTGAACATTAGAGATGACTATGATTATTATCAGGAAGATGACCATTTTCATCAAACAATGGATCAGAACTCTGAGAAAGAAAAATTCAGATTATCATACTGAAAACTTATTGAGTGGTCTTACCGGAAAATTGTTTTGTCTTGGAAATTTTAATGAAATTTTTTTTATTGCTACTGCTTCGCCCAACGGAATACCAGCAATACTACAACAAAAATAAGGTAAAACTACAGACAAAGATTATGTAAATAACCTTAATCGCATGTTTCGTCGCATAACATCAACAAAATTATTCTAAACCGAAAACCGAAAATTTTACTCCGAAATCTCTATAGAACATCTTTTTACTTTAGTTTGTTTTGCTTCGTTATTTGCTTTAACAAAAAATTCTAACACGGCAATTAATATAGCCAACGCTAGACCACCAATTAAAATATAAAATATACCAGCAACATTCACTAGGTTAAGTGCATTGTTTTGTTTTGAATCCTATTTCATTTTCGAAATATAAAAGAAAATTTTCCATTCAGTTTTTTCAACTAACCTTCGTGGTATCACTATGGCATTCTGATCGATCGTACCACCATTTCTTTTTTAAATTATTCATTGTACCATCTTCACTCATTTCCAGTATCGCTATATTAATTGCTTCTCTAGAACAAAAGAAAAGGAAAGAAATACATTTTGTAATTCAACATTTGATTTGTACCGTAATTCTGAACCAACAGGTGTTGCTATTCCGTAGCCTTTCGAATCTAAATTTGAACCGATTTTCATTGTATCACATGGAGAACGCTCGTTAGTGTATTCGTTTTTAGTAGACTTTTCAACAAAAACAAAAATAAAGTTGTATCCATAGCTCTATATTAGAACTTACTTCAAGTAAAAATGCATATTCTTTAGACTTTCTAAACACGAGGTCAAGATAAATGATCATATTGAAAGAATGAGAAGTAAACTTACCGAACTTTACTAATACCTTCTTCATTACTAGCAACAAAAACATCATCTCTTTGCTGCATGTATGTCCACATGCGTTGAAAAAGTTTTACGTCAGATTTCTAGTATAGAAAAAAATGTTGTTTTGTAGTCAATATATATATATATAACAAAACCGAATTACTTCGAAAAATGCTTGTGTCGATCCACCACGTACAACGCCATATTTTATTTCTGTTTGTCTTGCAAGATCTTCGACACTTTCAATCGGTGTTACCATTCGTTTAACGGTTAGAAAAGCAGCTGAAGAACACAAACATACAGTTCTAGAATTGTAAAATTCATGATTCTACTGACCTAAATTGGCTGTATAGGAAGAAACAAGAATCATCGAAAAATACCACCAAACACCAGCAACCAATCGGCCTGATATAGATCTAAACACGAGAGAATCAAGAATATTCCTTAACAATAGAATATCGGTCTATGTGCATCCACAACATCCAGTCAAAATAACAAGCAATCCTCTAGCACGGCAACGCCAGCTGAATACGATATTTCGATGTTGATAGTTCACGAATTTACCTTGGTATAAAGTCAACGCCTTGCTGCATAAAAGCCGCTAAGGCAAAAAACAGTGTATTCAAAATTGAAAATTTATTTGATAATTGCATTGTTTCTTGATTTTTCATACTCCATTCGTAGGGCGAAAAACGTGAAACAAGAAAAAGTATAACGCTAACACCAATATACGCAAATGCAACGCACATCCAGATTTCTTTTGATAAAGGCGTCATAAATGAAAACACACCTATAAGCGAATATTAGAAAAACAATTTCTTTTGAAAAACTATATTTCTTTAACCTGGTTTATTTTTTTCTGGTTTACTAATTAGAATACTAATACCAAGATTCATCCATGGTTTGCTGAAGTCTACTACATTTTCTCGTTGACTTGTTATTGTTAACGGTGCAACAGCAAGGTCAGCTTCACGTCTGACTAATTCTCCAATCATTCCAGTCCATGGTTGATCATTCGCTGGCTTGTTACCAAATGAATTATCTTTGACAATCCGAAATTTACAAGGGATTCGCAGTTTATTTTCACATATTAAACGAGCTAAATCAACACAATAACCGTATAGTTCATCAAATGTAAAATATTGACCAGCTGCATCGGACGCAGTTAAATTGCCAACCGCACTTTCATTTAGCATCGTAAACGGTTCATCCTAAAGTTGAAAAACGCGATTTGTTTTTACACTGCTAAATAAACAAATCTAATGCTGTTTACAATAATCGTTGAGATAATTCGTTCTCGCGTTTTGTCAAAATCATGTGCTTGACGACCTTCAAAAACTCGAAAATCACGTAAAGTAAATTCATCACGTGTAAAGTTGCCGATCTTAAAAATTAGGCGAAGAAATACATAATTCTATTCTTTTTTTGGTAGAAAACAAAAATTTACATTTCGCGGTAATCTATTCATGGTGACTTGATAGATGCTTAAAGTGTAATTAATACGTTCACCATAGTCATTGAATGCTATATGACCAGAGTAACCATCGAATGAAAGCTAAAAAAAATCAAGGTAAGAAAAAAACGACACCTGCTTTGTTTTATTTAATTATACTGATTTCATTATTATAAATAATTCTTCACCGAATATTTCATGTGATCGATGATTTTCTTTTGTTCGACAATCAATTTTTAAATGGTCAAAATTATTATCTTCATAACCGGAATGGATAATTTTCGAACGAATATCTCTATCTAACCGCATTATTGCTCGCATATATAATGACAAAGCATCGGCTAAAGATTTCTTTTCAAACTATAAAAACAAATGAAATCAACAATTTACAAAGTTCTACGGTTAGACGAAGAAAACAAGCATACCGATGCGAGAGACAGCCGATCAGTTAACGATCCATCGGATGATATATTCATTTTGAACGATGATTGCGGTAGAAAATAAGTTACATTCACTCCACCATATCGGAAAGTACCCATATCGATTCGGTCAGCGTCCTACAAATTGATCTATAAATAATATTTATTTTGCTATTTTACTATACTTACAAGACTCATGAGGATATAATGATAATGAGGTGTAGTCATTCCATGATGTCGAATCTAGATGAATTATTATTAGTAAACTTAATTAGATTATACAAAGTATACTTCAAAATTTTGAAAATAAATCCACTCCGTGATCTCAGAGAGGACAGGAATTCTTTAATCTATATTTTTGTAGTCTGTTTTCTTTGCCGAAAGGCGATGCATTCGACACCCGCGTAAAATTAAATTTATCGCATTGTACAACATTAGATTTCGACGTCAAAAGTCAGTTTCCGCGGCACACAGCTGACTGAATTATTCAATATATATTATCTATTTTGTATATGTTCATGCGATGTAATTTTTCTATTGAAAATTCTTCGCTCGTCTACAACTAATTCAATTTTAGTTCTATATCAAAATGAAAGCTTTTTGTGTGTGCGATCAAATATTACAAGTATGAGAAAAATAGTGTTCTTTTCTTCGCAGAATGCTCTCCGCTTACAGTTCAGTATGAATAATATATTATTCGAAAGAACTTTTGAACTGAATTTATGAGCATCAGAAATTATCGTTCTTTTTTCACCCGAGCTATTACAGTTTTTCTAGCATAAAAATAAAAATTGTCAGGATCGATTATGTTTTATGAGAATCAGACACGATGATTCGGTTCATAGAAGGTCAACTTTCAGTCAAAAATGACATTTTGGGCATTCGTGACAAACAGAATCCATCAAAAACAGTGTCATTCTCTAGAGCTCTGAAGAGTCTATCGAATACAGTGTAGAACTCATACTAGATCGTTGCACTCATAAGCAAACATACATGAAAGATGATGACTATTGCCAGAGTCTACGAGAATATAATGTTATATGAAGAAGGAAAAGAACAATATTTCTTCGTACTTGTCATATGTTATTCCATAGTGAAAAGATAGAATTTTAATTTGATACGCAACTCAAATTAAATTAGTCGAAGACGAGAGACGAATCTTTGATCACATTGAGTAAGACGCACGAAGGCAATATGAGATCTAACTGCTTCATACGAATGGCCATTGACTTCTGATATCTTAATTGACTATATGGAAAGTAATAAACTCAATTTCAACCGGAGCTCAATGGCATCGTTGAATGACCTTCATTACTCCTATCAAAGTCAGTTTTGTCTACAACGAGGAAGAAACTGTGAAAATGAACATAAATGACTTGAGTCTTACTTGCATTAATAATTTAATATAACTACTGATATTGTTCAAATCCAACACAATGTAAAGTTCTTCTTTCGAACCTCGATCTTTAATTTCAATGCTTTGCAGTAAAATGCCTGTATTATTTGAATTCGTTATATCAATTAATTGACGACCTTGAATATCTAGAACATCGTAGCTTTTCTCTCGCGCTTGTGCGACTACCAGCGTTTGAAAACGTTCGAATGCTTCATCACCTTCCATAATATAAAACAGTTTCGTTATTTTATAACGTTTAATTAACGCAACTAAAACTGGTAGAAGATCGATTTTCATTGTTAAATGATAAAGTTTATTCAAGGAAGTTAAATCTTGTTTATTGTAATTAAAATAATTTAATGAAATCATTGACACATGCAAACGTGTCATAAACAAATCAAGTAGGCGAGTTTTCGAATGATCAACACTTGATATTGAACCAATCACACCGGATCCAAGACGATTGCAAACTAATGAAGGAGAAAATTAATTATTTTCGAAAAGTACTCAAATCGATTTTCATACTCTGATGAACACTTGAATAGATATTTGAGTCCTTAAATAGAGAAAAAAGCACACTTTATGCTTGTTTCGTATTTAAACTACTTACAGTGACATTGTCTGAAATCGATTGAAAATTAAATTGATCGACGGGCCAAGAAAATGTTGTGTCATTTAAAATTATAGCAGCTGATAAAGCGTCGTAAAAAGCATTTAAATCGGCATCGTTCGATGTTTTTTCGTCGACAAACCAACCTTGAATGCGCAAAATTATTTTGATTATTGCTTTAATTAAAATTTATCATTCTTACCAATCGGAATATGGGTTTGACTTCGAACGGAAATAATAAGAAAAACATAGATCGTATTTCGAATCATGTTCCAATGACATATGAAATCATTATATAAAATAAAGTTCTGATGGGCTAAGAAAAAAGAGAGAAAAAAAAGACGATGGATAAGACTAGATAGTTTTCATGTTGTTGTTGTTATGACAATGTGTACGAGACTTTTTTTCTTTTGATATAGTTTCGATGACGGAGTGATTTTATTATCGAGAGATTTAATAATGACAATGGGGGAAAAGAGATGAGTGGAGATGGAGCGGAAAAAGAAATGGCAAGTAGCTACTATGTTGAGCGACGAACATGTCGATGCTATAATCGGTTGATCAATCATTAGGGAACATTAAGAAAAATCGTTTGCAAAAAAAAGACTAAATCTGTGCAAGTTACAGAGACAGTAATGAAATTTCTACAATACTTTATGATATTGGAGTGATACACTGAATATAATCGTCCGATAATAGATTCTAATTACCAACATCGACTTGATCCGGCATCCGTTCATATATATATATATATATCGTTGCACTCAAGAGAAATACGTGGAGCAGAAACAAAATTCACTGACAAACATTTTACTATTCCAGAAGATACTAACGGTTTCTTTTTCAAGGACGACAAATAATGTTATATTTCTAATTTATTATAGCCAAAACCTGTTATCAACAATCAAGATTATTGGTAATTAAGAAGTTTTGAAACAATCAGTTCAATATGAATGTGATGAGTGTTGGAAAATATATTTACTATAAATATTTAACTAGACAAAAAATTCATCACAAAACATGCTGCACATTAGAAATTCAATGAAAAATAAAACCTTAAAAAATACACACATGTATGAAAATAAATAGCGAGGGTTTGAGACATTCGATATGTTCTACACGTACAGTCTAAAAAATGACTGTGGCTTTTTATCACACAATATGCATGTATTAACTATTTTACTACAAGAAGTACAACTAGTCAAATGCATACACGGATAAGCCGCAATTTCTTTAGAATTCGTCAAACACCATCGGCAAAGGTCACCAATGTCTAAATGGAAAAGCAAAAGAAATCATGGTAAATATAGTAGGTAGGTATCGATTGATAATTTTTGAAATCAAACTTACTTGCAGACATTGTTTCGCTTTGAGTAGGTAACAATCGTGCATAGCTACAGTTTGGAGACTGATAACGATGCATAACATTAATTTCACCCGACGGACAATCATGAATGTTATTAAAAGAACGTCTGCAATTGTAACATCGAAGTTTAGTACTTTGCCCGACACAGTATAAGCCCGATCGTATTATTTCTTCAGCATTTCTTGGAAGTCCACCTGGAAACGTGTTCAATGAGGTCTGCCGGTGTTCCGGAATGCTATAATATGATGCCGATGTGGCGATAAGCTTGGAATTGGGTTCAGTTGCAGCATTAGCTATTTTTTCTTTTGTAAACACTTCAGGTATAGGTTTGGTGGGCACTGAGCTTGAGTACATTCGATGGGATGAACGAGCAAAAGGACAAAAAAGAGACAAGCGCTGATGAATATCCAACGGATTATCATTAGCATTCCAATCATGATATTCTATTCCACAATATAAACAACTTGTGCAGTCTGGTGTTATTCTTCCAGTCCAGCACCAACGTGCTTTGATCATTTCCATTGGTGATGGGGATATATTAGGCCAATTCTTAAATGATTTTTCACTTTTAATTAGTTTTTCCTTGTCGTCATCAAAATCGACTGCATTCAAAATCAAAGAAAATTTTAATTATTTCAAAAGATAACTGCAAAATAGGTAACATATCCCCTCCGCTTGGTCAAAATAAAGCACACACGTCCAATCCAAGTATGTTTTACAAGAGATGAGAACTGTCGAGTGAGAGAATAGCGAAGCAATTCTATGTCAAAGAAAGCTGTTTCAATATCATTAGACTGTGGTCATACCTTGCCATGGGAACTAAATAAAACATATTTGTACAAGATCTGTTCTCTCTTACTTTACACTTTAGGATACGATACAACGAACAAAATAGAAATCTTTCTAATGACAGCGTACTTCTAAATAATACGAAACTCTAAAACAAAAAGGGTAAATTTGTGATTTAAGGAAGCTAGTTCACAGGAGTAACTAGAGATATAGACCTATTGTTTATTTTGGCCAATGGGACGAATATAACTTGTAAATCTTCTATGATCAAGATAATATTTACCGATTTTTTTCATTGCTATGCTTGGTATAATAATATTTTCTTTTTTACCGTTGATATGTTCGATTTGTCTCTGAAGAATTACGCAAGCCATGTACAAATCACATTCAGATACAAAATCATCATCTAAAATAGTTACATAGGTAAGATATGAGCGAATAAAGCGATTTGATTAATTCACGTTTTAGTCGTAATTGATCTTCCCAGCATCGTTTTATTATAGATAATTTAAAATTTTGATCTAATAACCGTTTTGAAATTGGTAAATCCAATCGAGCAGCAACAAGCCTCGATAAAGTACTTTCATCTGGTATTAATAATTGTCGCCTGTTTGTTGTTGGTGGTAGTGATGGTGCACTAGTATTTGGTATATCATTACGGACAGTTCGATTTTTTGATTCATTGGCTCTTGCGTGTTCTAGAAAAGAAAAAAATATATAAAAAAATTTTAACTTTGAGTAAATAATTTTTCAAGCATACCTTCATGTGCTCGTTTAGATTCTTGAATTTTACGATATAATTCTTCACCGCATAATTTTCGAGCATATGCACAATGTGGAAACCAACGAGCATGTTCAATCATTGGATTATCATTTGGACCCCAGTTTTGTAATGACCCATTGCAATAAAAGCAGGTCACAATACTTTTTGTACCTGTATAGAAGAATCCTGCTCTTACTAAATCATCAACTGGTGGCAAATCTTCAATTGGCCATGTCGCATAGGATGCATGGCGTTTTGGTATTTCTGAATAAGCTGGATTACATGAATCTGTAAACACAGTATCATTCGATCTCAATGGACCGAGATTACTGGCTGTTCTTGAAGGAATATCTGAAGTATTTACTGTTGACTTGCCATCGCCAACATTAATCGGTGAAACTGCAGGACGCATTAATTTTGATTTTACATATGGACAATTAGGTGAAAGTTTTTTATGTACATCCCATGGATCATCTTTATGGGGTGTCCATTGTTGACAAATGAGATTACAATATATACAAATGACTCGATCACCAACATTGCAATTAAAAAATCCAGCTTCAATCATTTGCGCACTGGATGGTATAGCACGATGTGACCAATGCGAGAAGGAACGCCTTTGCACTTGTTGGATTAAGTCAGTTTCGAGTACAGAAGTCGGTATAGATGTTAAATCTTTGATTTCATGAGACATGCCGGTAGATGAATTTAACGCTTGCTGTGAAATACTTGTACGGAATAGAAGAAAACTGATAGTATCTGAAATAGAAACTGTATGGTTTCGTTAGCAACAGAAAGTAAGACCAAAATAACTCTTTCAAATAAATTATTTTGTTATGTTAGTATTATGGAAGTTACTTCTTTGTAGCTCTATCGATAGTACCTTCGGTTAGACTCCATGATACTGTTCTTTGTTGAACGTAAAGGTGTTTAATAATCGGTGAAATCGGAAATGACTAGAACCTACGTTTTGTTTTATTGTTGTTTAACTATCAAATTGCCTATTATGAATCAATATTATTTTGGCATTTCCCAACTGGCCATTGTTTAGGCAGTACACCATAATCAATCGAGCTTCGATGTGGCTGGACTACCATATTACCATATTGTGTATTGCTCATATCGATTGTTGTTCTTCGGTCTTCAGTTTTTTTAAAATTTACATAATACAATATATATATATATATATATAAGCACTTAATGTCGTCTATCGATTGACATCTGGAACCATTGAATAAAGTTAGAAAATCAAATTAAACATGGCGTAATAGTATACTCTCCCAATATTAAGCATTTAAAATCTATGCGACTGGCGATTTGATCAATAATCTATTTTATTGATTTATACCAGTTTTTTTTACTGTTTAACTATTTATTACCCCTACGTCTTAAGTGAGTAACTGATATTCGTTGGAAAAATCCGTCTGACTTGCACAACCAATATGAAACATTTTACATACTGGAAAAACATTTTTGCCGCAGTTGCTATGAAATCAGATTTTGTTGAAGCTATCGAAATACTACTGTGAACATAATGATAATAACTAGTCTTCTTGAGGAATTGTATTTTTTCGGAAGCGTTTTGCAACAACTCGTGCTTAGTTAAACCATTCTTTCTCTCGTTTTTCAAACTGTTTCGTCATTTATGACGTAATAAATATGAATCATAGAAAATAAAAAGTTTAACTTGCTAATAAAAAACTCAGTCATCTATGATTTATTTATTAAAAGAGATAATTACATCTTCTTTTTCATCATAGCATTCGCAAAGATTATAATCTAACCACTATGTTTGTACTAGCACTGACTGAAGAGATTAAAGTTGGTAATAAAGATATGAAGATCTCGTTTCTACATACTTCTGAAGATTCCAGGTAACATATGGTGAAATCCCAGCTTCTGGCGAGCCGCACCGAAAGACGAAGTACGCTAATGCTGTCAGTTTTACCTGTTGAGAACAAGTAAAAATGAAAATGGTTGTTAGTAGAATGAATACTTAATGTTTTGTTGCTTGTCTTTCGAGTGACGCACATTTCTTTTTCATCAATCTTGGAAAAAACCAAGCAGTGCGTTTAAGTAAGGTGGAAAATGCATCGGCTGTCGTCATTCGTAGATACTGAAAGATTTTCCCGTTCCCATTCAAACATAAAGTAATATTTTGCACGAAATAACTCTTGATTATTCGGCTTTGTTGTTGTTCATGAAAGCATTTGTTTTACTAGGTGATATTTTGTCGATTCCATGAAAGACGATAACACAATTGACAGTGATTCAACATCTACAGCTACTTCCGAGTGTATACATAGTGATATATGCGATTACGAAAGTGTACTGCCAATGAGTAATATGTGTATATCTTGCATGAACAGTCATCGAGCAGTCGCTTTTGTACCTTGTGCACACTATGCAATGTGCTTACCATGTGGACTAGGTACAGCACAATGTCCGATTTGCCGCACCACTGTTATGGCATGCCTGCGAATCTGCGAATAATTTATTTATCGCATACAAAATCGTTCTGAGCACATCAAGTCCCTTTTTTAAAATCAGTTCTATTGATTTTTTTGAAAAATAAACTACTCTTGTCAGGGTTGCATGAATAGTCTAGAATTGAGAATTTTCTGTGTGTGCAGTTGTTTCTTTGATGAATGTTTACCGAGAATAAAGTGACGTTGTAGAATAACAAGGAATTAATTGTATATCGTATATCTAGATGAAAACCGTATCATCCAGCAAATAAAACTATAGGGATATCGGCTGACAAAAAAATATCAAAAATTGAGATTCAACCAATCGTTCAATTGAATAATATTTGTTCGAATGATTAGTTTCATTTCAAGTAACTTTGAAATTCGCAAGCATCACAGAGAACTGCAATAGCAAGTTTTTACATGAAAGAATAAATCTGTTGGAAAAATTTTCAACGTCTAATATAATTTATTATAACGAACAATGCAGCACGATAATTACAAATGAAATAATTAATATGTGTTTTAACACAACATAAGTAGTTCATGGCTAAAGACAGATGCTCACAACTATCTGACCGATTAATGAAACAGATTATTGTCTTTTATACCATTTACAAAGTTTATATTCAAACATAAATTCGCACATAAGCGACAATTTTCTGATGGCACCTTGGACACAACCGTAGTGATTCGCTGCATGAAACACAGCTTACCAAATGGCCACATGGTAAACAAGCTAACTGTTTTTCTTTGATCGAGCAGATCATGCAAGGTATGGCTACTTCTGAAACTTGCGTTTGAGTGGCATCGTTGTTAGTAGGAGTTGCTTTGATTTCCTCTTGATTTTCATTGGCATTTGATTGTAATCTGAGACGAGAAGACGATTGTGATGATGATGTGGCGCTTTCATGTGCCGTGTCATTTGATACATGAATAGAACTTGATTGATCAGTATCACGTGCAGGTGATGTTGTGCTGCCTGAGCCTTCTCGTTGTACTTCTATAGAGCAGAAAAGAAATAGAAACGATGAAAAAATTGACTTTTATTAAAATAAAAACAGACCTGCTTTGCTTCTTATTTGTTTCATTCTTAAACTTGGTATCACGATATTTTCTTTCTTACCATCGATATGTGTAATTTGTTTTTGAAGTATTAAACAAGCTACATATAAATCGTATTCCGACACGAAATTATCACCTAGAGAAAACGTTAATTGAATACTATAGAAAATTTCATGTCGATTAACTTACGTTTAAGTCGTAACTGATCTTCCCAACATCGTTTAACTATCGATAATTTAAAATTTTGCTGTAATAAACGTTGCGAAATGGGTAGATCTAATCGAGCAGCAACATGTCTCGATAGAGTACTCTCATCGGGTATTAATAATTGTTCACTATTCGTTCTTAGATTAGTATTTGACATATCAATAAAATCTGTTCTTTCGTTTACTTGATTAGATCTTGAACGTTCTAAAAACAAAACAAAAATAGATTTGAAATTTAAAATGATCGAGACATACCTTGCTGTGCTCGTTTATATTCTTGAATTTTACGATATAAATGATCGCCACATAACTGTTTAGCATATGTACAATGTGGAAACCAACGAGCGTGTTCAATTGTTGGATTATCATTGAGCCGTAAGTTTTGTAATGATCCATTACAATGAAAACAAGTGACACTATTGTTTGAACCTGTATAGAAAAATCCTGCTCGAACCAAGTCGTCGATGGATGGTGCATCTCTGTTTGGCCAATTAATGAATGATTCATAACGTTTTGGTATTTCGGAATAGACAGCATGGCATGGGACTCTGAAGATATTATTTGATTGTGTTGAACTTTCATCGTCAATATTGATCGATGAAATTGCAGGATGCATTAATTTTGATTTAACATATGGACAATTAGGTGAAAGTGTTTTATGTACATCACATGGATCATCTGTATGGGGTGTCCATTGTTGACAAATAAGGTTACAATAAATGCATATTACTCGATCACCAACATTGCAATTAAAAAAGCCAGCTTGTATCATTTGTGCACTGAATGGTATAGTACGATGTGGCCAATGGGAAAATGTACGTCTTCTTACTTGTTGAAGTGAATCAGCTTCGATTAAAGTATGAGAAATAGACTTTGAAGCTCCTGTGTCAATCTTTCGACGTTTACATTGATTTTCTGGTTCTTCGGATGTCGATGTTTTTACAGTAGAAGCAGTAGATTTAGATGGATTCGATAATGAAGATGTTAGTACAGAACAAACGAATGGGCAATCAGGCCTACGTTGAGAATGAATAGTAAACGGATTCATATCTAAAGTCCAGTTGGATGCTTCAAGTCCGCAATCCTTACAACGAGCTGTATCTCCATTACCAATGTATTGAAACCCAGCTGCAGCCATATGACATACACTATGGACGCCAACTTTTTTTATTGATTGGACCATTAATTGAATTCGATCACGGAGGGAAGGAATACGTTGTGGCTCGGTTTTCGAACGAAAATTCATTATTTTCTATTGAAAAGAGCGGCCACTTTGAATAATTTCAAAAAAATACGTAGCTGAGATCGATATATAAATATATATATCTTATAATATCTACAGTAGACATGAGATATAGATTAACCTATATACATTGTTAAAAAATTTAAAAGAATAATATGGTGACATTTACTGTATGTTATTATAAGTAAAGTATAAAACTTTTAGAAATGAGTCATTCTATTGTTGTGACTCTTTGCATGATTGTAGCTATTTGAAATTGGATTTTACCCAGTTGACAACTTAAATTACATAACTGCAACTTAATAAAAAAATAAATTGTTAAAGATTATATTTCTCACAGTGTGTTTTGAAGCATCCCCCAAACTTTTTTACGTATGAACAAAATGTAACTGCTTTACCTTATTGCAGTATGTCCCTGTCTATGGAAAAATCCAATCATTGCATATGTGGAGGAATTTTTGGACATAATATAGCTCTGTTCTTTCTTGATTGGAATATTCCAAACTTACTTGGAAAAAAAACTCAACTGTTCTTTCGTTTCTGTCGATACACATGTGACTACACAGGCTGCGAAAGTGAGAACCAATAAAAGAAAGAGACTACTAGCGCTAGTCATAGGATAGAGAGAAATTATAATTAGAACGAATTAAATTTGTAGTCGTAAGTAACTATGATCATACGAAATCTGTTGAACAAATGAACATCATTCTGTCTATTGTCAGTAAATTAAAGCGTGCCACTATCGATTTAATTCGCAACCAGCGAAGTAAATAGTAGTGTCTTTCGACACAGCATATAGAATATGTCTGAAGTCTTTAATTTACCATGAGCGTTTTTGCCAATTGTAGAGTAATATTATATTTTTTCTTGATTAGTTATGCGAAAAGTGTTCTGTTAAATAATTGAAATCATGCAAAAGAAAAAATTTACGATCAGTAGATCATAAAATCGAACCTGCTCTAGGTTGCAAGAAATGTCGATTTTAGCTTAAGGTTAAAGTAAATTAGAACGCTCAACCATGCAAAGCTTTCTAAATGTATACGCGAACGAAAGCTTCAATCCCTCGACGGCATATAGGGCACAATCGAAGAGAGTGGCCACACGGAACGCAAGCACATAGATGGCCACATGGTATGCATGCAATACGTCTTTCTTCCGTTAAACATAGAACGCAACGGTTCTCTGCAAATGAATCATCTGTTTTTTTGCTTGACGTAGGCGCAGCATTTGTAGCAGATGATTCAATTTGCTTCGCCTGCGCATCAACAGCTGTTGATGCTGCTGCATTATTTTCGTTATTGGGAGACTCCGAGGATGTTGTCAGTTCAACATCCGTGTCACTTGAATAATTCGTCTGTGCTGATGCGGCAGTGGCTTGTTCATGAGCTGACAATGCTACAACATTTTCAAATGAATACTTCGGTATTTGCTTGTTATTTCGGAAATACCTGCTTGCTCTGTATCGTGAATCTTTTTCATGGCAACACTTGGCACAATGATATTGTCTTTTTTCCCTCCAATGTGATCGATTTGTTTTTGAAGAATTATACAAGCTACGAAAAGATAACAGTCGTCAATGAAATCATCGTCTACGAAAAAAAATTAAGAAACGATTGACTTTCTCTAAAGAATTAGATAAAGAGATTTTTTTATTCACGCTTCAATCGCAATTGGTCTTCGTAGCAACGTTTGATAATTGATACTTTGAAATTTCGAACCAACAACATTCGTGAGATAGGCCAATCAAGCCGAGCAGCCACATATCTCGACAGCGTAGTTTCATCGCGTATATCGAGTTTTCCTGTACCCATGTTACTTGTGGCTGTTCCATGTGCTGCTTTGTTTGGCTCCTGCAAATTTGCTCGATCTAAGAATACAAACGCACAATAAGTTGCCACCATTTGGTAGTAGACGGTAAGATCAGACCTTGTTGAAATATTTTTGACTCTTGTATTTTTCGATACATCTCTTCGCCACATAGCTGCTTAGCATATGCACACTGAGGAAACCAACGAGCATGTTCGATTATTGGATTATCGTTTGAACCCCAATTTTGTAATGATCCATTGCAATAAAAGCATGTTACAATACTTTTTGTGCCAGTAAAAAAGAATCCTGCTTTGACGAGGTCATCAACTGCTGGTAAATTTTCATTTGGCCATGTAGAAAAAGAAGCATGACGTTTAGGAATTTCAATATAATGCGGATTACATGCGGCTGTATACACAATCTCCTGACAGCGGAATATATCAGTGGTATTTGAAGCCAATGAGTTATCATTGATCGGGCGTTCATTGATGATTTGGATGGATGCTGTTTGTCGACGCATTAACATCGTAAGAACATACGGACAATGAGGTGATAGTATTTTATGCATTTCCCACGGATCATCAGCATGTGGAGTCCATTGTTGGCATATAAGGTTACAATATAAGCAAATGGTACGATCACCAACATTACAGTTGAAGAAACCAGCTTCGATCATTTGAGCCTTTGACGGTGATATTCGATGTGGCCAATGAGAAAACGATTGTTTTCGTATTTCCTTTAATAGGTTAACTTCGGCAAGTCCTGCCCGTTGAAAAACGTCTTGTTTTGCATCTGTTTTCTGACGTTTCAATGACTTTTCAACATCAGGTGCCGCTGAAATAGGCAAAGAAATTGTTATTGCTGATGACAAAAATTTTGCATGATCGGGAAGCGTAGAACGAACAAAGGGACATTTAGGACTGCGCTGTGCATGGACAGTAAATGGGGTCATATCCAATGTCCATCCAGATACTTTTAGTCCACACTCATCACACCTCACCGTATCTTTGTCGTCTACATAGTGAAATCCAGCTGAACCCATGGCTATAACTGAATGGTCTACTGATTTCCATTTCTTCGATATCACTTGACATAAACTTATAGTGTTGCAAAGGATGAATAGTTTTTCAGGAGATAGGTACTTTTTTGGTAGATATTTTTGTTTCCGTGGTGATTCATAGTCAGAGATCTGTTTCACTTTCAACGAGATACCAGTAGGGATCCGTCTAGAATTGTTTGGTCCAGTGGTTTCAGTATTCAATATTGCATTTTTCATCGCAGTCAGTTCGATTCTGGAAGATATAATTAATTTGACTTATTATTTTATCGTTCATAACTAAATAAAATTCAGATAAAAAACTGTTAGTGTAATCGCTGTGGGGTTAAAATGTGAAGCACGATGAAACTTCTTTGCTGGAACCCGTCTGCCACGGCATGTTGAGCTTCTCTGTCACAGTCTGTATTATGATGTATCGAGTCGCTAGAGACCATCCCAGACCAGTACAAAGAAATTGAATAATTAATTAGTTTCTCTGTAGCGGTCTGTGGGGGTTCAAATTTCTATCCTATACACTTCTACAATCCTTTCAAATCGTGTTTCACAAAAGCGTTGGAATATCTTTCTAGAATGACAATATAACAATCAAAAATATAAATCTTTATTTAAAATAAATATTCTGTGGGTATTTTCTCCTTGATCAATGGAAAATGAAGATGTATAGGGCAGGTTCTTTAACTCATTTACTTTTGGATTCTAATGTACCATGTAAAGTAATTGTACTCAATCGAAGATCTGCAACATTATAATGAGCATTCTATGAAAAATTTTCAAGCAAATTTTCACACTTCATGGAGAAAAATATAGAACAGCTGAGATATAAACAACTAGCTATACCAGTACATGAAGTTACTCTCAATTGACTGTCTTCATCATATCCCTGTTAGCTATTTCTACAGCTGATTAAAATACTGAATCAATACATTTTTTTTACCTACTCATGTTCGCAATGCTTATAAAAGTATTCTTTTACAAATATGCACATTTTACTCACACTTGAGTTAATAACTTAATTATAGTGACAATATCCAATACTCAGATTCAATATATACGTCTATCGATAGATACATCGTTGTGTATTCCGAGATCGAGGAAGATTCATCACGCGTAAATAGTATGTTAGTTTTTTTCGTATTCGCAATTTCATAACATGTAAACGAGAAAAGGCAAACGATACGCAATATTGCTTTATATAAATATTTTTTTTATAAAATGATCAAATGTGATACGCAATTTATTTTTTGCGATCATAATTTATTTGTTCTTCGCAATACGCACATGGATTCATGTATCCTGTTAATGAATCATTTTTTTCTATGTGACTAAGATGTAGTCAATTCGAAGAAGAACTTTCTAGAGAGATGTGAGATCGATAAAAATCGTATTTTACTCAAGCTGCCTGATGCTTTTGTTCGTATCTCAAATAGAAATAATCAATGAGGTAAAACAAGTCACTTTTTTTATACTTTTATAGGAATAAAAGGTGTTCTTGAAATCAAGGATATTATTATTTAACCTCGATTCATTGAGGAGTCCTTTTCGAGTCAGATAAAAACGAAGATCTATTCAGAATTGTCCAAGTTAGAGTTGCACAGATCACTGGGATTGAGACTCAAAATTAACTAGCGCCGAAAATTTGCCTCTTATTTTTATAAAAACAGCTTCAAATTTAAAAAAATTGACTCAACGAACACCGTGTTTGCTTCCGACAACTTCGTCTTATTGACTTACATAACCATGTCTTCCGCACAATCTTCAAGTAGCGTCTGCGCACGCGCGCGAGGCTGCCCCTCTTATAGTTTTTAAGTTGGAAAAAACCAACTATGAAAAAGAAATATGCCATTGACTAAAACGCTTGTTTTGCCTCGTACGATGGCGCCTCGATTCGATTAAATTTGTTACTATTTCTAATTTGACCCCGAACACTTCCTGTCTGTACGAAAATTCGAGGCTTTCGAATATAATTGAAGGAAGTAAATCATCGAAGAAAACGTAAATATTTGGTATCGAAAAACATAAATTAGTCAGGCTGTAACTCAATCAAAAACAAAAACTGAAAATCATACATAAAAACACTCATACAATCATAAGACGCATTCTGCACATAGAACAAACCGAAAAGCGAACGTGTTAAAATTCATTTTATACTTACTTATTATGATATTTATTCGATAAATAACACCCGGTATACAATCCTTAATTGTGCTTTTCTTTTTTTTTCGTTTGACGACGAAGCGATCTTAATATAGAGATGATCGTTTCAGAAATAAATGTAAATGTTATCCCTATGTGATGATTAACTCTCCTCCCCCTCAGCCAATGCTCTTATCTAGTTTCAACACTTAATCATTTTTTGTCTCTGTTTAGTTCCGTTAGCTATTATCGGCTCGATATCGCACGCTAGAAACGAACACAAAGAATATTTTGCATAGTCTTATCGGGTAAAGAGCAACCCGACTGTGCATATCATTACTTGGAAAAAAACGTTTTACCAAGTATTTTATGATTCATATCGATTGTATTGATAGTTAACGCTTCGATATGAAATATCAATTATAAAATTTATTCCTCTACATACTTTTTCCTTTGATTTGTACCGCGCATGCAAACATGTGAAAAATCGCTTCATTTGATTTTATTCTGCTGTTGTTCTTGTTTATTGATAGTGAGGCAATTGTATAAACTGTTTATATTAGGATAATTTCAACTTTCAACATGATCGAAATGTCTTGTTAGATATCTTATTATTTGGCCTTGAGATAGTCGAACGTGACAGGGAAACGCCAAACGCGGGAATTTCCAAGAGAAAGAAAAGAAAAGTCGAATGAGTCATATGTGAAAAGGGAATGTATACCGGGGGGGAAAAGCCTAACAATATTTTTGAAAAATCTAAAAAGTGTGATGAATGATTAATTGTATGGAGGTGTGTTGAATAATTGATCGAGAACGAATTCTATTATTTGATAGTAAGAAATAACTTAGATTTAAACACAAAATCTATCAGCGGAAGATTGTCAACTTGTACAAATTATTATTAACATAATTTTTGGGTGTGAGTGTGGGCGTGTGTTACCAAGTCAGTTGGTTACCCAGCCAGATGGAGTTAATCAATCAAGTCACTATTAAAGTAGTTCGTTAGGACAAAATTTTATATCTAGAATGGATCAAATTTGATTCGATATTTTTCGGTCAAGATTTTTATTCGGCGAAGTTGGAGTCGGCGAAAATAAAATTTGGCGAAGCTGTACTAATTCATCTATTTAGTTGATTAGAAACTGTTTTCCAAATACATTGCTTTTCAAGCTTTTTCTCTATTCGTTCGAAAGTGCATCAATTGAAAATGTTAAAATGAGCCAATCATTCTCATCATAGCATCGCCATGGTAGTGATTATTCTCATAATATACCAATTAATGAAATATTATTATTAAATAATAATCATCTGGTGATTTATTTAAGATTAGTTGCGAGTGGAAGTTCAATTAGAAAATTTGAAACTATTACTCATGAAATAATCTCTCATCATTCACTACGTTAACGCCATCGTCAGGAACAAATTTATTTCGTAATAACCAAACAACATCACCACAACAACATGAAAGAAGTTATACAACGAGAAATTTTCATTCGAAAGAGCTAAAAAAAAGGTCTTTTTTAGACAAACTGGATCTAATTTTAAAAGATCGAGAAGTATTTGTTTGCTAAGAAATTTTCTATGCTAAAGTTTTATGTACAACATTTAGAACAATGATTTATAGTCTGAGTTCCATGAACGCATGATATAAATCATGTAATAGATAATCTAGGAAGCACTTCATCCTATTTTTGTGAAGCGCAGGATCTGGCTCATAAATTTTATATTTGCAACCCGGTCAAGGCAAAGATTTGCAAATAAATAATAATCTTTCCATAAGAGAATCTCAAATTTTGTCTTGCTTTTTTTTGTAAACGCCATTTATTTGTTAATCAATTTGAAAACTGAATCGCATTCAGTCAGAAGAATACAGTATGTGTTGCAACGCTCGAATCAATTCAACGCCTGATCTACAATATGACGATGACAAATCGGTAGATGATCTTCACGTATTGGTATAGATAATTATTTTTCTAACGATATTTTACACATTTATTTCAGGATATTTTTCTTTATTTTAGAATGATATGCCGAAAAGTATCATTGCTAATATTTTTGTCTGAAAATTTCTGCCAATAGCACATTGACCTAGAAGTGAAGTGCTCGTCGTAGGTGAATTATTTTTAACTGTTTCATTAGATATGAACGCATGGCGTACTTTTATTTCTAAAACATTCAAATTTCTAATTATTTGAGGATTAGACAAATATTTGATCAGTGACATAAATGCTCGTTTCAAGCGAAAAAATGACGTTCAGGTCAAAAATGCTTAAAAACTAAACTTACGATACACACACCAAACAAACAAACAGTAACGAAAATATACCGTTCCCCCAATAACGTCACACCACTGTAAAAAAAAAGAATTTGCAACGGAAAAATGAAAAACCCAATGGGGAAAATGCTACTGAGAATGATCTTTAGTAAGAATATTTATCTATTCGCGAGCAGAAAAATGAGTTTTAGCGGAAAAATAGTTTAGATAAATGAAACATCATTTTTCTTTTAGAAGAAAAATGGGTTCGTATGTAATCGAAATGAACATACATGTATTCGCGATAAGAGAAAAATGAGTTTGCACGATACTAAGGATGTTGGGAAAATTTACAGTCGGTTAGATAATGGTGGACTTTGGTTAAAACAATGATCGGTAAATTTTCATGAAGATGGGATGCCGAAAGTCATTTACGATATAAGCGAAAGCTTTGATAGTTTTGTGGTGATGCTTGACGATTGCCAAAGAGCTGATAAGAAGTTTGATTTCAATGAATCGTTGGGAAAGAAGGAATGTGAAGAATGAAAATGAAAATGAAAACTATTCATATTTGGTGTTTGTAAAGTTGTGTATAGCATGAAATATGTTGTATATGCACGGATATCTTTTCTGAACAGTGACGACAAAAGTTTTTTTGATAGAAATTTAGTATACACACACTGACTTGTACTTATATAGCTTGTCTTCAGTTATAGACAGAACGGAAAAAAAATTCATTTTTGACCTGAACGACACTTCCGCTTGAAATGAACATTTATCTCACCGATCGATCTTTTGTCTACTGCTGCAAAAACTATAATCAGAAAATTTCAGAAAAAAAAATTTAAGATGATATCACATTTGTATACGTAAAAGAAACCGTTTTAATTATAGATGCGTTCAAAACCTATTGTTAGAATCATTTTTTAGCATTCAAACAAGAAACACGAATTTCCTAATGAAAGTGAATCAATTGAAGTCTAAACAACTCAAATCTGTGTTTGAATTACTACGCAGAATTATAAGTGTTTAAATTAAACAGTTGAAGAAAAATTTTCCTGTGTGTATCAAAGGCCGAAATTAAATTTAAATAAAGATATCGTTTTTCGTTTTTACTCATTTAGCTATATATATGGTTCAATCTTTCCATTAAATAATGTCTTTCCATTTTATACTTGCATATGAACAGCAATATTTTCGGTTTATGTCACAGGGTTTTTTTCAAATAATATGGACAATAAATCTTTTTTTTTGTACGTTGTCATAAACAGCAGAACAACAAAAGACACCAATAAATTAAAATTAAAATACGAATCACCGTAGAGCTTGACGCATTAAAATATTTCATAGCTTGGTCACTTCATCATTCTCATCTTTATTTACTAGATCAGGGGCAGCTACTGCGATTGAATTTGCAGGAATTACAACTGCATCAGATCCATGTCTTTTCCAATGAATGAAAACAATTATACAGGCTATACCCGATATTATGCGAGTAGAAAAGCCTGATAACGCCATTGATATACCCATGTGACGATTATCATAGACTTCACATGTTTTTCGCCCATAACAATCTGTCAGCCATACTAAACATGATTGATCAAAAATAAAACCAAATAATAATGGACCCGTAGTTTGACCAAAAACTCGAACAATCGTTTGCCGAAGACCAAGTGCCATACTTTGACATGATATTGGTACGCTATATAGCAGTACTTGTAATAATGGAACTTGAATAAATGCTGTGAAGAAAACAACGAGTGTAGCACCTGTCATTGTTAAAACAAAGATCGCAACACCTAAGAAAAGAATATCATCGAAGAAAATTTTTTTAAGCAATATATTCTCTTACAAGGAATTTGTCGAAATTTACAAGCGGCTTCAGATAATCGTACTGTTGAATCTTCTGCACAATTACATGATGAATAGAAACTGACACTGTTATTGGTTGTTGTATAATTGGTACAACCATAATGGCATGGTGATAAAAACATTCTACTAGGTACATTTACACTGCAAACTATGAGAATGAATTCAAAGAAAAAATTTATTTATTTCAATAGATATAATTACTAGATCATTTTAATCTTACCTGGATGATATATGTTCTGACAACAAATGAAATTAATTTTAGTGCAAGATGAATATTCAAATTTACGTTCAGGACATGAGAATGTAAGAAATAAGAATAAAAATGATGATATTACAAATACTATACCACAGATGCGTGCACATCGTATCGGTGTCCAAGAGAATTTATTTAAAAACCAGGCACCTAGTGGACATCCAATAATAACTGAAAGTAGAGCAATGGCACCAGTCAATAATGTAGCCATAGAGGTGTCTAATTGATGTTGATATTCGAAATATTTTGTAATAAATGGCACAAATCCTAAAAAGAAATCAATTTTGTTGTACTAGCTTATGTAATTACGTTAAGCATATATGAAGATAATAATATGTACCTTTTATCAAAATGCCTTCAAATAAATTTCCGATAACAATGAAAATATATCGTGTATTTTTCATCAAAATTAATATGACACTACACATATGATTCAAATGTTGAGATATTGTTTGTTTTGGTATTTTAGGCAATGACGAGACATTCGTTGATGATGATGCTGACAGTACCGATGGTGTTGAATCATTTGTGATTGACGATGAAGGTATTGAATTAGTAATTGTTAATTTTTTGCAGACTAACTCATTTAAATGTACTTGATTAACAACACTTTCTGTAGTATTTTTCGCGTTTAATGACGTACCGGCTGTTGAAACATGTTCTGTTGAACTTAATTGACATGATTTTCGATGCGATAAACGATACTCGTTAGTAAGAGACTTTAATGAAGGGAGGGCAGTTTCATGTTGATCATTTGAATCGAATTGTAATTCAAGTGGACCACTTCGTAAAGCAGGTGTTTGTGGACATGAACTAAGCATTGAAATACGAGTCGAACTGTCTTGTTGAGATATTTGAAGATCTAAAAAAAAATCAAAAATGAAAATTTTTTATGGAAAAGAAAATAACTAGATTCTCTACTTGATGAATTGGGATCATTTTGAGACGATCGAGACGAAATAAATGCTTCAGTTAGATGCTGTTTGCCAGGTTTTTCATAATTCGGCAAACCAGAAACAATCAAACCAATAATGAAACATAATATACCATAAATAATATAAGGTAACCACCAACATCCAATCCATAGTGGATTATTAGGCGTTAACCAATATGGAAGTTGGTTTCTGGGTATGAGTTTTGTGTTAATTCGTAAAAATTGTCCTGTAGTTACAATGCCAAGTGCACTGCCAACCGTACCGACAGCAAAATAAACCCCTTGACAATATGCTGCTTTGTCACGGGGAAATATTCTTTCAATATATGCAATACCAATCGTAAATAAAGCTACACTGCCAATTCCATTAACGAAATTACCAAAGTATATAAGAAGTTTAGCATTTTGAGGCGTACTTGATATATGACCTTGTCTTAGACATGATAGATTACTTATATTTTTTGCATTGAATGGATCTTTATAGCATTCAAAGAGAACATCATCAGCTGTTGTTGTATATTGCGTCGAATCGGATTTAAAACTAAATATTGAATCTTGACCAACAAAATTGCTCGAAGCAATTAATAAATTTCCGATTCCGACAATAATCATATTTAATGAAAAAAATATTGGCGACGAATACCGACTACCTAAATAACCAACTAGTGGTGATGAAAATACTGTTGCTAAATCATATAAGGCCAAAAAAAGGCCAGATTGAACACTACTTAAATAGAATACACGTTCTAATGTTGATATAACAGCATTATTTGCACCATTAACAGAAAAATTTTGAATAAAATTACAAGTACATAATATTATATAGGCAGATAATGGATGACTTAATATACCAGTAATTCTTAAATTTTTCCAGCCATACAATTTATATTTTGAATGCGTATCGTCATCATCGTGTGATAACTTATTTGTATTATGCATAACAATGGTTGGCGTCATTTCAAAATGAAATAACACAAATTCTAATAAATCTTAATCATAATCTATAATCAAAACGCGTCTAAAATATTTCAATCTATCACATTATACGAAAGATGTCTTCTTGTGTCTAATGATCGATAATGTTTATATAACATTGAACATCAAATATCAAACGATTAGAACGTATTATGAGATCAAATGAATCGTTTCATCTAACCTTTTTACTAATAAGGTAAAAGTAGCAATACAACGAAAAAAAACCAAACTACATTGTATACATTAAGCAAACATAATTCATTTCATTACCTTTGAATACAGAGGCAAGACTTATATTACACTATCAATCATATATGACTGAATCTACAAATGGTAACATCATTTTAAATTTACCTTCTACTCGTGTCAATATCTAATCTTGAAAACTAAGTTTAATTATTTTTATTTTGTGTTCTACGCAGAAATCTTTCTTCTCGTTGATGCAATGGGGGCAGTTAGGCTGAGCAATAGACATCATGATCATGACTTTTCGAATCTTAAATGAGTAGCTATTCTTCTGTTACAAACATGCTACTTCTATAAGTTGCTTATTTTTCTTCCATTTACTTTTTGAATTTGACAAGAATCACAGTACTTAGACAGAGCAACAGAAAAAGTAAAGGAGAAGAAAAATAACTCTTACCGGATATGTTACAAAAGATTAGTGATAGAAAAAAATGACCATGTTCGTTTCAATATAATGAAAAAAAAATTCTTATTGCTTTGACAACATGTGAAGCAAGCAAGAGATGAAGCACAAGGCTTGAATAACAAAAAATTACTAACGATAAGTCATTCAAGCAGATAAATTGCTTGATTAATCAAACATCGATTTCGTTAGAAATAGTTTTTGTTTTTCTTCCTATGCAAATAATAACTTAAGAAAATATTTTTATTGTATAACAATACGTGATATCATGACTGCTTATTAGTAGTTCTAACAACCAAAAAGCGTTAGAGTAAAAAAAGTACTATATCATACAACTTGAATAGTTTAAAAAAACATTTCTCGCTTGGTAGATATATATGGAGAACAAAAATGACACTTTTTTAGAATTACTCCAAAAAAAACTACTTAATATTGTTTTTTTTATTGAAAATATTTTAACTAGTTTTCATCGAATGAACTATTGATAATTAATATATTCAGTATATTTTATATGCTCAGTTATATTACTATTTATATAGCCTGAAAAACACACAACCTACTTTGACGTGCTTTTTTCTCTTTTAACAAGATATTTCTTCATGTTTTTTACTTTTTATTCTATCTATCTTTCTTTTCTACAAAGTTATCGAGGTTGAAACCTAGTTTTCTCTTTTTTTTCTATCCTGTCATAAATTAAAATAAACAGATACTGGAAAGGCTTGGCATTATTTTCTCTCACATTTGTGGGTCATCTGAGTTTTTACTTATCACTAACTTATCATTGTATTTTTTTTATGACACGTTTAAAGGTGTCCGTAATCCTACAGTTATGGAAGATTCAAACCGATCACTCATTTGGAAAAAAATCTCATGTAAAAACTTTACGTGTAGTCATACGCAACGGTAGATGATTAAGAAGAAAAAAGAGAAACGTTGATGACGTCTCTGGCTTACTCTTAAATTTTTCATAATGAAGAGCTCACGCGCATAGTAAGAATGTTGATTAGATGTTATTACATAGATGACAGGAAGTGAGTTCTCGCGAAAAAAATTCATAGTCTGAGGAAAACAAACAAATGAGAAAAGAAGATTGATAGTTGACGAAAAAACTATTATCGTTTTTTTGTTCAATTCAGAAATAAGAGATAACTGTGTGTGACATATTGTTCAATATTATATCAAATACGATATTTAAATACGAAATAAAATTAACTAGATGATATTCAACTGTTATTCAATGGAATTTTATCATCAAAGATAAGATCAACTAGGAAATCTTTGTCTACGAATCCAATACTAATATGGCAATTCTTAATTTATTACTGTCGATAGACACGTATGTATTCACAGATATTTTAAAGTGCTTCATTGACATTCTGACGTGTCACCAAAGAATTACAGAAAATTCCCATGACGGGCAGCACAATGTATTTTTCGTGGTTATCATTTTCTCACCTAATAAAATCAAAAGTATTCAAAGATGAACTATTTACTATTTACAGTATGATGCAACTTTAAAAGACCAGTTTGCATAGATTCTTAACTTACAGTTCTTTAAAGATCAAAAAAATATATCATAGAATAGTTATATATCGAAAATGCCTCTGAAGTGAATGAATTTAAATTGAAAAATATGAGAAAATGTTGAACGTTGAACCTTAATTCCACTATTAACTCAAATATGAATCTAATAATCATAAAAGCGTAATGTTACCTGAAGGCAGATATTGTCGAAAAAGCATAGAATATTTCTTTTATTTTTGGGAATCGAACAAGATAACTAATCGAGATATGAATTTAAATATTTTATGTTAAGTAAAAAATAAGCTTGATAACTATAACATTATTCAGTGTTCTATGTTTATATCGATTGTAAATATGATATTTGTGCAATAGAAATTAATGCAAGTTTGGAGTTCTAATTTCAAATGAGAAAGTAAATTTTCTTTTACTAATTTTTAACATGATTTGCTATTATTGATTACTTCACATTGTTTGGAAATTTTTAAAATATACAACATACATATTAAAAAAGGATTGTTGAAAAATTCTTCTCGAAGTCACGTCAGAAAACAACAAATGAAAAAGATAATTCCAGTTTTATACTTAGAAAAATGAGTATTTTCTACTATTAGAATATGAGAATATTCTACAGCAATATGAGTATTCTTTCTGCTGCTAAATAATAATAATAAAAAAGAAATGTTCACAGAGTTATAGAGACAGCTACTGATGTTCGAGTAATTAATTTTTAGTGGCTCTATAAATTTCTACTTTACACATTGATGAATCTTAAAAATAATGTAATTAGATTTTGTTTTTTCAAGACGGTGATAGCTGATCCATGAGAAATCCATGCATACATATTTTTTTTATATCTAAGAGAAAGTGTAATCATAGATTTCTTTTGTATTTCAACATTCATTTGAGTTCCTGTTTCGAAATACAAAAGTGTGTTAAACCGTTAAAACACATGTTTTAGTATTTCATCTTTTATTGGAGAGATTTTCTATGAGCTGGTTGATTGAATATGATGAATACACATTTAATAACAACTGCGTACTTTAATTTTACATTTAATGTGAAAAAATGAATCCATTCTGAGATTATACAAGAAAAACTTTTAGTACTACTGTGTATACCAACAGTAGATAATCGATTCATAGTTTTATATCTCTAAAAGTTATTCTATTTTCATTTACGGACGAAAATAACTGTAATAACAGCATAAACGATGGCTTTATATATATATACAGTACAGTGCAAAAAAAAAGTTGCCATTGCACCTACGCATTTTCTCGAGTCATATATGTGAAGCGCATGAACGGATTTTTCTAAAACTTTTATCAGTAATTAAGGATGTGCTATACATGTTAAGCAGAGCGAGATTCCTCAAAAGGTATCGTTCAGTAGAGCGAGAGACATCATGATTCGAGTATCTATCGCTTTTCTAGAATATCAAACAGTCATATCACATTACCGCGACTAGGGCAATCGTAGCGCTACGAAAATCGTCTTCTTTAAGAAACTCTACGTCCATAGTATCTAACGAAATACAAATGAGGTCCAACGACACGGCATTGTAAAAACAAACGGAGGATCACGGTGTGTAGAATTGCCAGAAAAAATGGCGATCGAACCAAATTTTCTAACTATCTCGACAATGACTTGTCTGCCCGACTTGAAATTTCGATAGTAGAAAGGCATCGGCTAGTAGATAAAATTTTGCCCCACGTGAACAAATTCTGAAAATTTATCTTCAGCGTCAAACAGAGGTCAAAATTTGAGAAGGTTGCGTTGCATTTCTTTCCCGCTTTAAAAATCGAGAAGACATCGTATCGAGCTGAAACTCCGGCTACTGGATCTTGATCCAAAAGGAGGTTCATAGCTTCTTCCACTCTTCTCCAAACACACATTTTAGGCTAGCACATCATCCATGTACATAGGCAAAACGATCTTAAGCTATTTGAGTGTATCGATGAAGCTAGTGTTTACTGCTTTTTTTTGGCTGAAGGAAAAAAGCTAACTATCGATTATTATATGTGTGCACTCTTGTGTATGCATAATTTATTTATAAAAATTTTAATATTCATCATATTCAGTAGAGTAACTTTATCAAATACTAACGGCAATTATTTTTGCACATCACTGTATATATATATATATCATTCTCTTAACCCTTTCCGGCCCGGTGTTGCCATATGGCAACATTTTCCCCTAGGGGGGTACGGCAATTTTCAAACAGCGGGCCGGAAAGGGTTAAAGATTTCTGTCTATTATGGTAGCAAATGATCTTTAAATGATAGTATGCAATTTATTTAATACATGTAAAAACAAATTATCAATTAAGCTTCAAAATTTGCAATAAGAGCGACAACAGCAACCGTACTAACTAATATTGTCATATAATTATAATGCCTATCATCGATAACATGTTGACATTCTTCTTGTTCAATTTCTGAACGTGGCGATGAACAATGCTGTGGAACTGAACGGCGATCACGTGACGAGATTAAGCGAAGATCTGATTTCTGAGGTTGTTCTTGAGCGAGAAGGAAATATTCTGAATCACATGACGAAAGTGTTGTTGGCGCTGATTCAGCCAGACCACGTCGAACAAGTTCTTTATTGATATTTAAATTATTTTTTGCTATATTGTATATTTCACCAAAAACGTATGCTCCTGGTGAATGTATTGAACGATCGATAACATGTACACGAACAAGATCATTAGGTTTAACTAATGCTTCTAATGGTCTAAAAAGATTTCAAATTGTTATAAAATGTAAATATACCAATTCGAAACAAACTTGTAAGTAAGTGGCTCAAGAGGATGTTTACGTAAAAAAGCTGCTTTCCAAATATTAGTTGTATAAATGCATGCTAATTTAATACGTGTTGTTCCATTGTGTCGTGTTCGTATAGTTAATGTATCAATACTAACATGAGTTATTTGTCCGACTATAATATATGATAGAATTTGTAACTTTGAAATCTCAATACTATATAAATTTGTTTACCTAGATCAAATGGAAATTCAAGGGTACTTGATTTACTAATGTTTTGATATTCCTGTGGCCGTTGAAGAACATCGAACAGGCGAGTTGAATTTGTTTTATTGTTAGCATTGCATTTGGCAATGGTAAAAGCGATACACAAAAACCAGAGCCACATTCATTCAATACCAACCTTTCAAGTTGTCATACTGCTTAATTTCTTATTATCATGTAGAGAAGAGCCTTGAGCAGAATTCGAGGACCTATTATTGCTATATATAAAATAGCTATTATGATTGACTAGCGATCCAAAGAGTTACTTGCAATGTTAATAGAGCATAGCATGTGGCACTATTGTACAATGATCAAAATTAATATGTAAATATTAATGGTATTGATTTTTAAAGAATTTACTGTCTGCAGGTAAGGTTAATTATATTTTTTAGTTCTAGTGCAAGTGAATATATCATAGTTAGTTTATCGAAGATTCGACAAGAGGTCGCTAAAGATCGTTGTGTTCGTCTCTCATTATTTTTCTTGTAATGATGACGTCACGCTCGGTTTGAAAATAGATATATGTTTCTTGTCGAATCATTAATTTATTTCAAATAGATATCTCAAAATCAATAGCCTATATTTTCAACAATGTATCAGAATTGAAAATATTAACTTCACAATGCATAAAATAGAAGTATACAACGAATATAACTTCACACTAGCAAGGAAGTAGATCAGTTTTATTTTTGCAAAACTCATATTTTACACTTTGCCAATAATTACAAATGTCAGTATTCAGAAAACATTGACGTTCACTCCTATCTAGAACATTACAGTCTAGAAGTAATACATTTTATACAACTATAACGTCCTTGCAAATGGAATATTATTTGTTTTAATTCATTGGTATAAACTTGTGATGGTAGAATGAAAATTATGAAAACAAATGCTGCTGGAATGAACGAAAGAAAGTAACCGATAAGATAGAACCAAAGTAGGCTAGATGATTTGTTGCAATCTAATATAATTGAAATAATTAAATGAGGTAATGTTAAGCCTACAATAATAATAGGACTAATTATGAGATGTTTGTATTGTTTAAATTTGATTTTAAAATGTTTCCAAAAGTCCTTATCTCTTTTACTACGCACTCGTTGACGAGTACTTTCTATCACGATGAGTATAGTTGACCATAAATTGATAGATAATGGTGCAAAATAATGTAAAAAAATTAAAGTGTAACTATACGCTTGTAGCCATGGGAAATAATTGACAACACACCAGCTGCGTTCTTCATTTTTGTCTTCAAATACATGAAGATTAACTAGTTGCGGAACGAAAAGACATCCCATGATAATAGGTAACAATATGACTGCAATTCTGGAAATGTTTTTGCTTTTACTTCTGTTGAAATAAACTCCTTGATATATAGACATTGTTCTTTCTATTGCGACAAAGGCATTAAACCAGTTGTTTAAGTAAGACGTTATTTTTAGGCATGGTTCAATAAACATGCAATTAGCATTGTTGATAAATTGTTGAGTATTTTTACTAAGAAGATTCTGATGAGAGAGAAAAAGAAACCAAAACTTAAGTATAAATAAGATCATAATTGTTAAGGATGCGATGGATGATGCCAATAAATACGTTCCACAACCTACTTGGCGTGTTTTTTCTCTTGAAAAAGTAATTATCGATAAAATACAATTGACAATACCTATTAAAAATATTACCATCGTGAGTATTAAACTCACTTTTACTGTGATAGGTTGTTTAGATAGACTTAGGTTTTTTCTAAATTCATAACCCAATATTTCATCTAATGTAGAACCAAGACCCTTCGCATAGAATTGACATTGAGGGCCGAAGAAGCAGTTAGGACATAGACAAATTCTCGTAGATGGACAAGTTGGATGATCTTGTAAACATTCGGCTTCATTTTGACAATAATTTTTCATTGGACATTGAAAATTTTTATAGCGACTAAATTTTAAACAATTAGCATGATGATCTTTTGTGCATAGACATAAAAATACTTCATGAACAAAACAAGTCAAATCGTGACGATCTCCACAAAGCTTGTAGTAAGAGCTCATTGGTACATATTTATATTTCTCTAATATTGTAGAATTAAACAGTAATTCACTAGAAATACATTCTTGTTTAGGATTAATCGATGTTGAAATATGTAACTTTGGAGTTTGTTGTAGTGCGGCAAGATAATATTTGTTATTCGATTGAATAATCATTATATGAAATGGTGCCGAAATTTTGAATGTAACAATGTACTGAAAGAGAGTCAATTTTCGAAGAATAATTGTGCTTATCGGATGAGATTGATTAGACAGAGTGAAAAAGTAAGCCACGACATATGATGGAACATTAATGTTATTCAAAGAAACGTCGATTTTTGCTTTAAAAAATTGACATTTCTTGCCGAAAAATTCATCCGAACAAAGACAAGTATATTCACTTCCAGGTATAGTTACATCAGCTGGTATACACTTGCCATTGTTTTGACAAGCATTCACTGGACACGTTGACTGAAGTAGACATCGGGGACCAAACTTATCTGTTGGACATACGCATATTGGTTGATTTTTTGTTGATCCGATACAGATCGAATCAGAGAAGCATGATTGGCATTTAATCGATATGTTACAGTAAATACCTGACCATCCAGCAAAACATCGACAAAAATATTTTTCTTTATTGAAATATTTTACACATGAACCATGCTGACAAATCATCTTACAATTTGACGATGTCTGAATCATATAATTTAATATATCCAATTGAACAGCTAGTCGATTAACAGGCAAAAATAGGAAATCAATAGAGAAATGCCAACTTCCAATATATGTTAATTTGTTTTGTTCGAATACATCGATACGTATACTGTATTTCTTCGATAAGGTTTTTGGACGTGTTGCAAATAACAAATATCGATTGTATCTTATACTACAGCTTTGTATTGGTATGTATATGAACTGATCATATACATCAATCTCTTGGCGTTCATCATCGTCATCGATTAACATAATAACAACAACATACGTAGCTAGTTTATTCATTGCTGTCATTCGTAATGTTATACTAATTCGTTGATTTTGGTATTGACATAGATTCCCATAGTAACTAGGTGGACACACGCATGCCTTATTATAGCTACTATTTTTATTCCAAATATGAATAACGACTCCACGATGGCAATACCATGGCCATACGTTATTCTCAATAGAAGGTATATCATCATTCGTAGTTGGAGACTGGCTTACTGGCCATCGGGTGATCTCGTTGACGTCAGCTTTTTCTAATGTAGGATAATTGGGTGAAGTATGCACGGAAAAATAAAGAGATCTGCGATTTTCACCTTCATTTGTTCTACACAGAAGCTCTGCAATTTCACTATAGTTGTGTGCTGAACGTTTGTTACATGCAACTGGTGGCGTACTGCACATTTTTTCATCGTGTCTGTTACTACAATCATCTTTGCCATTACATAATTGAGATAATACCAGGCATGTGTCATCATTTCTACATCGGAACCGCATAGGCTTTTCGAAAACAGTAGAACTCGTTCTGCATTGTTTTTGTTCGTCAGCTCCTCCAAGACATTCAATTATGCCATTCTCAACACTCTCCGAGGGCAAGCAAATTACTGAATCGTTGATAGACGATATACACGGAAAAGTTCCTGTAGAACATCTTGTTCGACTACAATTGTTTTCATCTCGTCCATCAGAACATGACCAGAACCAATCACAGCGTGCATACATGTTGTCACACCATTCAGCTTGACATCCCAACTCTTCGTGAATCTCTTCGCCAGCTTCATCCCTAGCAATGTGTGTCTTCATGCCATCGCATACATGTTCAAATGGAACTTCTTTTTGAAATAAGAAAATGTTGTCCTGTGGACAAATTCCATCGGTCGCTATTGGAGACCAGCACTTTTCTTCATTGGGACATTGCTTTCGATATCGATCATTAAGTGAGCAGCTATGTTGATAGGTCTCGTCATCACCTTCGACACAATCATCTATTGTATCTAAGATGCGATGCATTGAAATGATTTTAATCGAATTCTGACAGTGATACATTGATGAATGATCGGTATAATTTGTTGTTCTATTGATGATCGCATGATGGATCAAAGAAGAACGAAAATAATCTTCAATCCATAGTGTAATGTATGCCCAGCGATTCGGAAATTGATCAAAGTTCCAATCTTGCTTGTGATCATCAGTACAAGGAAGATTTTCAGAAGTTAGTATAGGTTCGATAAAATCACGTAGCTGTTGATCATAGCAAATATAAATTGGTACAAAAGTCTGATTTAAGTCTTCTTGCGAATGAGGCTTTTCGTAGAAGAAGTAAACATGACCATAATAAAGTGGGATCGTTGGGAATTGGATAATAGAACCGCATTGCTGGAAAAATTCGTCTATTGAATTGCTTATTAGCAATGATTCACACCAAGTTCCATTAGCTTGTCTACTGAGTTTTGTTTTACAAATCATAGCAATCCAACATTCATCGGTTAAATTACCTTTGGTAGTCATGAAGTTAATCAGTAATTCATGACGACCATTATGACACTCGCCAAATTTCGCAACACATCGGCCATCTCCACATGGAAACGACTCAAGATTTTGTTTACTATTGCAAGTATGTTCTTCACAATGAAAAGTTGGATCTCGAAAACATGTGTCCAAATATATAACATTGACTGCTTCATCTGATCGATCAAGACAATCTACATCGCCTTCTCCGTCTTCCCAAAGTTGTTCTGAAATGCACAATCCATTATGGCAACGATATTCATTGTCTTCGCATTCGTTTATTTCCATATCGAAACAATATTCTTCATCAGCGCCTTCATCGAAACAATCAATATGTCCATTGCACACCTCACGCCAATCAAGACACCAAATCTGTCCATAACGATGACAATTTAGAAGAACATAGCACGGTACCTGAACAACTATTTCAGTTGATTCGACGTACGACTTCCTTGTAAGAAATGCATTATCAACAATTTTATCGAAGAACATAGATTCATTGAATTCAAAAGAGTATTGACATTTGAGACCAAACCATGGTTCAGTACAATTGTAGAAGTACTCGTTCAATGACAAAGTTGGCTCATTAATGTATAATTGATATTGTTCAGCTATGTAAATGGGTATCGACCACAATAGAAGTTGTTGTGAAGTGATGTTTTCTAAACGTAATTCTTCAAAACTTACATTTCGTGAATGTACATCGACAGAAGCTTCGATGAATAATTTGTCATCCATATTTTCTGGACGAAAACAATAAGAAATAATTTCATTAGTCACATCTTGCAGTTCTTGATAAGCTATTTTTTCACGATAAACATAATAATTTAAACAGTTGTATTGTAAAGATTGATGTTCACATGTAAGATCGGTATCGTAAAGGTTTAAGTGGCATGTAGTAGTAGTTATCCATTGAAATAACACTACGAATATAATAATCTGAGAAGCTATTTTAATGATCTTGCTAGAGATTGTATTTGCTATCAATTGATGTATACTTTTGTGACTAAGTTGTTAAAGCTGTCGATTACTCTATCGATGAGAGATATAAAAAAAAACATTTCAAACAGAATGAAAAACACGTTTAACTAATGAGCGAGTATGATAGAACAATGGCTAGAATCTGATGAAAAAATAAAAGTAGACACATTGTAGCAAACAGTCACAAAATAATTATTTCTTTTTCTACTATCACTTCGTGCTTATGTTAGTATTGTAAGGAGTAATCAATAAAAACCATATATTAACGTGATCTTTAGTACATATGGAAAAGACTACTCGGTTATAGTAGATTTTACTGATTCATCTGAACAGTGAAAAATTCTCGTCTGAGCTTTAGCAAGATTTTGGCTGCATAGGACCAAATTATTCACGTATATTTTACTATTAAAACAATTAGTTCCGAACGGACGACACGTATTTGCTGTTGTCAATGAAAGATGAGTATTGCATCATGAAAGAGATAAATGTCATCGGTATGCTTTAGTATGCTCTGTACAAATTTAAATAGTACAGAATAGCAAATTAAATTCTAAACGATTTACTGACAAACAGACAGAAGAATCAATCTTGAGTTTTGGTATCAAAGGAAAATTCCGATATCAAGCTCACTGATTACATGACATAATTTTATAGTTGTTGATTTATATAAATGAGGATAGTATATGAAAAATAATTAATCTGATGAATTTATGTATTTTTAGAGAACACTACCAAGCACATATGATTAATATTGCATAGATAGAGCGACAGATAGAAATAGAAAGATAGGCAATAAAAAATATTGAAAAGAATTCTAGTTACTCTTGAAAGAATAGAAAACGGTATGATAGGTGCAATTATTCATACATTTTATTTCTCTGATCATGAGTTCTAATGTAACAAAGCGCGTGACTTTTATAATATTGGAATACTTTAAAATCGCTAGATTATCAAAAGAAAAGATAAAAATAAACTTATCTGAATAATGCCATTCTAAATACGAATTAATTCATTAAAATCCGATGATAAATTTTAGTTTGGACCTTTTCCATTTTTTTGAAATAGTATCTTTTGGAAATTTTTTCATGATTCTTTCCTAGTTCAACGGTTTATTAGTATTTGTGTTTATTTTTTAAAACTTGTCTTCATAAACATATGATAATTTCTTATTACTTTATTATTCTTTCACAGATACGTTGTTAGAGATTTTTTATTTTATAAGCGAATGCTCGCAAATAGTTAAGCTCATAGTGATATGGTCCAAACACTTATCATTTATTTCAACTACTGATAATTCTCAATTGTGTGCCATTATATTTGAGTATATATTACCCATTCAGATAATATAAGTACTCAATTGATTGTTTTACTTTTCATAAAATCAGTAACGAAATAATTGGCATTGGTTAATAGAATCCACTTTGAAACTGTATCAGGCGTTTACTCATCATTATTTTAATACATATGAAAATAATATAGGAAAAGCCAATCAATTTGAAAACAAGTTTCTGGAAGCAGATTTTTAACAGAGAGAGAGAGAGCGCTTCATGATTTTTTATATATCTAGAAATGTTTTAAGTAGGCGGAAATCTCTTTTATACTAAAGTCTTATAGTTAACCATATCTAGATTCATTCGTTGACAAATTTTCATGATGATAATATGCATTTATTCACTGATAAAAGAAACAGTGCATGCTAATTCAAAGTAATGATACGTTTTTGAAAGATACGTAGTATAATAGTTACACTAATTTGGACAATTATTGTCTGAATTTCTGCAAATATATCGATTGTGTAATATTTAAAATGATTCCATGGTCATATTTAGTGGTTACGATGGGCAAATGTACAATTTATTAAAAATACAAAATAATGGTAGATACTAATGAAATAATATTCATCTATTATCATCATCATTATTGAATCTAGGTCAAGACGCAAGAACAAGAGTTCGTTTATTCCTAGAAAATTACGATCAGCCTATAAAATTCGTTATCTAAGCTAGAAAAATAGCATCCTAGTTTAAAAACATCAAACAATATTCAATTTTGAAAATATTCAGCAGTGTAAGTTACAGACTGGTTCATATTTCTTTTTGATTTTTTTCAAGCAGTAAATGTTCAACAAAAAATGAGCCGATCGTCTGAAAAAAAATCATTCAAAATTCGATTTAATTCTTAATAACGATTGAAAGTTCATTTAGAAAATAATCTTTAAAAAAATTCATTGGTATTTTAATTTTTATGTTGTATATTAAAAACAAACATGAATATGTATATTTATTGTCATTTAATCCTGAGTGGATAAAAGTGTATTTGAAGACTGTTTTAATGTATTAACGAACCAATCACGCAGGTTTACATTACTTGTTTGTGCTCCGAATTTTGCATTGAGAAAACATTCTAATTCAACATATGCTTTGGAATCACTTAAATGAGGCTTTTCCTACAATAGAAAGAATTGTAAATATAAATACATGTATGAATAAATTTAAATTTAAATATACTTGTGATTCTTTTTTAGCATTATCGCTTGTTTTTACTGATTCTTCGTGTTCAGTCAAGAGAGTAAATAATTCTTGTAAAATCGATTGTATTTGAGTCTAAAAAAAATGCTTTTTTTTTACTAAAAATTGTTTTTATTTTTATCTCGTATATTACTTGATTGATTTGTTTTGGATCAGTTTCAGCTACTTGAGCAATAGGCAGATATCTAAATAGTCAAGATGATTGTAAAAGTCTACATCAAGAAAAATAGTGATACACATAGAAAAGACTGACGTCCTAAAGCTATGTTGCTGAACTTTATGGATATATTATGTAGAAATTGTTGATATTGTATCTAATAATTATCAGATGTCTTTGCGTAAAAATAATTTCTTCATTCTGTTTTATAATGAAAATATCAAGAAAGACTAGCTCGAAGGTAGAAACAAAAGGCTTAGCGAGAAAAAAGTATTTTTGACTTTTTTTTCTTAGTAGTAATATGTAGAACAGCTTACAGGAAAAAAGTCATTACCTAAGGCAGCATTCTATGAGAAGGCGCACTTTATAAATTATCGGTAACAGTTTTCGATGAAAGATCTGTGTATACACACCTAATATTGGTATTTTTCTGAGAAAAAAAGACAATGTTTCAGAACTCTCTACCAGTAGTCTCCAAGCAAACGACAATCCCGCTGTCATATATCAAAAAGACTATATTTAGCTGTTTTACTTGGAGAAGTGTTCTTCTTTTTTTGTTGAATAAATGAAGTGATCTAAAGTTGACTCATGCAATGAGTTCGAAGATATGTTATATTCTATTAGAGAGACTTTTTTTCTATTAAGTAAACTGGTAAGCAGAGGTTCTTTGGATAGAATATAGAGCCGCAACTGTATATGCAAATACTTCAGTTGATTGCTAAATGTTTTAACTAAATAAATATTTTATCTGACTTATTTGAGATATCATGACTAGGAAAAACATTTTCAAGATAGCTACTATTTGCTTCTCAACTTTTTATATTTAGTTTATGTTTGAATTTAGCAGAGTTCAATTGTTTACAACAAACACTACTTCCGATCTCAACAAAAAACACAATATAGAGCAATTGCTAACATGCATATTTCAATAGATCCATACCTTTTATAAAGATTAAGTAAATGATCTAGTGATATTGAAACAACATTAATAAAATCATCTTTTGCTGTTGTATAAAAACCATAAATAGTCGATGATTCTTCATTTTGTATTTGTTTTGTATTTATTCGTATTGTATTCGAAGAATACCATGCTAAACTAAAAGCAGCTGCCGGTTGATAATCTGGTAATTCTCTTTTAATCATAGTCAAATTAATATTCGGACAATGTCCAAGATCTTCATCCTGAATTAAATTTATTCCGCTCGCACTTGTTTGTGCACTACGTAATGTTCGTGCTGATGATATCGATGCTCGTTGTGGTAATTTATCTGTTGATGATGATGTTATTTGTACAACATTTTGAATATAAATTTCTGATGGATATATAGCTACGCATTGCGATGAATAATGTGATAGAGATTGCAATGTTTGCGTTGCACCAACAAAACGTGGGAAAACATGTAAAAAGAAAAGATTCGATCGACCAACAGCATCACAATCAAATGAAAGTAATTGACGATTATCAGTACGTTTACCAACAGCATTTTGATAATCTTCAAAGAATAAAATAAAAATAAAAGTAAAGAGAACGAAAATTTTACTTAAGAGATGTAACCATGTTATATCTTGAGCTGCAGCAATACTCAAACGATCGAGTTTTGAATCAAATGATTCTGGTAAAGTTTTCGCTTCAAAATGTGGAGCCAGTGTAAGAATTTCTCGTTCCGCTTCACCTATTTAAAAACATATACGTACATAAAATATAAATACGTAAATGATATTATTCAACGTACTTCTATAAATTCGTCGTCGTTCTGGTAACACGAAGTAACCAAGTATATCACCTGCTATGTATATTGGCCAATTTACTTCATTAGTATCAGAAAATTCTTCAGCTAACCCAGGTAATTGTACTCTAAAATATAGAGATAAATTAAATTGGAACCAACAATAAAAGAATCATCGTATGTACCGATGTTTTTGATTTACTGCTATTTGTGTTGCTGCACGTATAGCAACAGCTGCTGCTTGTTTTAGTTGCTGTTGTTGTTGACGGCGTGCATTATCACCAACAATACCTATACTAGAACGTACATTTGTTGGTCGTTGTTTTAAAATTGATGGTCGCTCAGTTGTTGTTGGCGTTGATGGTTGCTCGGTGGACTCAGCAATAGGAAAAGATTTAGCTGATAATTGTCTAGACTTTCCTACTGATATATTGGTATATTCAAGTAGAACACTGGCTAATTCAAAATAGCATGTTTGAATAAATTGACTATCATTTGTACTTAAGTAACAAAGACGTATCGCATCTAATAATTGTTGAACAATTGTTTTCAATGGTATTGTTATCGTTGACGTTGTTAATGCAGTACGCTTTTGTAAACGACTAATACGAGCTAAATGTAAAAGACATTCATAGTCAATGTTAACATAATGCTCGGCTATTGTTTGATTAAGTGTTAAACATTGACGAAATAGTGTTTGGACATTTTCATATAAATCATTCATCGTGGGATTTTCATTTAATGAACGATATGCATAATCAGCAACTATGGTTGCGATACGTAGTTTAGCAAATACAAATGGAAGAAGTAATGATGAATAAATATTATTGAGTGGTAAAATAGGCATAGCAAACCAATCAAGAGGATGGCTGGAATTTGTCATTTGAATACGTTCACGCATTTGAACAAACTAGTGTAAAATAAAATTGTTGGTAACATTTAATTTAGAGTTGATCAAGCGCTACTCTTCAGATGTAATTATTAATATGAAGAAAAATTCTAGTCTGTAATGATATTCAAAGTTGTATGCATTTATATACTCTAGTACTGAATGTAGAGTGTAATACTACGACTTAAAAACATGTGTTCAGACTCTCTTTGGTTCTATCCCTAAAAAATATTGTACTCTACGATAGATTACAAGCGAATTAAATAATTTTGTATTACATGTTTTCATATTAAGACTATAAATATAAATTATGTAATTTATTTTTATATAACACTACGATCATCTTCTACATAGAAGACACCAATCGAATCGTGATTCTTTAGTACTATATTTCAATTATTTAGGAAATAAAAAATCTACCGATATTTGAAGACGCTATGATCATTATCATGAATTACAAACGTTGCCTTATTTTCTTATAGCTCAGTAGTTTATTCATCATGAATTCGGCTATAGGACTTTATTGTTCACACGAAAACAAATCTGTTAAATACATACGAAATCTACTATAGGTGCTTGTAGTTTATCATTTTCTTTTTCTGCAATTAATTTTAGAACAGTTCCATCTAGATCTTGAACGCATTGATGTTCCCAAAGCAGGATTTGTGTTAATGATTTCTTATATAAAATATCAGTTGATATTATATTATTTTGTTTTACAACTAAAACTGATTGAAATAATTGTAGAGCTGTATTTAATTCTTGAATATTTTCATTGATGTTAACTAATTCACTTAGATTATATAATGCTTTATAAAGTAAAAATGTTGCCTTCATTGATTCACATTGATATTCTTCAGATTCATTTAATCCATGTTCAATATAAACATTAACATTAGCAAATTCTTCTCTTATGTAATCATCTGTACCTTTAACTTTTCCTAACGCATTTATCTGATGTAACATTATCTGACAAAGACTAGCACTTTGTTTTAGCCATGCATACACATTTAAATTATGTGAATAACGAGTATTAAAAAGAATATTTAATGCATTCAATTTTTTTCGTGGATATCGAGAGACAGCACTTAACCGAGGATACGATGGTTTACGTTTTGCTGATCTAATAAAATATATAAAGGAGAAAGGAAATAATTTTGAAAATATGAAAACTAGTATCTTACCCGCTGGCTACTTTTTTCTCGTAGATATTATCTTCGCCAATCATAGATAAAATTTTCAATCCTTCCATGGCATAGCGTGCAGCTAATTGATCTAAATGACATTGATGTGCACATTCCGATAATAATGATAGGCAATCAATAAGAAGTTGATATTCGAATGATTGTAAATTTGACGGATAATCACGTGCCATTTCGTCTGTTTGTTGTAATACATTTAAACATCTTTCTGCAAACAATTTTCCTGTGCCAACAAGATAAGATTTCACATGAACAAATGAGCGGGTTGTTTCATCATGAAAAGTATGCAGCTTCAGTTTTGATGCTGATGCTAAAAAGTAGAATGAAATTGATCAGCAATCAATGACTTATTTTTGTTAGAACAGTTCTCTAAAACTTACAGAATTCATCTCAACCTTATTAACGAGAAAAATAAAATCTGTGAATATCTCTAAAAATTTGATGTAAAATACGATAAGTAGTCAAAAATTTAAAATAAACATCGTTTGTTCCGTCTGTTCCAATATGAATTTTCCCAACAATCATCAAGCTTTGACTCAGTCTTCGTCTTTTAAGTATTTCATTGATACAAAATTCAAAATTTAATGAACAATAGTTATATTATTACGTAGTGTTCATTTATCACTCGAAAGAATTCTCTGAAGTTTTTAAAAACGTATGAAAAATAAATAATCAAAAGGATTAATATAGTCTATTTCCTAGATGAATTTGTAGAAGTACAAAAACTTAAATTTACTTATTCGAGAACCACCAATCATTGTTTTATAACGTGGATCAGTTATTGTTGCTGTTAAGTTTTGTTTTAATTCACTACTCCTAAAAAAAAACATTCAATAGATAAATATGATTAGTGATCAAACTTATGAAACTAACTGAAACAAATTCAAATTAGCAATAACTGGAATTCGAGAAGCAAGTCGAACAAAAAACAATGACAATAGATAATGAAATTCAATAGATAAATGTGATCCATAGAGCCGAGACATTGCTGGAGAGAGTCGAGCCAATAGAAGAACATCTAATATCTAATAAATAAACAATTGTTTTTCATTAAATTTGAGAAGCTAGTTTCCCCAGAGATTGATATCCGAAAAAATATGCTCGATCAACTCAAGTGTCTTTATGAAAACACTCATCGTTCTCTATTCTTTTGATTTAGCGTGTAAAATTCGAATCATTTTTTCAAACTATCTTGTTCTACAATATTTTGTGACATTGATATATTCTTATTTTAAATTCACTTGTACTATTCATGTGATTAGACATATCAAGATCTCTGTATAAAAAAAAACTACAGCTATAGTTATCTACATTAAACAAGCAAGTAAGAGCAACTGGAAAAATTATTTTAAAAAGAAAATAAAACTTACTCCGAGATTATAATCAGATGTAACACTTTTGGAATTATCAAAGTATTGTGGCTGCAAAATAAAAGTTAATTGATGTTTAACGTGTAAAAAAACTAGAATCTATTTTACTTTCAATTTTAATGGAATACTATCAGCATTACTTGTTTGATAACGGCCAGATACTTGTGTACTAGGCAATTTTTGTCCATCTAATAACATTTGTATAATTTGATGTGCTTCATGAAATAGATCAAGTTGAATAAGAACACGTAGACGTATTAATCGTGCTTGCACTGTATGTTGTATATTTCGACAATGCACAGAAAAAATATCGTAGAGTGCAATAACGGGAAGAATCTATGTAGAAAAATACGTTTCATATAATACAAATTCTAAACTTTTGTTTTTGTAGAATACGATCTAAACGAAGTATTCAGACATTCATTGATTCCACTGCAAACTGTTTCGATTATCTTGTCGAAATTTCTCGTTTGAAAGTATGAATAACAAATTTATCCTGTTTCATATCGTCATCTTCTAGGATCTATCACAACAGTTGCTTTTCTACATACATGAAGACAAATATCATGACGACTAAGAGCTTCACATATGTAAGCTAGAGTATCCATTAGTGACCGAGGATTTAAACGAAATTCATCGCTTGTTAATTGTATTCCAGGCCATATATAAGTTGAATTATCAATAAATAATGTCGCATAATCAATATCATGTTCAGAATGTGGTAAAGTATAGAAAAATATTGAACGTAAAAAGTACGAACTTAGCAAACACGTTTGAAGATGTTGATCACAATTAAGATGAATATGATATCTAAAAATAATTCATTGAAAAACAAAAGAAAACAATATTTTTACATTTGTATTATTAACATACTTAGCTAATTTACTTGCCACAATTGCACCTAATAAACAACCCCAAGTACCACATTTTTGTAGCAATTGTCCTCGATTTGAAAGCAAAGTTTTTAATGTATCATTCTTAAACCAAGTTGTTACAACATCATGACAACCGAGTATTGTATCGATAACATCACAATAGGCTGTTTTTGATTCCCTGATAGAACAATAGAAGATTCGATTATTGAAAAGAATAAGATATATGTATGGCTTACATGATTTTTTCACAATGAAAATATAAATCACCTAGTTCAGTCAATACTTGACAATATTGATCAGGACGATTTTGACCCAATAGTAATTCTACAAGTATTTAGTAAGGTTTCTTTACGAGTATCTTACAAGCAGGTAAGAAGTATATGATGCTATTATTATCAAGATAAAAACAAAAATATTTCAGTAGTATTTTCTTAAATACTATCGCGAATATTCGTTGATATTTTTGTCAAGCAATTTGATGAATTCATGCGTGTTGATACACATCCGTTTAGTGGACAAACATTTGATTTAATATTCACACTAGATAATCTTTCCATCCGAGTTTTATTTTTATGATACTACTTCTTTTGTTTTTAAGCAAATGAAACAATTGCAGCTGAATTCTTTCTTATATTGACATATGATTAATTCAATAGTTTTACCAATTATACATTCAAATGATTTATTTATCAGGCGCATACGATGAATGGAATAGGATACCTTGAATGGTGTATAACCTCATATCCTAACCCTCATAAATGCAAAACATGAAGCCTCAGTCTTTTGCCTACTTATTGAAATATATACTTTGATTAAAGAACTGAAAGAAAATTTTCAATAATAGACTTTCATTTAGGGGAAAATAGAGTATTATTTTTCTTAAATATTTTTCAAAATTTAATCATAAGAATTAAGCTACAATGTATAGATATGATAATATTCAAGGCTCTCTTACTTGATATCGTTTCATAGGCTTCAATAACTGCTTCTTTTTTAATTTCAGCTGATGGTGATGTATCAATTTTATTGTTAACTAATGGTGAAAAGTCTAAGGGTTCGCCAGCTGTCAGTGGCCGATAATGAAGTGTTGATGTTGGCTCTTTTTTCACTGGTAATTCATTATCATGCTCTGGAATGTTTGCAATCAGAGGTATAAATATAAGAAAATCTTTTGCTAATTGTTGTTCTTGTTTATAAATATAGAATGCTAACATTTTTCGACATTCACTTATTGATCGAGATGAATAATACGTTTTATCTAATGCTTGTCGTAAAAGTTTACGAGTAAATTCAACATCAAGTGGAATACTAATTAATTCTAATGCACGATTTGCTTCTTTAAAATAAAATAAACTAAAAGAATAAGACAACAGTAAATATCGATAAATAATAACGTACGAGCATAATAATCAGTTCCTTTCGGATCAAGTCGAGCACCAAGACTTAATGTTGATGCTGAACGGATTCTTTCTCTATTTCCATCTTTATGGTGAGCTATCTTGAAAAGTTTCTCTGGTCGAAGTGTGTAGAAATCTTCTGGATGTATTGGCCGACCAAGAGCAGTAATAGCTGCATCAAAATGTGGTTGATCAATTGAATTTTGTCGATCACGTACTTGTTGTGTGAGTGCTGTTTGAGCTGCAATTAGTAGTGGACTTGTTAAATCAGCAAAAAAATGGCTAAAATGAAAAGAATTTCTATAGTAATAAAACAAAAACTAATTCATTGTGATGATGTCGTAGTAAGGTGTAACATGGATGAAGCTTCTTTCAATTATCTTAGAAGTACGGTTTTGTTTTTGAATTTCTATGGTTGATACTTCGAATAAAACTTCTAAGGCTTAGATATAGAGTTAAATTTCAACAATCGTTCCTAAATAGTTTTTATAAAAAAAGAAGTTAGTCCTATTTTCTTTTCCATAGAATAGTAGAAGAAACAATCCTATTGAACTATAAACAAAATCGACTCTTCTCAGCTCATCCTCCGCTTCTAAATTTACTTTCTTCTCATTGTTCTCGATCGTTTCATGATCACACAAAATCTGACTTGTTTCGATTAATTCGTTCACTTCTTTTAGTAGGAACTTTATATTCTCGATACATAAATAATAATAATTTTCTCAATAATGAATAAGTACTACACTTTGAAAATTCTAGAACATCGAAAAGAACTTTCAATACAATTTTTCAGATTATGGACAATTTTGAAAGAAAGTAATGAGTTCTCGCTGAACAAAAATTCATCGTATCACCCCATACTGAAATTGGTTTAGCAGACATACTCAGATAAAGCATTGAATTTAATGGCTATTGTTCCTAGTTTTTCCCATTTAGCAGCTACATATAATGCATGTAGTGAATGTAAAATAAATTTTCTTATAAATCTTAAATCAATAAATATATTTCGATCTTGCGGTTGTTCAAAATTGAATGTTGTTCCTGTCCATGAACATTCAATATTTGTAAACCATTGATTTAATTTATTTGTATTTGAATTGATTATTTTATCATTATTATTATCATAAAATGGTTTTGTACGATAGAGCATATCAAGAAGTAATTCGCTTGCTATGAACATGGTTTGATAACCATGCGAAAGTAAAGCATTTAATGAAAATATTTTATTTAATGTTGTTGTCGATAAATATTGAGTAAGCTTTTGCAATGAATCATAAAATGATTTTGAAGCATTTTGTAGTAATGTCCAATTATTTGAACGATAAGCAAATACAATTGAACGACGATAGTGAGCGTAAAAGCGATCAATATAGGCACGAATGCGTTTGAATCCATATGGGTCACTGAAAGCAGGATCTGTGCCTGGACGATTTAAATCACTAACTTCACGACGTGGCGATAAAGATATTGGCAGCTTTTTCGCTTGAAGTGGACGACCAGGAGATATTTGTTTTCGATCACGTACTGAAAGTTTTTCTTCGCCTTTCTGGCTTAAATAAATACTTGGATCCGATATTTGTCCTAAATATATATATATATATACATCATATCGTAGCATCAAAATAGAATTTCTTTTGTTGTTATATATTATTCATACGAATAAAAACAGTATTTCTTTCTTTTCGAGAAATCAAAGATTGAATATTAATGCAAATAGTTCTAGTAATCAAAGGAGTAAATAATTTTCACCATGAGAAAATGAAAAGCTCAATCATGAGCATTTTCTGAGACATCAATCTCTGAATACAACTCAAGATATTTGCTAAAATCTGAAAAACTCTGATTTCGATGTTTCATTATAGTGCTATTCGCATTAATAGGGAGGGGAATTACATGTCGTCATGGACTAGAAAAAATTCTGTTAGATCATTTCGTCAGCCGAGCTTTCATTTTTATCATCTTTCTGAAATTTTATTTTAATTGGTATGATTTATAAGATGATTTGTATCAGCAAGAGACGAGTTAACAGGAATCTCTCTGTCTTTGATCTCTATAAAGCTAGTCTGCATAAAGTCTAGGGATTTCACGACGGCTATATCTTGATTAGAGTAGGCAAAAGCTATAGTAGTTTCCAACAATATATGGAGATCAGAGTATCGCTAATCGAATCCATTTTTCATGCTGCCACTTCGTACATCACACTAGATTCGATCAAGTTGAATTGTCTCTGAAGGAACTATATAGATACTAATTAGATTGCCTAATAATTCAAATCATTTGTATTTCACATGTTTCTTGGATAGGTTGAAAGAAAAACAGGATGGAAAATATCAAGAAATGCGCCAATGTCAGATCACAACCTTGGTAACAGATTGTCTTTTCAAAGAGCTATACGGAGTCCTACAAAGAATATACGCTAATAAAAATAACGAAATCTTCAAAAAAATATCTATCGTCTCATCTTTTGAAAGAAATAGACCTCTTTCACTTTCATCCGCCAATCTTTATTCATTTGTTTCAATGAATGCCTGCGTTAAATAAAAGAAACAACCTGAATAATAAGCACACTGTGTAATGAAACAATTATATTACCAATAAGTAATTCATTAATTATTTCAATACGATCTTTGACATCCGACTGTGTAAAGTTAAAATCAAATTTTTGTTCCAATGTTAGATCATCCAGTAGTTCATCATCGGTTACATTTCGAATAATTAGATTTGTTTGATCATATGTCAATAAATTCGGATTGATACGATCGAATCGATAACATCCATCGTCTAATAAAGCTTGAATTTTATCATTGGATTCTTTGGCCACGGATGGTAAATGATCGAGACAATAGACCCCGTTAAGTAATTCATATTGTGAACGCCATGCAAGCTCATCAGTAATAAATCGACGAAATTTTTTTCTCGCTTGTTTTTGCCGATAAAAATCAGGCAGTACATTAAATAATTTATCAATGGCCTATAAAATTAAAATAAGTCCTTGATTTAAAAATCTCTACCTGGCATTTATGGATTTTTCTCCTTCTTTCTCTATCAATATGGCTTAACTTAGATTCATGTTAAGCGACTCTCTCATTTCTTTCTTTCTTCTTCATTCTATTTCTCTATTATAAATAAATAGGAATACAAAGGTATCAACATTACATTCAACAATGAATATAATATACTATTTTCTATGGATAACTATTCTCAAGGTTCATCTTGTTGAATTATTGAACGATACAAATAACACAAGTCACGGTATTCGCATACAAATATTTGACAACATAGCTGAGATATCTCGACCAATATCAGCATCTGATTTACCTATAATATATTTTCAAGCAGAATGGAACGATATTCGATCGGATTCACTTCGATTAATTGGTGATGATGTTAATATTCAAGCACAGATTATTTCTTATAATCGTACTTCTTCAAATGGTCAAAAAATTTTTGTTCAACGAAGTACAACAAATGATACATATACAGACGCCATCATGATTGATGACACACGAAATCTAATACATGATTTAGTTGACAATACATACTATACAGTAGCATCGGAACGTATTAGATATTTATCAATTCCATCCGAACGACATTATTCAGTTAACTTCGTATTTCAAACAGAAAATGTTGAACAACTTTATTTAAGATACTTACAAAATAATATTAAATGGAAAGTACATTATGATCTTTTATTAGAAATGAATGATACTGATTCAAACTTACAAGCTTATGCTGATATACAAAATGATGGAAGTTCATCATTAACAATCGATTCTGCTGAATTAATTAGCGGTGATGTTAACATTCGATCGTCTTCATCCGGTTCATCACAATATTTTACTAATAATTTTCCGTCGCCTAGTTATGATGCTCCTCAAAGTGGTATTTATCAACAGACAGGACCTGTAACAACTACTGCACCTACAATTGCTCCAAGCAGAGAATTAGCTGGCATATATGTATTCTCAATAAATGAAACATTTATTCTTAATCCTCAAGCAAACTACATTCTTCCAATATTTCGTCCAACAATTGATATTGAACGTTATGGTTTAATAGAGAAATATTTTCGATCTATGGACAACCGTGGTCATGCTCGACGTGCTTATCGTCTTCGTGTACCAAATACTTATTTACCTAAAGGACAGGTATTTGTACGAGAATCAAATCGATTAGTTGGTGAAATTTATTGGTCCGATCATTCACCAAATGAAACAAATGAATTCAATTTAGGTGAAGATCCTGATTTACAATATACGGAGTACGTACAATTAAATTCACGTCGACAAGCTTATGAAGCAAATGGTTTTCGTTTTATTTTATCGACATATACAATTAATTTAAATTTAGTTAATAACAAGAAACGTCCGATAAATATCGAATATCGTTTAAGATTTTTTTCACAAGATAATTTAACATTGAAAGAAAATACAAATGATAATGTATTACAACTTGATGGTTCAACTATTAGTGGTATATTTAATTTAAATGAAAATCGTAACCAAGAAATTCAATTTACATTTGAATCACAATAGCTATTCTGCGAGTGCTTAAAAGAAAATCTAATTGTTTGTTTATATTCAATTAACTATTGTGTTCGTGATTTAGTCAGTTTTTTTCTTCTCTTATTCTTAACATTTTATCCAAGTTAAATCACTGATATTTTTGTTCTATTACTAATCTTTACTCGACTATATTGAATTGATTCATCTTCAACAAATTCATTGTCAATAAAAAAAATGAAAAATCCTTAAAAGATCAATGACAAAGAAAAAGATTACGCTTGATGTAAAGGTTAATCCTATGTTTAATTAATGAAAATATTAGTAATACTCACTGGTCTTTGACGTTGTTCGAGTTCAATGCGAACTGCCTCGGGCGTATTCGGTGGAATAAGAAAATAATATTTATTGGGCTTAACTCTGAATAACTTTTTCGTTACAACTGGTTGCTTCTTTTTTCCACCTTGTTTTTTTGATGCGTCTTGTTGTTTTTTCTTTCGTTCAGAACTAAATTCAGTTAATGCAGCAGCTCAAAGAAGAAAAATCAATGATACATTTTTTATTTAATGCTACTATTGAAAATATTCTTTCTTACCATATTTAGTTTCATTACTGCCAGTAATTGTTATAATTCCATCTCCTTTACTAATGATCATACGCCATGGTCCAAGTAACAGCTCATTTCGTTTAGATACAAATGCCTGATTGTCATCATACCAACCAAGAATATCATCATTGGATGAATCAACTAATGATTTTGTTAATACTTGAGTAAGATATTCCATATAGGCTGGACGTTTACGAAATTTTTGAACTAGAAACATAGAAATGTTAGCTTAATATTGATGTCACCACCGAATACAACGATTTATTTAAAGAAATTTCAGTATACTTAGCAATGACAGTGGGAGGACTCATTAATAGGTATCCCACACCAAAAGAATTAATGTGAACGGTTTAGAATCGCTTGTAATCTTCCAATTAGTTATTTTTTCTCTGGAAGCTGTTTTTTTTATTAAATGTTTCTTGCAAGAGAAAAACACGTGTCAGAAATATACTAGAATATGTTGAGAAGTGGACACCACTCGTTAGTTTTGCTATCTTTGGATTGAACTTAAACTATATCTTTTTCAATTGTGACAATAATATATTTATTTTACTTTTCATTCTATCTTATTATTATTATATACCTTCTTTATAGCCTTGTTTGGCAGATGTTGCATTAATAAACGTAGAAACAATTGTGGCATCTTCATTTCCAGTAAGAATTGTATGTGGAGTACGTTCTCGTGCTACAAAACGTTCTAATGCTTTTAGTTCTTCGTTGTGAACTGTTGCAAAATGAACTTTTGGCGTTACTTGTTCGGCAATATCATCGGGTAGTTCGATTGGTGCCTGTGGACCTGCTAGTGATAGTTGTTCAGATACATTTACATCATTTGTATTTGTAGCTGTTTGCTGTGATGTTGGTATTGATGATAATATTTTTTTTCCTATTTGATTAATTAAATTCGATAATTTAATTTCATCATTTTGTTGTAAATATTGACTCATATAATATGACATGCATGCAATCATATGATGAATATTGTCTTGAACAGAACGTGAACGTTGTTTTGATACTTGCTGAGAGATTTCTTCAAATACAGATATACATTTTTCGAAGATTTGATTGGCAGATGGATAAAATATTTTATAAAATATTAATGGTGTCAATAATCCATATAGATACACAATCGATTGTAATGCATAATTTGGATCATTGAGCCAACATGAAAGTTCTAATGCAATCAATACTTGACTGCATGCATGAATACGTTTTATCTAAAGAAATAATAATAGCAATTAAATTTAAAATATTCTACGAAATTAAATATACTTGATTTGCACGATTAGATGATGTTGGTGTTATCATATCACAATAAAAATGATTTTCTTTTATGAAAATTTCAAGATTAATAAATATTGTGTTGATGAATTTTTGTAATAACGATATTGAAATTTCACTTGTACGTGAATATCGTAATCTAAACAAAATTATATTGTGAATCTAACGTAAAACATGATAAACTATTAATGTTGTATATTTACACGCATGTTGCAAATGCTATTTTTTGATTTATTTTTTCAGCAAAGAATTTTCTCTATAAATAGAATTCTCATAACTCTACGAATACCTGAAAAATCTTGTTCAAATATAACTTTCTGATGATGGAAGATTTAAAAGTCTCACAAGATAAACGTTTGGTTTAACTGATTTTTGTCTCAATATCCTTAAAATCATAATATATGTAGTTATAGACAAAGTTTCAAGTTCAGTCATATTTATTCAATTTCACTGATAATATTTTGTCATATAACAGAAAGAATAGCTCAAACGTGGTCAATCTACCGTGAAAATTCACGTAATTGAATTATATTTATTCTTCGGATTCAGTCTAAATTCAAAACAGAATGTGTGCTTGAAAATATTGAATCTCAATTGATGATGTTCGATGAAGTTGATAGTAAAACTTAATAGAGATTATAAGTAAAATACTTCAAAAAGAAGAGAGAACGGTACTTTTCCAAACCCATGAAATCCTTAGATAACTAATCGTACTATCAGCACATTTTTTTCTTTGAAATAAAGAAGAGAGCATTGAAATTATTTTTTGTTTTAATTACTCGTAAATAACCAACGGATTTTCCATTGCTAATTCTCGAATTGAACTTTCGATGATCGCCGGTGTTCGAACAAAATATGTCCAAAGTGAATGAAAGACTTTCTTCGCTACTGTATATTGTTTTATTTCATAGGAAAGCTAGAATGAAACATAATACGTAACAAGAAAAAATAAAAAATCTAGAAGTAAAACAAACCTGTGAAAGAAGACAACGTATAAACAATAATGATATTGGATGTGCAGCTAATATTGGTTCTGTTGATTCACTAACGCTGTCGCCTATGAGTTGTCCATTAGCATCATAAATTGCTAATGAAAAAACATATTTGAGATCAGGATCGAGTCCAGAGATTTTCAGTGGCTTTATAAAACTTGCTGGAATCTAAATTGAACAAAACAAATCTTAACATTATAAAATAATCGATGTCAAGATATACCTGCTGACCACTGCCAGGATAATTCGTATCAGCCATTCGAGCTTTTGCATTTGGACGATCAGCTGCTCGGCAGAAAATACGATATGTAGCAACCTTAAATAGGATAAATATATTTTTTTTTCTTAAATAAATTTGCAATCCTAAAGAAGAGAATGTATGAATTATACTTTGCTTGCTAATGAACCAAAATCTGGTGCCATAACAAAAACAAAATCAGGTGCTCGAGCAACAATACATGGTCGAGGAACATTTGTTGTTGGTGATTTTTCAGATTTATGATTTTGATGGTGCCAAAAATAAAGACGATCTTCTTCTTCAGCTGCTAATAAATGTTTATATGCTTTCTAAACAAAGTCATCGTTTTTTTTTGAAAAATCAAACTCTCAATCATAATTATTAGATTGACTGACTTGCATATATTCTGCTGCTATATTTTCATCGGTTCTAGTACTTGCATAAGCTGCACATAACAAGGTTTTCTTGTGTGAATTACCACGAGCATCACTTAAATATTGATCGATTGGACTTTTCTTTAGTGCTTCTGAATTTATTCAAGTATTGACATTTATCTTTTACTATAAAATAAATAGCTCACTAGCATCTGGTATTTGTTCAAGTAACGCAACAACACGATAATAGACAAAATGTAATTCAGCATCAAGATCTTTAACAAGATTGTCAATTAATTTACTTGTATGATTTTTTTCAAGTAAAAATGGTTGTGTAGCAATGAAACGTGTTTGCGTAAATGAATCAACATCATCATCATTGTCATTGCCGTTTGCTGACTAAATTAAAGAAATAGAAATGATTTTGATAAAAAAATAAAATAAAACTTCATACCCAATTTCGATCGAACATAGATGAACCGTCGAAACGAATAAGATTCGATCGTGCTTGAGCTAATATTTTTAATGATCGTGTTAGAAATTGTTCGGCAAAGAAAACTAATGGAAAATGACGAGACAATCCTAATGTATCATTGCCAAGTGATGAATGAGAATTGGCACTATGAGAAGGTTGTTTTCCTTGTTTCGTATTTTTGAATGTCATAGCATCGACTGCAGCTTGTTGTCGTTTAAAATCTTCCATATAAGTTTGTAATAATGGTTTCGCAGAATTATTCGTTAAGTAATCACGTAATTGTTCGAAGCGTTGTTTATACGAGCCTGTTCGAATTGTTGCTGAAATATTAATGAAAATAACTAAGATAAACAAGTGATTAATTGATTTTATTACTTTCTGTGGATGGACTTGGATGAATGAGAACAAATAATATTTGTCCTAGACGAAGTGAACATTCAGCATAAGCACTTGAATCAACAATTGCAAAATTGAAGCGAGACATGATTTCGTGTGTTTGAAAAAATAAATGGATCCACTAAAAACATTATATTATAAAAGTAATTCACTAGATCAAAACAAAAATGTTCGATTTTAGTTATATGTAGAAATATTTAATTGATAACTGAATACGAGACAACTTTTTTAAAATAGTTCAATTATATTTTGTTGATAAATATCGAAATGCTGTTGATTACATATTTATAGTACATTCAACGATTTCTTTTGACTCCTATTTTATTTCATAGAAATAAATCAAGTGTAATGTCCGATTACAAAAACTCGACTTCTCCTTTTTTTGTAGTTGTCTAATTTTTGATCTTTATTCCGTATCGATAACTACTGAATTTTTCGAATCAAAGTTCATCGGATTTAAGTAGAATAAATCTAAATTCCGCTCTTGATTTATTAAAAACGAAATTCTCACTTTAACATGATCATGATCGAGTCGTGTTAACCACCGAAGATTATCATTTGGTTCATTATAAAATTTTCGTAGAATAGGTCGGCATTTATTCCATAGTAATAAACTAACGTCAATCAAAATATCGGGCTCAATTTTTTCTTCCTTGAATGAAACAAATAGAAAAGAATAATTATTTTTAAAAAAAGAAGAAGAAGAAAGTACATACAATACGAGGATCTGTTAGCAACAAGAAACATAAATCTTCAAGTAATTCTTCAACAGATCGTTCTTCGTCCTCTGCATCATTCGGTGCATCAATCTGAATTTTCACTTCTTTCATAGTTACATTACGTGTTGCTTTTGCAGCATCAATTAAATCTCTGACAGCTTTTGTTTGTTTTAATTTAATTTTTCCAATTTCCACAGTTTTCTTTAGTACTCCACCATCTTTTCCTTTTGGTGGACTTCTACTACGTTGTTTTAATTTTTTCTTATCACCGTCTTTTCCACCTTTATTAGATCCTGCATTTTTAGAATTTTGTGCTGTTTTACGTTCTCTTTCGCATTGATCAATTTCATAAATAATTTGTAATAGAGCAAGTAGTGAAATTTGATTACCATCAGTTCGTTCTACAAGTTCACTAATAGGTTCAATTAATGATTCAAATATTTCGTAAACTTGATAATTAAACGCAAATTTAAGTAATTGAATAACATAAGATAAAGGTATAACATATTGACCTAAAATGTCAATTCGAATTATTATTTTTCAAAAAACAAAACATGTTATTCATTGCACTAACTATTGACAGCCATGTCAAGTAAACTAGCATCTTGTTGTAGTGTTATATTTGGGTATGTACTATTATGATTTGCTCCAGCTATTTGATCAACATTTGCATGTTTAACTGAGGATGAAACAAAACAAAAAATGAATTGATTTATAGATAATACTTTTTTTCTTCTTTTTGTTACCTTGCAAAATATATTGAGCAGCATAAAATAATTCAGTTGTAACATCAAGTATTTCAATTTCTTGATCACTTGCTGCTGGACTCGTTAATAATAGTCGTCGATTACTATCCGATAGTGCTTGTAGAATGGCTAGAAATTGTGAACAACGACAATCAAACATATCGCCAAGTAATTTTTCTGTTAATGTTCGTGGCCATGGGCCACTAAGGTCTTTATAATTTTGACGAACTTTTGGTCGAAGTACACCTTTAGCTTTTCGACGATTTTCAAAGACCATTCGTTTAAATATCATTGTAGCTATTTTTATTGTTGCATGACGAAAAGAATTTTCCTGTTGACATTTATCACCTTCAATACTGAGAGATTGTAATTCATGTAAATTTTTAAATTGTTCTAATCCACGTCGAGCGAAATTCTTAATGAGAAATAGAATACATTTTATGATGATGAGTAAAACTCAACATTTTATATCATTCAGCTTCTGAAATAGATGTTAGTTACGAATCTATTGAAAATCTATGCTGACTAATAAATGAGCAAGAAGAGATCTTCAGCTAAAATTGTACGATTATTGAAGTAAATGAATCTATAGTAACAATGAAGAAAAGACAAGTTTGTTATGAACGTCTTCAATTATAAATCGAATTGTTTTACAAATGATGACTCGACTTCAAACAGATTTTGAACGTATAACTAGTTTGAATTATTTTTTCAAAGTAAACACTATGATTGTTAAATAAAAAATCAGTAAAATGAGTTATTTTTTACCCTGATTTTGTGAAGATCTCACAGAAAAAAATATCGAAGTCGTTAAGAATTTTAGCATAGTTTTTTGTTGTTGTAGTCCTAACAAGTTATAATCGGTTAAATAATTTTGAGACTTATACCAGAAATCATTCATGTTTTTTTTACTATTCGACGAAACAAAAAAAAATTGCGTGATTTTGAATAGATATCTAATATATTTTCAAGATCGTGATATCCCATAAACTAATTATTTCGATAGTTATGTAAATCTCAATAACAAGAATGATATTTCCAGTAAAGTAAAGTTTTTGATCTTTTTCTAGATTGATGTTTTCAGTTTATCAGATGTTTAGTTTGATTAAAGTCCTCGATTTCAGAATACATGACATCAATTATAATTGCTCCATCTATACATACTTCTCCAGCAATTGCTTTCTAAAAATATGTACAAAATACAAATCATATAATTTATTTTGTCAAGAAGATTTGCTTACTTCGCCATCAGCTGACACTCGACTGTCATAGAATGCTTCACATGCTGCACAATAAAGTGTTGATCGCCATGGTAAATATGAAATTGATAATAATGGTAAACACATTTCTGTACTAACAGCAGCCCACACAAGATATTCTACAACCTTAATAAATCATGAAGAAAATATTTAATTAGCATAATTTAAGTCATTAATTTTAAAAACAAAATACCTTTAGAGAATAACCGAATGTCATCAAATAGCGACTCATTTTATATAAATAGATTGTGCCATTGTAAACAAGCCATGACCATCGATCATCTTTCAATGCTAAATTCATTAATAATCGAATGAACGAAAGCGTTATTAAACATCGATCAAGTGTATCGTCCAATTGTACTTTTGGATCTTGTTCAACAGCCAAATAGAATAAACAAAGAGCACAACCCATTAAAGCTCGAAACTGCAAGAAAAAAGAATTTTAATTATAAGTTTCGATATGAAAAACAAGATTATTTCTGTGAACATACAGATATATCGGCAGTAGCATCCATTAAACCAATAGGAAAAAATCTTTCTTCTATTTCATCAATAGTTTGAAAATCTTGCATTTGAAATGAACCGAATGCATTCAAATATCTTTGATAACATTGAAACAAAGCAATATTATATTTCTTCACATAGAAAAAAGAAACAATAATATATAATGATTCTTTTCTATCAATATAAAAAAGAAACTTTAATTACCTCATATGCAACAAGATATTCACCAAGATGCATTAATTTTTCACAATACATTCGTACCGATACTCTTGATTGATAATTACTCCACAATTGAAATAATGTTTCTGATCTAAAATATTTTATTTGTTAAGAAAAAAAAAGAAATTCGAAATCATTGATACATACAATCGACCATCAATAGATTGATTTGATTTTTGTTGTTTTGCAACATAATTCTTAAAGTCAGTTATTTGAGCTTCAAAACTTTGTAAAACAGGATTTTTACTATCGTCAACATAGGAATAATAAGCTGCTGAATTATTTTTTATTGAACGTTCAACAGCTTTTGTACGTAGAATAGCTGCCATTCGTAAGAAAAATCTAAATGGGATGACAAAAAATGCTTCAACAACTAACGAGAAGCCATTCGAGAGTAAAGAAACTAAGAGAAAACCTTTATTCATTGAAAAACATAATCAATCGTTAGATGTCGCACATTTTTCTCAAATGATTTTTAGTCATGTTAAAAGTCAAGTCTGATTTTTTTGCCAGGACGACAACACATTTTCTTTCCTGTTTTTTCATGGTTGACATAGCTCGTGTTTTTTCGCCTGTGGTCGTCTTTCCTAGTAGCGAAGTACGGCCACAATCATCGGATCGTATTCGTAGCGCATCAAGTAAACGAGTCTCTAGTGCTAGTACGCATCGTACATCCTGCATATCATCAGCGGTATCAACTGTTGAAAGCGATGGTTTACATCATGGACGATACACTAAAAATGAAACCAATGATGAAAAAGATTTCGAAGCAGAACTTCGAGACGAACTCACAACCCGTAAATAGATTCTTTCGTTGTTGTTTCGGCTTCATGAAAAGATGATGGTCGTTCTTTTTTTATTATAGCATTAACTGGCGTTAATTTACTTGAACTAATTAATGACAAAATCTCTAAACTCGATCAATCATTGAGATCAGTTGAAGCACCATCGGATACGCATAAAAATCAAGCATTGATTACTTCTGAAAAACTTCGAACTAATGCAATTCAAAACGGTTCGACTTTACTTTCTTTCTATTTACAAAAATGCTCATGTTGATATTTTCTATTTATTCAAGGACAAGCACGACAACAAGTACAACAATTTGCTGGTCTTCTTGCTTTTAAATCGACTTTTCAAGATCAGATTACAGTAACAGTGAAACCAAAAGTAAACATATAATTTTCAATCAAAATATATATCATCCATCACTGCTAATCTATAGACTAATGCTAATCCTGTAATAGACCAAGATCAATCAACATTATTAGAAATTTTTCAATATCCAGGTTTTGATGAGCAACAAATGACTCCATTACCATTCAACATTTCTCTCGATGCACAAGTCATGAGACATGTACTTCCAAAACGATATACACTCTCAAAACAAGTAATCAATAGATTTATGCTGATATAGTATGTCATTTATTTTAAATCTCTAGGCACCCTACATTAAAGCTTTACTTGATCTTTACTATTGTGATCCAACTAGAGCATTAGTTTTGGTAAGTTTTTTCAACAAATAAATGTAAGTGATCAGTAAAGAAAATATTGTGAAGACTTACAACTTGTAGTTTTTATATTTGAATGAATAATGTCTAATGTTATTAATCTAACGAAATGAATGCATTTTTATTTCAATCACTAATAAATAGGGACAAATGAAATTAACGATGATTGAGTTTTTATTAAATTCTATCTACCAATATTTTATTATGTAGATATTACTATGTTTTTAGGACATCTTTTGGTGGGCATTTCTTGAAAATTATCAAAATCAACCTAAAATTCAAAAGCAATTACTTGAACGAGCTTCAATTAATTACGTTGCCCTTCTTATGATGGAAATTGACTTACGCTATCGTGATAAATGTTTTCAGGTTCTAATTATTACTTGATTCTTCCTTGAGCTCTTTTTTTCTTTGATTTTTGTTCTATTAGGTTTATCCTTCACTTTTAGCTGAAACTGTTTTTGCGTGCTATAAAGTATGTTTTCCGGCGTCACTTAAACAAATGCCTGTTGATGCCGAAGCAGCTGGAAAAACTAACGAAGAAAATAAAAATAAACCATTAGAACTTGGAAGTTTAACAGAAACTCCTGGTCAACACATGAAAGAATTAGTTAATTTAGATGGATTTAAAAATTCAATTGCGAATATTTGCCAATTATGGCTAGGCGGTATTCCAGCACCGCCACGTCGCTACGAACAATGGCGATCGAAAATTGTTCAACAAGAAAAAATATCATTTAAGGAAGTAACGCCAGCAAATTCAACAATCGTATCATCAGTATCACAACCAGTCACAACACAAACTCCAAAAGCGTTTCCATCAACTTCACGTACTACATTGCTAAATGGTACAAAAACTATGGGAACTGAAAGTGTTATTTCAAATACTAATCATGCATTATTCAAGCTGAATAAACGTAAAGAACCCCATGAACTTTTAGAAGAAATGTACAAGCATACATATGATCCACTACCGGAGTAAGAATAATATACATACATATGTACATATTTGTGTGGAAATTAAAATATATTAATTATTTTATTAAAACATTTAAACAAAAAGAAATCATATTTAGATAATCGACAGCAGAAATTCAGGTTTGATAAAAAAAAATTCATTTCTGTTGCTCTATATTATTGTTAAACAATTCTTTGCATGTTCGCATCAGTTGCATGCTCTATAAGCTTTCTTTAAATAATCTTTTGTTAGATTTCAATTTTAAGATCTCTTGTTATTTTGTGTCTGTTTAATAGTCGACGTGTTCTCTTCGAAGATTATCAGTTTGATATAAACGGTAATTCACCATTAGCGGAAAAATTCCTACGTTCAAGTCATATGTTAAAAAGCTCGGGTACACAACTTCTTATACCACATCCACAAATAATTCAAGTACCATCAGTAAGTGCTGAAACCTACGATGAGGAAATAAAACGAGCTGCAAAATTTTGTCGCATTGTCCGAGCTCAAAGACATAAGTCAGTTATATTTGTAATAATTATTTATTGAATTTAAAAAAATCATACATTTTTTAACAGAGAACGAGCTCAACAAATAGCAGCAAGACAACGTGCATGTACATCAAAAACACGAATTGAATTGGATAGACAAAAGAAGAAAAAAAGTTCCATTTATAGGCGACCGATAATGGTAGGCAATATTTAACTTATTCTCTTGTTGACATAAGACTATTTGAATGTAATAAGTGTCAATTTCCGCTTTTTTTTTAATGCTTCAAACTTATTAGTGTTTGGCTTCACAGAGACAAACGATCGAAGCTTTTAAAGTTTTTAATTTCAAAAATGATTCTTTACGTAAATTCTAATTCTTGAATGCACTTGTAAAAATATTAATAGAAGCTCGAACAAATGTTTTTTCGGTGAAACCCAAAAGATCTTAATTTGAAAAAATTCTTTCAAGAAAAAATAAACTTCACGTTGTTCTGCTATTGACTTCTGTTTTATATTTGAAGAGATTCGAAAAATCATATGATTCCAATTAAATTGTTTTATGTCGTTTAGAATACTCGCGCCGATGAACTAATATCAATATCTCAACTATCCTTCAAATCTCATGTATGAATTCGTCAACTTAATTGAACTTGATTTCATCTAATCATACCCATCTTTTTTCTAATCTTTTCTTTTATCAATTTTTTATGTTTCACCTTCGTACAACTTTCATTGAATAATAATATCATCAATAATCAAATCAACCCAGTGGAATAGTCACGCTATTTCATTTTCATCTTGTCATTTTAAAAATATTAAATTACATTGACACTGTTCTAATCATGTACAACTTTGAACTTCGTAGAAAATATCTTAATGATCATATAGTATCATTCGAATTATATAGACAACATGCAATGTAAACATAATCATCTTAAGATTAATAGTTCAACTTCACAAAGAATTTTCATACTAAATATTCTTTGTCGTGCGAAATTTTACATTTATGCATATAAAAAATTGAAAGCAACCCTTATAGCTTTTTTTCTCTATAATTATTAAGTTTACATTTACGATATTGTACAATTTTTATTTTGTGTTGAAGAATTTGATTGTGCTCCTCGCCGTTGATGTTTCATGGAAGACATCCTGTCGACTTTCTTTTCATCTAAATAATCAAACCAAGAATCAACTGAACCCAATAATAGTTTAACAACATAATCACCATAACTAAATGAAAATCTTTTTCCTTGTACAGCTAATATTTCTGCTCGTTCACTTTGATAATCATCGAGCACATCAACGTAAGGAATTTTTTTATCAAAATGATTTAAATAGGCGACTGATTCAAGATCGTCGGTACATGCAATAAATGTAACAAAGATTCGATCAATGGATGGATATCTTTCATAACGTAAGACTTTTTCTAAACCATCAAGATCATTTTTTCCGTTTTCATCTGTCGGTACACCATCCGTTGCAATTAATATTAATAATTTACGATCATTTGCATGTGAACGTTTTAAATTTAGAACATAACTAAGTAAACGTGTGATTGGTGTTGGACCATCGGGTAATTGAGAAAAAGTTTCATCAAGTTGCGCTGAATCGAAAACATGTAACAAAGGTCGTCGATTAAGAAAAAAAATGTCGATACCATCAGGATCTAACGCTGAAGCTAAATCGACAACAATAGACACAACATGTTTAAGTTCATCCCAACGTGTTGGTAATTGACCGAATGCGGATAAATCTTGTCGATTTTTATCGATAGTCGGTGTACGCATTGATGTACTGTCATCAATTATCATAACAATTTCAAAACCTTCGAGTGCTCGAAGACGAAATGCATAGTCAGCATTAATATTGTATTTATGAATAAGATGTTCAAATTTTCTTAAGCGAATTTCATTTGGATCGATTGAATAATTCATTGATTCGATTGTCAATTTGTCAAGCGTTTATTTCTTATCGTATGTTAATTGCTACTACGATGTATATCCATGTAGATATTCGTATAGAACAAGAAAGAAAAATAGCAGAAAAAAATGTATTTAGCTTAACGAAATAAAGCTTAAGACTGTGTGACATTATTTATCATGGCGATGTTAGTCGAATTCAAAAGGATTATTTCGATAAAATCAAGGAACATAGCCTAACATGTGACTGGATTCAATAGAATATGAAAGTCGCTTGTTTTTGTACTTTTACCTTCGATGGTCATACACTAAAAAGAAGATCGATAAAAAACTGACGCATTTGAAGTATTACAAAAATTCAATTAGTTGGCTTGTGATTAAGAATATATATATATATATATATATGTTGCTTTTTTAAGCTTTGACTCATATATGATAAGTGCATAAATTCCTATTGATTATAATGTAATTCAAATGCGCAGAAAATCATTAGATAAATATGAGTCGACATAAACTGGGGTTTCTATTACCCTTTAATATTCACGAATGTCAAATGAACTAATGAAATTTTAATAGTAACACTAGAATAGAATCACTAGAAATGTTTAAGTCTTATAAAATTCGCATGAAAATATCGATTGATAAAAATCTCCCACTGAATATTATCGCCTCATAAATAAATGATTAATTACGAATAAAGTTTGTAATGAAAAATTTTTAATATTTTTTAATAGCGATCATACGTGAACTAAGTGTTGATTACTTTTTCAAAATTGAATTAATCGATAACAGTATTTAAATAATTGAAAACCAATGAAAATCAGAGATATTATAAGAGATTGAAAATGATCTGATTGTTTACCCTCTCCATATCTACTTTTCACCGGTAGGACGAATAGAAATTTTCTCTTAAATATCTTTCTATAAATACAAAATATATAAGTGATTCTTTGAAAAATAATTAGAATACCAGAGAATAGTTTCTTTTCAGGGGCATTTTTTCTGGAACTCATTGAAGGCTTCCCGTAAGGTTTTTTCTCCAGTCCTATATTTACTGGAAATCACAATTACTTCATAGATTTCTTTCAAATTCACTCGCGGTTCTACCACTTAAGGGTGGCAATCATAAATCTATCGATGTTCATTTCCTTTTTTGATTCCTTTAAATGCTCTCTTTCATAATTCAGATAGTATTTCATGTTTTTTTTTGTTCAGATACTTCTAACATATTGACGTTTTCATACCTTCGTCTCCAAGTAATTGTTCACGAATATATCTATCTCCGAATTCTTGCTAACATGAGTATCTTTATAGAATACTTTTCTTTTTGCTTGTATCGTCTTCAAAGTGTCCTGGTGTAATACGTTAGACTATCAACTATATTTCATCACGTGAAGTATTCACAACTTTCTAAAAATCCTACTTAACAGATTTCTTTTGATTTAAATTCCAACAGAAATGTAAAATTGTAAAAGAATTCATGATATTTGATATCAAACGAGCAGCACTAGGATTTGAAATAATTTATCCAATTAGATAATTGAATTGAATTTTTTCTATAGTAGTTTATTTGTTGCATGATTTTAATGCCTCCTCTTTATTAGCTGCATTAAATTGATTCCAAAATATTTACCAAATTCGATTGTTGATCAAATTTAGAACATATAAAAAATACAACTATTGCAGAAAATTCTAATTTTCAATCTTTTTACTATTCATATTTATTGATTTTTATTGTAAAATTACATTTGAAATGAAATGGATGTGAAGATGAAAGGATGATTTAAATACTTGCACTTTCATTTAAGAAGAATAATATTTTGTTTAGCAGGAGAAATTATCTGTGTTATTAAATAAAAATAACGAAAATCACCAGTCTCATTGTTCTATGTACACCTTTCCAGTGGTCAGATAATTCATCATATATTTTGTACGCTTCTTTTATTTTCTCTTAGCCGCATCTCTGAAATTTTGAATAAATTCTAGATTATGAACTGAAAAGAAATGAAAATGTGAAAGTTGATGGATAAATATTGAACGACAAATATAGTATTGTTTCTACTGCATATCAATTAATTGTTGATTGATTTGAGCTAATTTCGGGCTGTCAATGTACGATTCACAAGCATAACAATAAAATGAATTATCGGACAAACTCAAACATATACCATGTCCAGTACTCTCGTGATGTGCTAACATATGTTTTTGTTGATAACGAGAACAACCAATCTACGAAAAGCAATTTCTTTTAATGGTTTCTTTCCTTTCAATTTATTTATCATAGCTCACTTGTTGACAATTTTCTTCTAAACAAACCCAATTCTCTTTCGTCTCACCACAATCGGTACATGGTGGTTGCCGACCATTGACACGACGAGCTGATTGAGGTAGTGTATACATACGATCAGCTAAATGATGACAATCTGTTTTTGGTACAATAGCAAATGGCTAAAGATATTGTCAGCAAACAAAATTTATTAAACAAAATAATTATCTTTTTCCTTTCACTCACACCAATCAATTGTTCATCGAAATTATCAGTGGATGTTGTTGTTGTTGTATGTTTGGTTGACATCTTTTATTTTTATTACTTCGATAATAGATTTAAATGATCTACAAAAATATTTGAAACTTTCGTTTTATAAATTGATGTTGCTGCAGCATGGTGAAAAACGGAAGACGAAAAAAAGAACAAGTCAAACATAGTTAAGTCATAGACTCTATTTCATTTTATTTGAATAGCCAAATACAGAAAAGAAAGAATCATGTATGTTCTTTTTCAACAACAAAAATGTGATTCATACCCAAAGAAAAATAAACAATTATGCTCTTACAATCGAACATATTACGTTGATGCATCATACTTGACTTATGTCTAGGTCATACGAATAAATCTTCGTTGTTTTTTTGTATCGGGAAATAACACAGATGAGCAAATAAGAAAGCAATAATACCTATACCGTTCAGTTGATGATTAAACACGTTTATTTACAACTATGCATAACATAATCTAATTCATCGAGTCACCTTAAATATCAATAAAAAACGTTTGAATGAAAGAAAAAAGGTTTTCCTATTGAAAATATACTTCTTGATCGACTATAGCGATTATGTTTTGATTTTGGTGGCGAACAGGATGAACGTCGAGATATACTATCGGGTTTCTTTCGTCGATTACTTAATGATGAATAACGAGGCGAATCGAAATAAATTTCAACATAACGACTACCTAGAATGATAATAAAATATTTTACTTTTTTCTTTCAAATAAATCATCTCTTACCCATATATTTTCGATCATATTGAAGCGCTTCATTAACTTCATCGAGCGTATTATAATAAAGATAGGCATTTCCATTTGGTCGTTTCATACGGCGATCTTGTAAAATTTCGATACGTGATGGTTGACAAGTTTCGGGAAAGAACTAGAAATAAGTTTTTTGTCTTTTTATTAACTGAAAACTTTGCCTAGACTCTACCTTTCGAATATCATCTTCAACAATAGTATAAGGCATACCCCGAATTTTAACAAGATGCTCTACATTTCTTGATGATGAACGACGTGCTACACTTCTACTACGACTGCGATGACGAGAACTATTCAGGGATCCTATATCAAAAGAGAAGCATTGAAAGTTATTTTGTACGAATTTATTCATCAAGGAATTTCAGTCTTTGAGAATTTTCAAACTTACGTTGATTTCCACTTTTTGATGAAACTATTGAAAAGAAAACGGACATTTTATTCTTATTTTATATAAAATCTCGTATTTTTTCTCTTACCATGTGATCGAACAGGAGAAGGAACTACTGGTGAATGATGACGTTTTATTTCTCGTTGACGATAATCTATCATTGATTGGATTTAAGAATAAATATCTTATTAAAACAGACTGACTTTCCAAACAAACAGTTACCTTGACTTCTCGATCGTGATCTTTGTCGACTTCGACTCCGACTTCGACCGTTTCGCTTAGTATTATTATTGTTATTATTAATAATTTTTTTATTTTCCTCCTCTTCATCGTCACCGACAAATTGTCGAGCGTTTGATCGAGCATCACTCATAATTCTTCGTTTTGCTTCATCATAGGTTGATGGAAATAATTCAATATACCTATATGAAAATAAAACAAATGCAATGATTTATGCGTATTTGAAACATAAAATGTATTAATACACATAACATTTCTATACATTAAAAAAAAAGAGAAGCTAAAAACACATATGAACGAACACATATTGCACATACTGTAATAACTATATATATATATATACATATACATATACATATACATATTGTATTATGTCTACCTGTCATGAAACTGGTAACACCATTGATAAGTACACCTCACCTCTCACCTAGCCCTCCCTGTGTTTCTTTCATTTCATTTTATACTGCATTAATTAAACCTGCTGCTACTAATATTTTTGCATTATTATCAAAAGACCATGTCCAACCAAACCTGTGTTGAATATATTTATGATTATGCATATCCATTGCTTTGTAAGCATTATCCATAGTAACAAAGGCCACAAAACCATCACCCAACGCTTTGTCTGCCATATCTCGTGTTATATAAATACCATTTTTTGCTATTTCAGTATCTAAATATATTTTGAATAATAATAGAAAAAAAAGCATTGAAATCACATCAAATTTTCATTTGTTTACAAACATACTTTCGAAAAAATTTTGCACATCAGCCATCGTACAACCAAATGGAAGGCCACTCACTCGAATAACAGGTTCACGCCATGAAACCAAACCTTTGTGTTTAACATGAAAGTTGAATTCATAAATAGTCGCTCGAAAAACTAAGAATAATGCACAAGATGAAATTATTATTTGATACAGAAAAAATAAAAGCATTTGCTGATGCGAAACTTGTTTTATATCTATATCGTACCTTCAATATATTTTCTATCTAAATATTGGCCTGTTTTCTTTAATGCATCTTTAACATCTATCTCTGATTCCAAATCAACGAAACAATCACTTGGCGAAGTACCATTGTTATCAAATAAATGAAGTGTATCAATACGGCACGCTAGGAAACAAAATATATATACATAATAGTTTCAATCAAATAAAACAAATTGACTTCTACTCAAGTGAAACTTACGATACAGAAATTTTTTAATATCGTCTCTATTCGATGAATGCGACAAACCATGAAGCTTCACTAAAAAATCATGACGACTTGGTGATCTACTCTTACTTCGATCAACCGATTCATCTCGTTCTTGACTCATTATATTCGATCTAATTGAATGAAACACACAAAAACCAATACCAAACAAATAAAAAAATCTTAAGAATACAAAACAAAAAACAAATAATAATTAATAACCTTGTACAATAATGTTTCTGGTATAAATTTATAATCCATGTATGTATACAGAAAATAGAGATTGCATTTAATACTAGAGAGGAATTTTCAACGATAAGGCAAAGTAATCGAATGTTAAGTCAATCATGTAACAAGGATGTGGTCATTTTGTAGCTAACCTCTCTTAATAGCAACGATAATCAATCCAATCGTAACATAGCGCCACTGTTTCTCAACCATAGCGACTCGACGATATATATATATATATATATGATGATTTCGTATGTGATAACTAAACATGAAGGGAAGAAGATAATGACAAGAATAATCTACGTTTTGCTATTAATTAGCAAAAATTTCAGTGATTAAATTTCACTTTTGAGAATTTTCATAACTTTAAAGACTTTGAATAACGAAAAATATTATTATCATTAAATAGCATATTGCTTTTCGATGTGGAGTGTGGAACCAACACGCGCACTCTTCTCAAAGAGACATGTTCCATCGTAGTTTCGTATAGTTAGTAAATGAAAAATATAGTAAGCAATCATTTTGACAAAAAAAGAATTGATTTATCAAAAGAAAAACGCGCATCACATCATCATCGGATCAATATTGAATTTCATACAGTAAGTTCAGAATATATGATGTATTTTGATTTTAGTGACTTGGACAATTGTTTTATTGAACGCTTATCATAATTGTTGAAATCATTCCTTGTTATCAAAAGAGATTTATATCACGCGAACTTATCATTGTGGCTATTAAAAATGATTAAATGTGAATATGTTTTTTGTTTTGCTTTTTACTTTAAAACTCGACGAACATGATTTGATAAAAAGAAATAATTACAAAATAACTCGAATAACAAACAAGCAAGTTGCACACACGCATTACAAATGAGATTTCCTCAGTTTTTTCTGACAAATGTTTCTCTATATGAACTCATAGGAGTACTGCACCGAGATCGAATGGAGATAGAGAGACACACAGATGAGCATTTCATTGAAAAAGAAACCGGTTAAAAAAAAGGTTTTGTTATGGAATGTTTATGGAAGATATTCATTTTTGTTTTGTACATAAACAATTATGGCAAGAGACCTTCGTACGTTTCACGATGGACATCAGGTAATGAATTAAAAATTTGTGGTTCATATCGTTTAATATATTGTACAGCATTCAAATGAATCTGATTTACTTCTTGAATAGATGGTATCAATTGAAGAATATCAAGAAACATATTTGGTTCATCTAAAAATATTGATTATAGAATATTAAAATTTTGAATAACTCAGTAAGTTTACTTGGATGATGACATCGTAAATGTCTGTATAAAACTTGCATTAATTTTGCTTCAATTTGACCAACGATTTGTTTATCGCATAGATCTGACCGTTCTAAAATAAAAACCATTCAATCAACAAAAACAAAAGAGATGCTAACTACGATATCAATACCTGGATTCATCAATAAAAGTGCATTAAACAATGCAATATCACTATCAGTCCATCGAAGATGACTTGCTTTCATACCCAAATCAAATATTTCTAACATAATCACACCTAATGTTTTTATTGTTTTAATAAAGTCTCTATCCATGTAGGCTGAGAAGTCTGGTGTTAGCATTAACTTTTGTTCAGCATCAAATAATGTAAACCAACTAACAAGAATCGTTTCAAATGCTCCTTCAAAAAACAAAGAAAAAGCCGTATTTTTAGATTTTATAATTAATAATTTATTTCAAACTTACCATGTCGAAATAAACAAATTTGATCATCTTGTGAAATTTGTTGAAAAAATGTATAGTATTTGAATGTTCTAAGAATACTTTCGAATGGAAAACTTAATTGCCAATTAGCCCATACTAATGCTGGATCACAATTCAGATCATCACTCTAAAAGTAAGAAAATAGCTTGTGCCATTTACTAATAATAAAATAAAATTCATTATCATACCACAGAGTCTGCCCATATTGGTGGATTTTCTTCAATTTTCATTTGTATTTTTTCAAATGTACATACACAAAATTGTAGATGTGCACTAATAATAACCTGTGCTATATGATCCATTTCTTTTGCTTCAATATCTGTTAATAATTTTTCTTGATAAAGCAACATCGACGATATTTTTCGTGCAATTTCACGATGAATTTCAGGTATTAATGTTGATGACAATGGTTGGCGATGTTGAAAGAGACAATCAGGAAACGATGATAACGATGTCGAAGAGTTAGGTGTTTCAATCGTTACTGATGGTGCCCGATAAGGTGATGATAATATATTGGATGTTGTTGAACTAACAGAATCAATTCGATTTGTTGGTGATAATTCTTTATCTCGTTCATCTGGAGGTGTGTGTTGTTTAATAAATTTCTCATTGGTATTTAGAGATTGCTTTTGTTGGTGTCGTTGAATTTCTTGCAAACGAACAAATGCTGATACTTGTGCTGACATATTTGTTGATGGTGCTATTGTTAGTGAATGTTGTGGTGATAGTTCTTTTTCATTTTTAACAATAGATTTCATATCCGAACGAGGTCGTTTCGGTCGTCGACCTAATCGTGATGCTTCACGACTCATGCCAACATCAAAACATTTTTTTAATCGACAATATTGGCATGAGTTTCGACTAAATGGTGTTATTTCACAATTACCCGTATTGTTACATCGATGAGACATTCCCTGTGTTATACATCGACGAAAAAAACCCTATGTAGAAATTATTCCAATAAAGTTTCGAAAAGAATTACATATGACAAATAATCTACCTTGCAACCTTCACATGAATTGACGCCATAATGAAAACCGCTTGCTTCATCACCACATACTAAACATGGTACATTGACCGTCATTGAACCTGCGACTTTTCCACCGTTTGTTTTCATTAATGAAGCCATTTTATTATTAAGATTTTCTGAAAATTGTTTTCGTTCAAGATTTGGTTCTGTTTTGATAGAAGTTGTTGGTGACGATTTTGATCGAGTTAAATCATGCAATTGTGTAGATGGAACAATAATATTTTCTGCTGCTGCTGCTGCTGTTGTTGATAACGATGATGATGAAGATTGTGGTGGTGGTGGTGGTTGTGGTTCAAAATCTTCTTTTCCATTATGTTGATGTGTTGTTTCAATAAGATTTGCTGTCGATTGTGATAAGTAATGGTGATGATGTATAATTGCTGTTGGTGCTGGTTGATCTACTTCAGTATTTCGACATGTTGTTGCAATATCATGACAAACATTTTGTGTATCAGGACTTTTAATATAATGTGTAAAACGTTGTTTTGGTTTATATGGATGATGATATGAATGAGATGTTTCAATCATTGGATGATGAATATTGAAATCGTCGTAAATAGTTTGCTGTTGTTGCGGATAACCTATTTATTTGATAACAAGAGTGCGATATGGTAACGAGTGAGAAAGCGAAGAAGAGAGAGAGAGCGGGTAAGAGCAAGCTAGATGGAGAAGAAATCGAATTTTTCCTTTTTCTCTATATATGTGTTTCCTCAACGGTTTGCTGACCTTGAAGTTCAACACAATTTTTTGCTTGCGTTCTCTTTTTCGCGTATTTATGATTGAGTAATCATTCAGTCAATGCGATCAATGACCTCCGCTCGAATAATTAAAATATGTATGAGGGTCAGCGGTCATCTAATTATGTAATATACATTCACACATGCACACACACTCACTCGCAGACATGCATTTCCGTTCGGAACATTCAATACTTAGATGTTATATTAGACATAATATTTTTTCCTTGCGGACAAATTATATTATCGACATACTCATTTCCTTTGATTTTCTCTTTTTCTTCAAAACCTACCATTGTTTCCAGTATTCGTCCAACAATCGAACCACATATCGTTCATCATTCTTCTTTATGTGCATATGTGTCACCCAAGTGGTATGCTCCTCCTAATGGTCAAACACTCTTTGGTGTTGCCTCTATATTTTCGTTCGGGCTGGTTTGTTTGACCAGTGTACTTCCTTCCTTCCTCATCTATCGGATATAGTTCGATTGACCAACACCATCGATTGCTATCTTTTGTTCGTGTCCTTGAGAGTGGGGTCAAGTAACGAGCACGAACTTAAACGAAAGCAAAACAGAGAAAAGGGAATAGCATGAGTAATCATATAGGCGAGTGAACAAATGAGTTATTTAATGAGTGTGCCCTATATCGGCTTTGATAATTTGAACACAATTGGACAAAAACGATAGAGATCAACAGAACGAATAGACAAACTTCACATGATCAAGAAATAATACATACGATTAGTTGCCATCAGAAGACGAAAGTGAAAAAAAGAAAAGTTCATCGATCATTTCTAACAAATATCGTTTGATGATATAGGTCGATCTATAAATCTGTATTTTCACATTATGCAAGACTATTTTATGACAAGCAGCGATCAAATAAATATTCTTTGAAATAAAGAGTGTTGAAATTTTTATGTAACAATTAATGACCACTTTAAAAATAAGGAAACAAGCATAATGACTAACATTTCTTGACAAAATTCAAGTGATCAATCGATTATAAAATGATCAAAAGTATCCGCTGTTTCATGTTGTGTAAATTCGAATATCTATGATCATTTTTTTTTGCTCTATAGACATTCGATTCATTATTCTGATAAAATCTTATGCGTTCATTTTCAATACTTCGTATCTTGTTTTTTCAAGTATCATTATCAGCTTGTTTTCTCGTTGCTCTATTGTGTTGAGATTAAATCAACTTTATTCTAAATGCTAGAAACAATATATATATATATATATATATAGATTCATTTTTCATAAATGAATGCAGTATGACTACGAGAGTGAACTAAAATAAACATCAGAAATGAAACCTGATCATACTTTATCTCAACCACTTATCTATATCATTATGCGAACTATGATTGATTCAATAGCATTGAAAGGAAAATAAACTAAAAAGCTTGACCTTTTCTCATGTAGAATATTTCTTATTGTTGAATAATAGTCTCACGTTTATTATCAATCGATAGATATTTTCAATTCTCTCACCTATGCAATTCAAATTCATGAAAATATTTAATGCAAACAAATAGGAATGAATCGTGCATAAGAGTGATTTTTCCTAAAAAAAAAACATATTGAGTTCATTAAGTTCTTATTCTTAATCTCTAGATTATTTCATCAATTCGATTTTCCTACATAAATGAAATAGTTTTATTATTTTTCTATTTGTTCGATACTAATTTGCCCATGCTCAATGTACCATATCGTTTTTGTATAGCTAAGTACAAAATAGACAATACTTGATGCTCAATCATTGCTCTCCTTATCTCGCTACGATGAGTTCTATAAGAAGTGAATGTACTTAGAATAAAAACGTCCTACAGAAAAGTATGTTTTTTTTTATTCAGATTTTGATCGAAAATGCATGATTATAGAATATCTATCGTTTGTTTGAAAAACTCTCATTAAATGTTCACTTTTCTTTTATCAGCGTTTATGCATAAATAGGTGATCCATGTCGTTTTTGTACTTGATTAACACCACCTTGAGTTTGAATTCGATTCGTAGTCATTGCATTTACATAAGAAATCGATGAGCCATGATTGTCAGTATTCGTTTGCTTAGCTAGCCACGGATGTTTTTGTATTAGTTCAATTGGCCATCGTTGCGTTACTTCAGATTGAAGCATACGTGCAATGAGATCTTGTACTTCGGATGAACCTTCACTACCAAAACGAAGACCACCTTTTGTCATTTGTGCTTCAATCATTTTTTTAATATCAGAATCATCGAAAGGCATTTTTGAATAGATCTATCAATGATAACAAAACATGACGAAATAAATAAATAAATAAATAGCGTTTACCATGATATATAAGATACATCCTGCTGACCAAATATCATAAAGTTTCGGATTACTAGACGTGAAGAATGATGTTAAATAAAATCCAAGATACTATTTTATACGATTCAATAACATACTATTCTTGGCCACGAAGAATTTCAGGTGCAGCATATGCAGCCGAACCACAAAATGTTCGGCTTAAAATCTTTTTTTCAATTACATTCTTTTTATTTTCTGTACGAGGAGGGTCAACTAGTAAAAACGAGTTTTTTTAATCACAAAAAAGAAGCCTCTGTCGATGATGAAACGAACCACAATAGCGAGAAAATCCAAAATCAGCTAATTCTAGCAGAAGAGTTGAATAAAACATGATGAAATTTCATTATTGGAACTTACTAATGCGTAGATGATTATCAAGTAAAAGATTTTCACATCTGAAAATAGATCAAACTAGATTATAGTCTACGTGATTCAATAGAAATTACTTCAAATCTCGATGGCATATATTTCGAAAATCTTAAACAATACAGACTTCAGGTGTCGCATAGAATAATAGGAAGAAAATTCTTACGAATATAATAAATAGCATCGCATAATTCACGAAACATGCGTCGTGCCACTGATTCTTGTAGACGAGTCGTTTTCTAGAAGCTAAACAACGTCTAATATATCACCTTTCATAGATGTTCAACAAAAATATGTATAATTATTGTTTTGCAAAATGCAAAATGAACTAAATTCTAGCTAAGAGCATTTTCAATTTCTTACATTAATATAATCAAGAAGATCTCCATTTGATGCATACTCCATCACGATTAATGTTAGAGATTTGGTTTCAAGAATTTGTTGTACCTTTTAATAGAAATGACTCTATGATTTTAGTTATTCTTAAAATTAACTTTGATAATATTTGGATGATCTAATGTTCGAATAATATCAAGTTCACGTGGTAAAAATTTAGAGACGAAATCAGAAGGAGCTTTATCACGATCGATGATTTTCACGGCGAATTCTTTGTTATCAATCTCTCGTATGCATCTTCTATATTCAATAAAGAAAACCAGAGTAATCAATTGAATTGAAACTTGTTATCTTGTCAAAATGTTTTACTTGACTTTTGCATAAGAGCCAGTACCAATTAATTTTTCATTGATACGAAATCCTAATTGGAGAAGTGGTTGCTGAGCATCTGTACTTGTTGAATAATTTTTTGTACCAGTTGATGAATAAAGTTTGGATCTTGCTGGAAATTGTTGTCCTTGAGTAGTAAATTTAGGATTTTTTAAACCTTTAGGATCGTGTTTTCCATTGGTAAATGACAGAGAATTATTCATACTAGCGATCATGAATTTGTCGACGCCACTTCGAGATAACATTCAATGAATAAATATCATAGTCTTATAAATCATAGATAAATAATAAGTATTCTTTGTTTAATATAAATACGATAATGAAAATTAAAAATTATATAAACGAACAAAATTCAAAGAAAAACAATTTGAAATTAATGCGCTTGTTATGATCTTGTGTATGTATCGAAGTGATGTAGACACACAAATGAATAAGAAGATTAAATTAACAGATAAGATGAAGTTCTACGAAGGATTCGAAATTCGCAAATTATCGAACCGAAAAGCATGCGCAATCATATCAGCACATACTTTTCGCTTACGCACAAATATTAAAGTTGGCATGGAAACAATATATATGCTGCCTTGTTTTTTTATTGTTATTTGTTCAATCAAAATTAAAACGAATCATTTAACAACAAAATATTTTACATAAATTTTCGCTAAAATTTTTAAATCAACTCAATAATGAATCATCATTCATATTTAGGATATTCCATCCATAGAATAAATTAGAAATCTTTATCAACAGACGTTCTCAACATGATTTTTTCGGAAATTTAATTTTTTTCCCATTCGAGATCTAGAATAATTAATTTTGAGAAAATATTCGGTACGAATACTATTTCGACGATGACGAAATCATTTTTGAAAATAGATTTTTATTTTTACTTATTACTTAAATTAATTGACTATTTTGCATTGAAACGCTAATTACAGTCATTCGATCATTTTAGTAGAACTGTGCTTAGAAGAAAGCATCGCTGTAACTATTTTATCCAATGGTGAAGTTGACCGATTTGTCTGAAGTATCATAGATCTAAACAATTGTGATAAAAAAAGGATATTTAAACAAAGTCAATTCCACATTTAAGTAGTATTTGATGACTACTGTAGATGATTACCCATCCAATTGTTATCATATTTCTCATAGTTTCTATGAATTCAATTTATTCTCATAGACTAAACGAACAGTATCTCGTAGATTTTATCGTATCGGTACATTCAAATTAACAAAAATCATTATGAATACGAATGACATGTTTTTGTAGTTGATTTTACTATGCTATTAGTCTAAAATATAATTATTAACGCATGAATATTAATCTTAAATATTTGCATACTCTTTGAAACAAGTATCTATCTCTACTAAACTTCAGTAATATTTCAAATGCATTTTCACCATCAATGAATTAAAACAAATAAATGTTCTTTTCAACATAGATCTCGTTTCAAATTCTAATATCACAACTCTGGTTTCTGTCCACACTGAATGCGATTGAGGAATATCTTGAAACGCTTCAAAATAAACAAAGACTAGCAACATAAGTATAGTACAAAAATAAATGATGAATTTTGCTTAATAATAAAATGCAAGTTAACTACATTATAACTTTTGATACTGTTTCTATAGATCATCTCATAATACTTAATTCCGCATTACATTAGTCAATGCTGGGTATAAAATTTGACAGTGAAATTTGTTTTAAAGCACCATTTAAAGACGCCATATTGCTTTTATAGATAAATTCTTGAGTAAAATAGGCCCTTCGAAAAAGATACGATAAACAAAGTTTTTATGGTTGGCTACGAAATAGAGATAAAGCTGTGATCGTTTTTCAGCTTCGATGCTGTAAATAACCCTATAATTGACATCGAGAAGAATAAAACAGAAGATTATTGTCGATATTTTTAACTTTCATTGACAAGAAATTATATAACAATACGAAAATTCTAATCATGATCAAGATAAAATGCAAAGTTCGACGGCTAAAACCTGAGCAAGTACGATTATGAATGCATTAAGATAAAATAGAGCACACTGAAATATTCTGACAAAAAAAGGACTACAATGAAAATATCAAGGAAACAATAAGAAAGTTATTATTTTATTTATTTCAGTCATTTTGCATGAGAAAAAGATCCTGTTCATGCCGAAGGTAACGTACACGGCGCTCCGAGTTTCTGTGATTGTTGTTTCAGATAAAAATTTTATATACTAATAGAAACAGATTTGTGTGCTTTGCGAAAAGAAAAATGAATAAAATATTGTTTGACATGTTTTGTGAAACGAACAGAGAAAGGCAAAAAACGAGCAGTGTGTTAATGATTAATTCAATGACAAAAAAAAAACAATATAATAGGTCACTTCGCGATAATACCTTGACAATACCATCACTAGCAAAAGCAAATACGAAATGTCAAAGTGTCAATATAAGAATGAAAAAATAGTAGATCAAAACCCTACATTATATTTTGTTGAGCAAAAATAATAAAATAAAATGATACACGAAACTTATTATCAGATAGATTTTAAAATATTACAAGTTCCATATTATTATAAAGAAAAAAATGAATTAGTAATTCGTTTTATTTTTATACCGTATGATTACAGAAGCGAAATATACATAGATAATGAAGATTTAAGATAACGAAGAGTACTTTATAATTACACAGAAAAAAAATTGCACTGTATGTTTAAAATCATGAAAATATCTAAAACGATGAATAATAATTAATCGTCTCGCAAAATACACTTTGTATTTGAAATAATTAAGGTAATTGTATGAACGTTTTGCTGGATTATAAATTGTATTAACTTTCAATCACGAAAAGAAGAACAAAAACAATTACATTAAACTAGAAAGACGTCTGCAATGATGTAGAATGAAGATTCTTGCACACTGTTAAGAATGTGTGCCATGAGGAGAATTAACTTCTTCATATGTTGAATAAAGTTCTTTTCGGTTGATTGAAGCTCGATTGTTTTTTTTGTCAAGAAATTGAACGGCTCAATGAATAAGTAAAATTTCAAAAACAAAACTTAATTTAATCATCGGCCAACCTATTTTAATGGTTCTAAATGAAAAGATTATCAAATTCGAAGGTATGCATAGTTCAAACTGCTAGAATTTATGTATTTCATCAATAACACAAAAAAATATTTATTTTTGATTGAATAAATTCAATGGATATAGAAACACAACCATATGCTAAATACGCAGATTTATTTTCGATTTATTTACAGTTGAAAAATTCTATTTGTCAGTACAAATCGATAATGAAACATGAATAAATTCTCGATTTTTACAAATCAGAAACCTCCTTATATACATATGTATATAAGTTTACGATAAAACTTACAGAAATTCAAATACTTAAATAATGATATAAATGAACAACATAACTGTCAATAGATGAGTTTGACATCTGTATGTATTCGCAACATTCTATACAACGATTTTTTTCTTTGTTGTATTTTTGTTTCGGTCAAAATTAGATATGTGATGATGTTTGACTTGATCCTTTCGTTTCTATTTTTTTCTTACTCGTTGACTCACAATCCCTTGTTGTGTGTCTCTTGATAAAATGAGAATTTTTCTTGTTTCATCGAAAGCCAATGAAAACAAAGGTTTATTATAAAATCGAATACCGAGGTTATTTTTTCACTTAAGAATTACCGTTACGTTTACTAGATAAAATTCTTCTTACACAAAGATCACTTTTTATCAACATCGACAACTCGATTTAAGCATTACAATTCAACGAACATGTCTCACGAAACTCTTCAAGTTATTGTTGTCGAAGGTCGCAATCTTAAAGACAAAGATACATTTGGTCAAAATGATGCTTATATTGAATTATATCTAGACAAAAATTATAAACAACGAACATCAACCATTAAAGATACAAATTCACCAGTATGGAATGAAACATTTAATTTGTAAGTGACTGTTTTCATCTTTCGATTCATAACTGTATGATTTTTGTTTTCGTGTGACGAAATAGTAATTTACTTAAAGGACAAGATCATTTACATATTCAAGTATATGATGAAGATGTCGTCGGTAAAGATTCAATTGGTGCAGCAAAGATTAGTTTGAAGAAAATTCAACAAGCTGGTGGAAAGTTAGATGAATGGATTAAATTACCCGCTCATCTTGGTCTTGGTTCAAATGGTGAAATTCATCTTATTTTACGACTTAGCTAAAGATTAGATAATAATGGTGTGGTTAAAAAAAATAATAAATTAATGATAGAATATTATGTATCAGAAAGTTTTTTATTTTTATTTTTCAATTATCATCCATATCAGTAAAAACAAAATATAGAATTGATCGCCGTAATAAATCTATCAGCCATAATGTACAAACAAATAAAAAGAAAAAGGGAGTGTGCTATTTGACGAGGGGCCCCAAGCGTAGAGAAATGTAATCTACAATCACACGTGGAGAAAGGGCAAATGTAAAAGAACAGAAAAGATTCACGGTGCTTGATAAGCAAAGAAAAAAAAAGAGGACGCTAAATACATCGGGCATATTATTCTTTCCTCTCCAACTATTATATAAAGGAAAGACAAACACAATATAACGGGTCATAATAAAGCCAAAATTTACTGAAAACACCTAGAAAATTTGCCAAATATGTTATCTAAGCTTGTATGCAAACAAGTACTTAATCATGGACTTCGTTTAACATCACGTGCTGCATCAGCACCAGCACAGCAAGTAGTAATCAATAGAAAACCAGAAGTAAAATATCAAAAGGTTTGTTTTTCCATAATAATAAATGCATGTGCGCAAGATTTACTCATACGTCTTTTTGTGTATTTCTAGCTTTTTATTAACAATGAGTTTGTTGATTCTTTAAGCGGTGCTTCATTTGATGTTATTAATCCAGCTACTGGTGGTGTCATCGCTCAAGTTGCCGATGGTTCAGCAGTATGATTTGTTGCTCTGAATTTTTCATAGGTTTCACTAAATTGAATTATATTATTATTTCAATAGAAAGATGTTGATCGAGCAGTAAAAGCTGCTAACAACGCTTTTCGACTTGGTTCCGAATGGCGTCGTATGGTTAGCATAACAAATTGTTTGCCTTTGAATAATAAAAGAAAAACAACTTCTTATTTAGGATCCTGCAGATCGTGGTGCTCTTCTTTACAAACTTGCCGATCTTATTGAGCGCGATCGTGCTTATATTGCTGCTTTAGAAACATATAATAATGGCAAACCATTCAAAGATGCATATAATATTGACATACCGCATTGCATTGCTGTTCTTCGGTATACGAGATATCATTAGTTTACATTCATATGTTTATTGTCATTCGTTGTCTCGTTATTTATGTAGATACTATGCAGGTTGGCCAGATAAAATAAATGGAAGAGTTTTACCTGTTGGTGGCGATTTCTTTTCTTATACACGACGTGAACCTGTTGGTGTTGTCGGTCAAATTATTCCAGTAGGTGAAAATTTTTTACGCTGAATTCTAATTGGCTTTGATTTTGATTCTATTTTTCAGTGGAATTTTCCAATGATTTTACTCTGTTGGAAAATTGGTCCTGCTGTAGTAACTGGTTGTACAACAGTTGTTAAACTTGATGAGCATACACCTTTAACAGGTCTTTATACAGCAAAATTAATTCAAGAAGCCGGTTTTCCTCCAGTCAGTTTTTAAAAATGTTTCTTGAATTTGTTTTTTTTTTAACAAAAATTCTATTTCTGAACAGGGTGTCGTCAATATTATTGCCGGTGATGGACCCAATTGCGGAGGTTCAATTGTAAAACATCCAGATGTTCATAAAATAGCTTTTACTGGTTCAACACATGTTGGTAAAATTATTGGAGCTGAAGCAGCTAAATTGGTTAAACGTACAACACTTGAACTTGGTGGAAAATCACCAAATATCGTCTTTGCTGATTGTGATCGTATGTATTAAGAAACAAAATATTGTTTTTGAATTTTGATGTAATATTTATTTATTGTATCTTGCAGTTGACAACGCTGTTGAAATGTCTCATTTTGCTCTATTCTTTAATCAAGGACAATGCTGTTGTGGTATGTTGAAATCATTTTGTTAGAGACTTTCATTATGTAAAAAAGAGAAATAATTTATATTTAGCTGGATCACGCACGTTTGTTGAAGAGAAAATTTATGATGAATTTGTTCAACGCAGTATTGAACGTACGAAACGACGAAAAATTGGAGATCCATATGATGAAAGTACTGAACAAGGACCTCAAGTAAACAATTCAAATGAAAAACATGAAAATAATTTATACTTTATCCATTCTTTGTTTTGTTTTGTTTTAGATCAGCCAAGAACAAATGGATAAAATTTTAGATTTGATTGACTCAGGAAAGAAATCTGGCGCTAAATTAGTTGCCGGTGGTCGGCGTGAAGGAGACAAAGGTTTCTTTGTTCAACCAACATTGTTCACTGATGTAAAAGATGATCATCGAATTGCTCGTGAAGAAGTAATTAATGAATTTTGTCTTTTGTTTCTAATAAGTTCCTTGTTTTCTATTGAAAGATTTTTGGACCGGTAATGCAAATTTTAAAATTTAAATCAATCGATGAAGTTATTGAACGAGCTAATAGTACAGAATATGGTTTGGCTGCCAGTATTTTCACCAAAGATTTAGACAAAGCTATTGTTGTTAGTAATGGACTTCGAGCAGGTTCAGTTTGGGTTAATACTTATGATAACTTTGACCCTGCTGCACCATTTGGTGGATTTAAACAAAGTGGTCTTGGTCGAGAAAAGAGTGAATTTTCTTTAGATTCGTACACCGAAACTAAATGTGTATGTATTTCAAATAGAAAAATAAAAAGTTTGTCCTTATTGTATGAATCTATTTGTCTTTTTTTTTATAGGTTACAATCAAAATTTCGGAACGAAATTCATAATTATACATTCAAGATCACCAAAATCAAGGAAGATCTTCTGCGATCTTATTTCAAAAGAAGAACTTTTTTCTCTTACATTTTACTTTCATTACGTATTTCCTACTAGCGCCAATCAGTAGTTAGCTGGATTTCATATTATAGAATATAATCACTTTGTTTAGGGTTCAGAAGAAAAAAATGTGAAACATTAACAATAAACATAAATCATTGTCGTTTACTTATGAAGTTAATCACAAGAATAATAGGAATCATCATCTACTGTATAAAATAATGAACAATTCTTAAATCTACTTTAAAATTCATAAATTTCATTTGTTCTTTAATCAATAAACTTAATTCAATTATCAACATTGCTTTGTAAAATGAGTTGTCTGTAAAAGTTACATTTTACTGTTTTAATTTCTAATCAAGAAACTCTTTTTCGTGATACTTTATGGTGAATTAGAGTATATACTTGATCAAATGAATTTTGTATGTTGTATAGCGGCATGTTTAGAAAGCAGAACTGATCTTTAAAAGTTAGTATCTTTTATAGATTTCTATCAAATTGTCAAAATTCTGAATCAAGTAGCTAGACTTTACAAGTTGCAGATTGATCACGATATCATTTATGAATGAAACATTGTACTAGAAATATCGACGCCTTTTGTTTGTTGACTATAATATTTATTGAAATCTCAAATCGGATTTGGCTAAGGATAAATTTGCATATTTAAGAATAACATTTTACTTTTAGTTAAGACTATCGAGAATTAAGAAGTAGCTTTCTATAATAAGAGATTGTAAGATAGTTAATGATATCAAAAGATGACAATAATACAAATGACAAAATTCTTTGAGCAAGCATCAATACATATATCCTTATTTAGAATTAGCGTTGTAGTTGAATACATCAAATTGTTCTTTATTATAAAATGTGTGATCAAAGTAAACGAGATGTGTGAATCGTCAAAACAAAAGGATGAAGTTGATCAATTGAGCTCCTTCTATGAAATTCGAGGGGAATTATCATACGAGAAAAACATCAACATTGATTATTATGACTACCAAACGAACAGTGATTCTTTTCACTAGAATTCGAGATAAATCTGCATGAAACAAAAAGAAATCTGATAATAATAATAATAATAATAATAATAATAATAATAATAATAATAATAATAATGAAACATACTTATTAATTTAATTTATGGTTGATATTTAATTAAAACATCGATATAAATATTTCGAAGAAAAAAAAGTTTACAATCATATCTATTCTATCTCTTTTGTATGGCGAATATTTCGCATCTCGAGCAATGATCGATGATGATATGAAATCAATTCAACAATCACACCAACGCTTAAAATTAACTATATATCATATCAAATCATTTGATCATAGTTCAAATTTTATCAATAACCTTTTTTTTGAACTATACACTCATCTTATTCAAGGTTTAAATATTCTTCCACACCCAAAAAATTTTAATCGTACTGAACGACCGATACGCATATTATAAAATACAACCAAAAAAAGAAACATTTTCTCATTTATTACAAAACAGAACAACAACTCAATTAAAGTTTTTCAAACAATTTTTTATTATGTAATCATCAACGGTAGAATAAAAAAATCAATTTATTTATACGAGAATGAATTTAAAATAAAAAGGCTATTTTTGAAAAAAGCAATACACAAATAGAAAAATAATATTTATAACGTAATCATCTCATGCATATCAGAAAAAACAAATCCGAAAATAGTAATTAATTTTATGAAGAAGGCCATTCATAAAAATAATGATAATATAAAAACAAACAAAAAAAATGTCATATAAATGGGACAAAAAAAACATAAAAGATAAATTGAAAAGATTATATTCAATAAGAACCTGAAAATCTATCGATTTGTTGCTATTATAATTTATATTATATATATATATATATATATCTTGTATTACATTCAAGGTAAAGAAGAAAAAATGAGCATTTTGAATAAATAAAAAGAAACATCAATCATAGTAATATCAACAAGCACAAAGAAAAAACAATTAAACCATTTATTTTTAAATCCATTGTACAGTCAACAGTCGGTGTCTAATTTGATAAGCATAGAGTATTTTCTTTCGAACAAAGATGATCTTTATCATGCATTAATAAATTTCACTTGAGTCAAATGAGACTTAGCCACAATATTTCAACGATCTGTTTCTTCGATGTTCAGTCTATTAATTTAATAAAATTACGATGTGTACTTGTGACTTTTTCATGTTTGGACAGACATCGAAAAGTCTGTCCAATTAGACGGGAGCGTGCTATCTTTGTAACCGTACGAGATTAAAGAAAAAAGAAATTGGAGAGTCTCGCACACTGCTTTCGACCTCTAATCCCTTATGAGTATAGGCGCGTGCGCCACGTAACTGTCCTTTGTGAGTTGTATATGTTGAAACACCTTTTCCGCTCTCTTTCTAACTCGCCGCTTGCTCGTCTTTTTTTTTCTCGACATTTCGTATGCTTCTCTACTTGTTTGTAAGCATGACTTAATCGCTCGCCGTTCATTGCTCGCTTCGTTCATACATTTGCCGTTGAATATCGAGTAAGAAACCTTGTCCTCAACCCTTCTACATCACCCGATACACTCATCATTTATTACATATAAAGCATCGTCATAAATAAAACGAACGACGAAGAACAAGAAGGCATGAGATGGATGACTGAGCGAGAATGAGAAAGAGAGAGAGAGACAGAGACAGAGAGACAGAGTGAGAGAGATATACAGAGAAACGAAAATGAATGAGAAGTAAAATACGCATATACCAGAAGGTTAAAATCAATCGTTGATGCTTAGGAAAGATTACATTTCTCAGTTTCTAATATTAATTATATGAGTAGAAAAGCGTTGCTCAAATAAATATGCCAAAAGTTCAAACGACAACAACAACATCTCGTGCTTCACCTGTTGGTGTCACAGCTGGCCAAAACGAACGTAAGTTTCTTTCTCCATTGGCAATTGTTACAAATAAATGAGAAAAAGGTGACATGGGAAATGACAGGAGCAGGAAAACAAGCAGAAGAAAAAGAGACGAAAAAACTTTAAAAAATGGAGAAAATCGATACAATATATTTTTGTATGTTAGATTACGGCAGCATATTCTATTCTCTTTTGACATACACGCACGCACAAATTGAAGTGGTTAACTGCATACCGTTTTTTTTTCTTCTATTAAATTTTGTAATCTGATTTTGATACAAGGTGTAGAATATAGTATGCATACCACGACCAGATTGCACCGTTCAGGTAGATTCTCAAGGAAATATTGTATGCAAGAAAATGGGAGAAAAAAATAGAGAATCCATATTGATTGATTTCCTTGGTTCATTGCTCTTCTATTGAATATGTTTAGAATCGTTGGGTCCTAACTTACAATCACGTCTTGAGGCACTTGAAGCTGCCATGGGTGTTCGGCTAAATGTAGCCAAACGGCAAGGACGACAGTCATTGTCAAATAGTATGTATAGTAATTGTTCAAAGAAAATGTTTACTATTATGTTCAATTAAAATGTATTTTGCAGCTGCAAGTTCCTCGCCCATGCAAGTATCACCTACATCAACATCATCAGCGACATCAAGTACAACTACAACAACTTCATTATCAACATCATCTCGTCATAATATTCTAATACGTTCTGGTCAAGGTGTACAACGATCTGCTTCCTCATGTGATGTTGAAAATCGTCCAGGTCCCTTTAAACGTCTCAAACCGTCACTACCAATAGAAACATCTTCTTCATCTACTGCTTCTGCTATTGCTACAATAAAAAAATATACACCACCTGCTCGTCGTCCTATAACAACAATCACGGCACCTATGCGTCCTATACAATCGAAACAAACGACTCTAATCAAACAACGATCATCACCGATGGATACTGTACCCGTACGTTCAACACGCACATCTACGGCAAATAATATTAATTCAAATCCTCGCCCATCAGTTGGAGTTTCAACTAAAACTTCTCCAACATCACCAGGAAAGCCAACAGTAATTAATACATCGTCATCATTATCTTCACCATCATCTCCGCCTCCACGACGACCACGACCACTACCATCACTACCATCATCATCATCTTCGTCGTCGTCGTCATCATCATCACCACCTCCGCCACTACCACCACCAACTTCACCACCACCACCGCCACCACCACGTTCAACATCCTTACCACAAAAACAACGTTTATCCATATTTGGTGAACAATTTTCCGATGATATACTTAAAACGAATTTATTATGGATTCATTTAAATGAGTTTGATGATGAAAGTCGTACAGAAGTACTTATACAATTTGGTTCAATAGAGAATTTTCTTCACGAACAACAACTTCTTTATGCTAAACAACAACACCAACTGAAGTTAGCAGCTAAAAATAAAACAGTTATAAATCGATCACGATTTCAATTACTGATACCTAAAAAGGACCGATTAGAACTTCTTTAAACAGAATCAAAAAAAAATAAAGAAGATAAAATTTATTCTTTAATAAGCGAGCAATAATTATATTTTCTTGCTCCGGTGGTTAATTGCATCTTGTTTTATGGTCAAATGTCTATACGTGTTTTTTTCTTTGTAATTGTTATATGTGCCTCTTATAATCTCACTCTGAGTCTATGTTACTTATCACGATAATCTAAATGAATTTGTTTTCTTTGTTTTTTCTTCTATTGTAAATAAACTAGCAATGCATAGAGAAACAAGCAATTTTTAAACATCTTCAAAAATTGAGTGTCAGTTTTAAATGTACAGAAAAAAGCAAAAAATAAACTTCGCGCCAACTAGTTTGTACATCAAATGCAGATGGAAAATATTCTTATATTGAATTTATTAGGCAAACAATTTCGTATACCATATGGAATAGTAGCTGATTATCCTCAAACACTACTCGGCAATGAATTATTACTTTCAAAATATTATCGTCATGATAGAAAAGACTACTATTTTGAACGAAATCCATTATTATTTCCATATATTTTAACATATTATACATTAGAAAGAAAAATATTTTGTCCACACCATATACCTATTGAATTATTAGAAAATGAATGTAAGTTCTTTAAATTAACTAATTCAAATATTTATCATGAAATGTATAAAATACAAACTTATCAATATTTTCAAAGAAAAAAAAATTTAAAAAAAGATTATTTTATTGTTATAACTCCATTTATTGTCGGTCTTTTATTTATGATAACAGCAAGTATGGAAACATTAAGTGATAATAATAATAATAATTCTTTAAATTCACCATGGTCCTTAACTTATTTTATTGAGTTATTAAATACACTATTATTAACTAGTACTATAATTTATCAAATTCTTTATAAACAAGATTTTTTTCGAAATACACGTTTTCTATTAGATTTATTTTCAACGATATTAACAATACTTGTCATTATTTGTCAAAACGTAACGATAATGATAGATTTTAAATTTTTAAATATTTTAATTATGTGTTTAAAAACATTTCGTTTATTCATCATTATCGTTCATTTACGTCTATTAAGATTAGTTATTCAAACATTTATTCAACGGTATAAAGAATTCGAAATCTTATAGAAACAAAAAAATTTACTGATATTTTTTAATATTTAGATTACAAATTATTTTTGTATTAGCATTTATAAATATTATTATAACAGGTTCATTTAGTGAAATAGCATTTGCATTTGAACGACAACAAAAACAAGATCAAAGTAATCATCCTACAATGAAAACTCATTTTGATGCTTTTTGGTGGGCGACTTCACTCAGGTTTAACTCAATTAAGAAATTCTATACATACGTATATTCAAACTTAGTTTTGATGAAAATAATTCTTTTTTAGTTTTACAATTGGATTTGGACATTCTAATCCACATTTTACATTAACAACTATTGGAAGATTTTGTAGTTACATGCTCACATATTTTGGCCTTCTTTTTAATGGACTCATATTACAAGAATTAATTAAAGGATTTTTAAAAATATATCGAGAAGAAAGAAAAGAATAGTAATCTCATTCATTCTTTTGTGAACATAATCACTTTAAGAATCGAATTATATATCAAGCAACATTATCAACTGTTTCTGTCAATGGATGTCCAAATGATTTATTGAAAATTGTTCTTCTTTATAGATATTTATATAGCTATGTATAATGATCCGATTAGAAATCAAATCTCAACTAGCGATTATGACTACTATCGAATGATATTCGGTTTCTGCAGTATGTCTCTCGATTTATTTATTCTTAAGATCATCTCAAATGAATAGCGAGAGAGTGATAGACGAAAAAAAACAGAGAAGTAAACACGACTATTGCTTAAAGTGGCCTTTTTTCAGACGATGATGACGTTCATTAAACAGAAGGATTCATCCTCATTCTCATCGTTTGACTTGATCAATAAGCTTACCGCCTTGCTCAAATGACACGATAGTCATGTGTTTCTTTCTACCAGGCGGGGTCAGTAGTCGAACAGAGTAAAAAAAAAGCAGAGAATTCATTTCCTTGCTATAGTAAATTTCTTTTTTTATATTTCCTCCTGACCACTACAATTATCTATATGCATTGATGCTGCCGGAAACCCTATCAATGAAAAGAAGAAGAAAAAAGCGACAGAACAAATGGTTGATGCGCATCTGTAAAAATCGATTGTCTCGTGCAGACATTAACTATACATTTTTAATATATATATATATTCTCCTCAACAGATGTACCTCGCTTCTGACACGAGAAGAACTATTATACTGTGATGTCGGCACAAGCGTTGGCGATGGTCATCGCGTTCTCGTTATCTATTCAGGGACGATGTACCGGACAGACTGACAGCAATGTTTATAAAAGAGAAAAAAAAGTGAATGTCCATAGCATTTGTTCAGCATCATCTCTTTTTCTATTCTCATCTCTTGTTGTTTGCTAGTGCAATAGAATACGAGTGGTACAATTAGAACATGATTGTGAAGAGAAGAAAAAATGACAGTATTCTCTTTCTACTCGCCAGTCCTATGAATTACAGTGAATAGAAATAGAGGAGAAAATGAGAGTGAAAGAGAGAATAAGAATTGTCTTGTTACAGATTCTTCTTTCTCTCTTCATATTGCATTGCCCATTCTCTTATTAACATAAACTTCTAGATTTCTTTTTTTTTTATGTCATAGTTAGTCCAACTTTTCGTGGCATCAATCTGTTACCATTATGTAAAAAAATGGAAAGATTTTCTTTTTTTTTGTAAAATTTGGCAAATCGTGCTTTTTTCTAATATAAAAGAAACAAAGAAAAAAGATTTCTTTAGATTTTTTTTAGTTGATAGTTATTCAACACTTGTTCCGTTTTGATTATAAAAAAGGAATTACTTTCTACAATTCATCCTTTGACCTTACAATTGTCTTTCATATATTTCTTTTAGAACTGTAACTACTGTCTGTGTACGCCTCCTCTTTCAACTTTCGAACAATCGATTATTTACAATGCCAGGTTTGGCACGTCGATTACTAGGCAAAAGTAAGTGAAATTGCATTGAATTACTTGATTACTGATAAAGAAGAAAAAAAGCTATTAGTGCGCATAGCATTAAAAAATTAGTTAGACTTCAGTAGGTTCTCAATTATTCTTCGAATTCCAATTATCTTTGTTTTTTACGTGCTCTAATTCAACAAAGAATAGACGAATAGGTGGAATTAATAATCTTGCTGGTTAATGAATCAGCGCGGTCATATATGCATATAGAGACTATACGTCTCGTTATAATCGTCGCCTAAGAATACCCCACAAAATATGAACATGCAATAGTAGATATATAGACATACACAAGCATCGACATTTATATGACAGAAAAGAGTATTATGTCAAAGAGAATTTTCTTCATACATTTGTAAAACGTTTAGATATATTAGAAATCTATAGATTTACAAAAATCAAAGTTCATAATGCTCAGTTTTAAGATATAAAACAAGACCAAAAAAAAAAGTAATTTCTAAATGAAATATAAAAGCAAATAAAAAAAAAACATTCATATCATTTTCAACAAATGAGCATTTAAAATAGGTTCTTATATGAATAAAGAATATACATGTATATAAATACGTAGATGCACACCCAATATAACAATATAGAATCATCGAGGCACGTACGCACTTATGTATACTTGCATTCTTCATCGATGTAACATCGAAACGACAGAAATTAGACCTTCGTTTGACATACATATACACTTTCTCTTAGTTACTACTCCATTCAAGCGAATGACTGACGTAACACTATTCTACTCGTTGTCGTCCGCCTATTACTACATGTATATTGTTCGCTTTAAACGACAATTGCAAATGATGATGGTTTTTGTACTGCTAATAGCAAAGGTATATATATATAATTGCCAATAGCAAGTACTTCATCAAGTAGAATAAGATGATGAATGTATTCTCATGCGCAATGCCATCATAGAAATACTAACAAGCAAGCTAGTACTAGCACATCATGTATATATGTGACTAACAAGAAGAGTCTGTATATATCTGATGTTTAATGGAATCACGTACTTAATCGTTTTCGAGGTTAGAAAATAACCAGACAAGAGTATTGAATTCAATAGTGATCAAAGATTGATAAGAATATTGTATACCTAAGCATGATCTTTCATCCGGCACATTTCTTGCAATTAGTCAGATGCTACGTGACGTTGGTTTTGTTCAGTTATTTATTTATTTTTCTTTTAAAATACTAGTCGGATGTTCTGTGAAGTTTTATCAATTAGTACAAAAGTGAACTCATGCTTAGTATTCATATACAGTGATGCTTTCTCTAGGCTACTTATCATAAAAAATTGTAAATCTCATTCTTTTTTCTTTCTGTCATTCTTGACGAAAATGAATCAGAAAAGAAAGAAAGAGAAGAATAAGTTAAAATATATTTCTTCGTTTCTGCTGTTGTTGTAGTTCTGCTACTGCTGCTGTTGCCGCGTCTCTCTATTGATTATCGTTGTTCGATTGACCTCGATTTGATTCGTATTAAATATGAACGAAAAGTAGTCAGCCATCTGATTGAAAAATAATTTCACATTGAAATAGTTTTATCGTCGAGTAGCTATGTCGCATATGAAACAAATACGGATAGCAAGAATAAAATTTTTAATTTATTTAGCAAGTATGAATTAAAACTACGCTCAATTGAAAAACGAAAGAAAATAAATGTTTCTTTTGCTATTTGCCATATGATGATGAACGACTTGAAACATATGTCTATCAGTTATTGATAGAATTTCTCTCGAGCATCTAGTATAATTGCATACTGATAATGATGAAGAGAAAAAGAACTCGTACTAACGAGACTATCATCATGTAGACATGAGAAAATCTATGTCTATGTGTCTCGTCGATTACATGGAAAACTGATTATCAGCTCATCTGTTCTAGTCAATTGTATATAGAGCGACTGTTTTACGGGCATTCACAGGACTTTTTTCCTTGTTTCTCACACTTCTTCTTCTTGAGATAATCGACAAGACAACACCATAGCAGTTGCTTTCTTGCTCTTTTCTACACTTGTCGTCACGTTCGTTCTTCTCTCAATGGATCAACGTTCAAGGTGACGTGCGCATTGGTGTAAAACACATATTCGATACGATATTCATTTATGTCCCTGTACACACACTAACTTGGCGTCCGTGTGCATCGATGTGATGTAAAAAAAGAAGAAGAAGAAAAAGAAGAGAATAGTGATCGACGTGTGACGTTAAAGCCACATAACGTCCTTTCCCTTTTTATTTGTCAGTACGACATATCTATTTTAACGAGCATTATAGAACTATTATCATCATGCTGTTAAGAAGATTCTTCGAACGAGCTCGTACTCGCTCATTTACTGATACAAATAAACGTGAGAATCATTTTTTCCCTTCTTCTATGCACAAATTTGTTTTCAACATCAGAAATAAACTATGATAATCATTTTTATTTATTGTTATTATTTAGAAACATGTTTGTGTACCACAGCTAAACGAGATTCATTTTATGATGATTTACCTAAATCAGTAACCAAAACTCATGAACATAAATCAACTGATCAATATGAATTTTTACAATCAGGTAAAATCTTTTTGTTGCCTATGTAAATAGTTTTTCTTTTATCGCTTATCTTATGATTTTAACTATATACATAAATACAAGAATCATACAGAAACATATGTGTTTATTTAGATAGAGCAAAACGATTAAGTCGTCAAATAAATATGGATGAATCGGATGCGGACGATGATATGAATATAACTGAACGACTACGACATGCATCAGCAAATTTACCAGCAAATATTCCGATGTTAGTTGTTGTTTCGTTTAGTCCAGATGTAAAAGGTTTACAAAGAAAACAAATTGAAATTCAACGTGGTAAGTTTATGAAAATCAAATCGAGTATTTCATGCTAGTAGAATTCTTTTACTGTTGTTTTTGTTTTCTTTAAAAACAAAAAGGTATTCCTGTAAATGCACAATTTATTCTAAATGAATGGTTACATATTAAAACGGCTGATAATGAAGAAGGTTTTGTTCCATATGTATGTTGTCGGCCAATGTTACGTCGACAATCAGTAAAATATTCAAATGATATAGAAAATAATTATAAACCGTATGATTTCCAGTCAAATAAACCATGTCAAACAAAATCACCATCAACAAGCATACCAAATTTAACATCATCAACAAATAAAAAATTTTCATTGTCATCAGCACTTGGTTCACAATCATTTCTATTTCAAAATTCATTATCATGCAAAAAACGTCCAGATGTTACATCATCATCATGTGGTGGTGATTCTGGTTTTTCAGATTGTGATTCATCATCTCATAATAATAATAATAATCATAATCATAGTTTTGATTTATCAACGCAACGCCATGCACGTTTATCGAATATACGATCATTACGTTCATCTTCAAATTCAATGAAAAAACCTGGTCTTTATGTACAAGATCTTCCTATAAAAAAGTCTATTAAAAATACAATTGCAACGATTACAAAATCAGATACTTCGAATCGAATCAAATATCAATTATCTATATCCAGTAACAGTGCATTTACACAATTTGTAAAAAAAACTATTCATCAAAGTCATCAACAAGAAAGGTACAACCTACCCAAAAACAAAGAAACGTCACTAGAATTTTAATTAGAAATAAGAATTAGATAAGCATAGACGAGATCAACTTTGTTTTATGTTTATTTTAAATTATTAATTTTCTTTATGGATGAAAAGAGCCCTTTTTTTGTTATTCAGTCCATTAACATTTATCGGTCCCTTTTGTTTCATGATTTTTCGAATGAATAAGAAAACTAAATGATGCTTTCTTGTGAAAAACATCTGCTTTTCTTCTATGTAATCTAAACACAAAATCTTCCTAATTAATAGTTGAAACATCTAAAGTATAATCATTATCGAGGAAAACGTTAAAAATAACTTGAATTGAAAAACAAAGTTCTTTAACATTGCTTTATTTTTCTTCTGATTGAAAGAAGAATCTTTTGAACAGAACTTAAGTCAATATTGAATGATGACATAAATTCTTTTAATTAATCATCACTAAACGTCTACTGATTCTTTTCATATGTATATATGTACATTTAGTAATCAACATCAGCCATCACATTCGAATACTCGATTATTTCATCATCAACAAGAACCATCATCTATATCGTCTTCAATAAGTAATTTACGTCGACCATATAATAACTATGATGAAACAAGCAATTTCTCATCTCCATCGTCAAAATGTCTAAGTGCAGGAGGTGTTAGTAGTACTGTTTCATCTCCGTATATACGTCGAACGCCATTTTCTCGACGTTCTCTACCACATCATATTCAACCTGTATTAAAAAAGCCTGTAAAACCAACGTTATCATCATCGCCTGATCCATTTAAAACAGCAATTAAAAAGGAACAACAATTTCGACACGTTCTTCTTGCTGAGCCATCCTTGCCATTAGCTATTCCAACAATAAAATCTTCGATGGAAAGACATTTTTCAGATTTAAGTCTTAATCAAATTGAAAATGATTCACTCAAGCCATCAATTAATACAATATCAATTCAATGTCGACCATCATTATCTTGTTCATCATCAAGTACAACAAGTTCTTCTTCAACATCACCATCATCATCTTCACCAAGAATCAACAATAGTACAACTGCATTTATTCATATTCAAATGAATAATTCATCATGCGATATTATGCACCGAGGTGATTCCATACCAGTTGTTTTTTCAACGACGAATAATAATCTTAGCAATGCAGCAACAAAATCCTCCAGTTTTATTCATAATGTTTCAATTACTGTCTAATTATTTGTAATTTATGTTTCGTTTCGTTTCGTTTTTTCTCCTTTTTTTTCCTTCTTCTTTGATTCACTATATTATTTAAAAAGAAATAACAACATGAATGATGAATAAAAATAAAAAAATTCATTGTTTATATAATATATTTGAATTTGAATTTGTTATAAGATTAAAAATAAGTATCTTATATTGTCATCGGATACGTGATTAAATTCGAAAGTGACGTAAAAAAATCGATTCTATTTTAATACTATTAGCATTAGAATTAAAATTAAATAAGGCTAATCAACAAGGTAAAAGGCAAAAGAGTCGGCTCTTTTCTACGTACGTTTATAAATGTAATTATGATGAATGAATTAAAATTAATTGAATCTACCTTCTTAAATTATCCTTTTTGTGTAACTATTCTTTTTTTTATTACACTGAATTTAACTCAATTATCGTTGTACGCATGAGATGCATAGGATTATAAAATATAGATATGGTTATTGAAGAAGTTTTGAATAAGGTACAGATATACTAAAAGTAAATATACTGATTAATTTATTCTTCACGAAATAATGTCTATCGTTTTCTGTATGTATGAGGATATCGTTTTCTTCGTTTTATTTTTTCATGGTCAATTACACGAGTGAAACATGCCATATGGAGATGATGATGATCGAAAAAGAAGATCTACGACAATGTCAATAGTTGTTCGTTAAAATTCAGTGAATGAAGTTTGCAAATCAGAATGTCAAATTTTGACAGCAGCTTCTTTAAATTAAAATGAAGCCTCTATTGAATGATGTATCATGGTATATGTTTGCTCTTAAATAAATATTGTAAAATCGTCTAGTTCAAAAATGAATATTAAATAGGGAGCGTCGATTGTTTAAAAACGTACAGCTAAGTAGGATGATAAATAATGAATAAAAACAAACTTTTTCTTTACAAATCAGATATCTTTCTCTGTAGACAATTATCGAAACATGTGTATCATGACATTGTGGAAAAAAAATCCCATTTCATACGATTCATTACTGCGATATCTTCATAAAAAGTCAATCGTTTCTCATTAGTATCGCATTAGCTTCAGTGTTCAATGATTGATCGATTGAACATTGAATGAACACACCATTCATTTCTCTATAAATTAACATCTCTATATTATCTTTGAAATGATAAAAATCGGAACTATCTGTCAATGTATTTATTTAAAAAAATCAACCATCCTTATCATCTCGTTGATAGTAAATAATGAAAGTTTATATGACTATTGATGTTGATTATAATATTGACTCTCTTCAATGTTCACAAATATTTGTAAATTGTGACATTCAATGCTATGTTTGTCAATCGTAATCGATGAAGGTTTTTCTTTTTACTCCATAAAAACATTGATTTCTTTTATGGACGATTATTTGTCTGATAAAGGTATACAGCAGTTTAATACACAATCTGACGGTTGAGAATTCAATGAACTTTATTTCAATTTTTCAAATAGAAAAAAACAAACATATATCATATTAAAGAAAAGAACGATTTTAGATGCAAATTAGATAATAGAACGAAAACAAAATACAGTAGACGATAAGTAAACATAACATGAGAGCAAGCTAGAGAATTGTTATAATGATCAGTCAGTCAACCGGATATGATTTCGGTCAAGATGATTACATAGCCACCAGGCGCTGTGTTGAGATGTTCATCATGAAATGACGAAAAACAGTCGTAATAGAAATAGAAATAGTAATAGTAGTAGTAGTAGTAGTAGTAATATGTCTGTAATTGTAGAAGAGAAAATGCTTTTTGTCTGTCTGTCTCATTTCTTTTTTTCTCTTCTGTTATGTGTCAGCCATCATTGAAAGGTCGTCGACAATAGCAAATTTTGTCTCTAGGTATCCATCGTTATTTAGTTACTACTATTCCACCTGTTATTTCTTTCTGCTTGATCACAATCCCGTGCATGATTGAATAGTATTTTAGCGTGTTCTATTGCATCGTTGCTAAAGCTTCTCATCAAATCATTTCAAATTTGGATGGAATCAAATAAAGACGGGATTGAGAATATATATATATATATAAATCAAAAGGTAAGGTGGTGACATTGAGATGATTTGATGCCTTACTCATATTTCATAGTAGAAGAAAGAAAATGAAATCATCACACATTATGTGTTCAATTAGTAAACGCATACTATATTATATTCACGCAAGGTTATAGTTTACACATCATTTTGAAGCGTTAAGCTTTTCGAAAAGAACAGTTTTCTTCTTCTTCTTCAACAGAACATAGTTTGTCTATCGATTGCTATCGTACAATCAAAAACAAATTCATTCCCCCACCTATTTTGTTCATGTCTAATTGACCGGCTCGATTACTGCTATTACCACCTACACTCATCATCATCATCATCATCATGAAATCAACAGTCAATATAGGAACACATCGAAATGTGTGTGTATATATGTATATAGAAAGAAAGAGAGAGAGAGAGGGAATCAAAGGTAACTGAAGGGAGAGCAACAAATTCAGCAAGTGAGCATATTTTGTATGTTCATCTTTGAACGTATAAAATATAGAGTACAGTTTAATTTGAAATTGATAACAGAGAAAAGCAGACGGCATGAAGCGACGATCAACTTATCGTTTCTCTCTCTCTCTCTCTCTCTTTCTCTCTCTATTCTTTCATTTTGGGTGCATCGTTGAACTGTGAATAGTAGAGTACTCTTGGTACACACATACTAATAACTATAAAGCTGTCGTACAGCTGATTTATTCTGATGCTTTGCACGATTGATTGAGCCAGTCGATTATTGTCATATCACACAGTGAAAAGACAGGTCATGTCATTTACTACTATCCTCAATTGTGAACTTTGTCTATGTTCAATATAAAAAAAATAAAAGTAAGAGTGAGAGACACTTTAATCGGATGCAGCTAAAGCAACTTATTGTTTGTGTTGCATTGTTATGTTTGAACGCTCTTGATTTAACGAAAGAATATATGCATCAATGTCATCAACTAATATTATAGACAAAAATTAGCATAAATCGTATAAGTAGTCTCCTTCTCTTCTTTCTTTTCTTTTCTCTTCTTTTAACCGATACTTCAGCGACAGATACCCATTTGATAGAAAAGATTAACCTAAAGTGTGATTTTGAATAAATATATATATATATCTTTATCATTTATTCATTTTAATTAAAACAAAATAATTTCATTGTAGATCTAATGGATGTATTACACTATTCGTTTAGCCTGAGTGCTTGTCCGAAATGCCATTTACTTGTCTGCAAGCATACAAGTATTGCCAATCTTGACTTTCGTGGAATCGAACAACATCAAGAAGAAAAACAATCAATTATTGAATCGAACAATACAACATCAAAAAGTGTTAAAAATCGTTATCAAAGACTATCGTCGCATGGTATGAATTTTTATATATTGCCATCAACAGCAAACTCAAATAATCGTCATAGTTGGACTACATTTGGTTCAGATTCTAATCAAAGTAGCAATACACTTGAAAATTCATCGATTAATAATGAAACATTCAGTGATAATATTCCATTTGCTGATGAAAATATAATTAATTCATCGTTAACATTAAAACCAACATTGAATCAAATAGTTCGTACACAATCTGAACGATGTCAAAACATTTTTAAACCACGTATCTGTTTAACAAAAAGTTATTCGTTTTCAACAATATTTACCACACCAAAATCATCAAAATCTTTAGCATTATCTTCACATATGCAACAAAATCAAAATCAAACGAAAAACTTACATAAAAAATGTTCAGTATTATTAATTATTATACTTATTATATCATATTTGTTAACGAATACACTTGATATTGTTCTTCTTTATATATATTATCACACAAATTATATATATTTCATCATGTTTTCATTAACTCTTTTAATATGTGATATCATTTTATGGATAAATCATTTAATTGATATAAAAAATCTTTCGACACGTTTACTATTAATACCATTTATATTACGCCTTTATATTCTTTATCAACTTGTTGAATTAATGATAATTGTATTTAATAAAAATTTTATTGATAATACTACACCATTATTTGATTCAACATCAACACCATCAACATCGTCAACAACAACAACACTCGAAACTAACATATCGCAGACAACGGATGCATCTCTTATTCATGATCAACATGTATCTCAATCATATAAAACATTGAAACGACGAATATTTCATTATTTAACTTTATTTTATATTATTCATTCGAGCCTTGTAGTATTTGCTAATCTTTATTTCTGGTCAAATAATTTTCAGCCATCTACAAAATCAACATTAAATATGAATAATTTTCTTCCACAATGGACAACAGATAATAATATACTATTATCTACACCCATGAGTATGATTCCGGTTCGATCTTCGTTGACGTAAGTAGAATGGAAAAACAAAACAAAAAAGAATATTTAAATTTTTTCATACATCTCTAATAAAAATCAACTTGAAAATAACTATTTTATGATAAATGTGATATATCAATATGATATAATAATGATTGATGAGTAAGATTTTCCTATAAAGTTCATCATGATTATAGCATAGAAGTATAAATCACAGTTATTATTTGAAAATAAGCAAACAAAATCAGATGGTCCTTGATAGAAGGAAAATATTTCATGATTATATCAATCAATTGCAAAATATAAATCATGTATATCGATTGAGACGAGTATTAGTTAAATTTATGCTGAGAAAAATATACTTATACAGAGTATTACGCATGATTTTGATTTAACCCGGAGAAAACTTCAAAGGATTACCTTTCATTTAGATATTTGTCAAAGTTTGATAATGATCAAAAGCACACTGCTCGTCGAGCAATGTCTCTAAATTGGACTCGACCGATATTTTATCGGCAAATTCCACTTCGTATTCGTCTTCCTTCGTCATATGCTTTTATTATCACAAGTATTTTTTATCATTTAATAATAAACTATTGTTTTCTATCAACATATCTTATTCGTGAACGTACATCATTCATAATTATTTTATCCATTCTATCTCGATTTTGTTTAATTATTACACGCATCTATACATTCATCTTTCTATTTCATCTCAATGCTTGGTGGTTTATAATAACATTTTTCATTGTTCATTTCTGTTTAATGATTTCACTTCTATTTGATCGATCAACATTTAAAGATAATCAAAAGAGAATTTTTATTAAATTAATTTTTTCATTTTTAACTCATTGCTCAATTAATGATATATCTATAAATGCATTAATATCACTGGAAAACATTTCAATATTTCTACATCGCCTTTATCTTGAAACATTTGCATCACACAATGAAACAACATTACGTTTAATTATATTTATTTCAATACTTATTTCATTACAAATAATTGGTTTTCTATTCGATATTTTGTCGAAAAATATGCTCTATCGTACCGGCACGAATAATCAAGTGATGAGTTGACTGCAAGAAAAAATATATAAAAGTTTTTTGTTCAAACTTTTCTTTTTTTTTCTTTTAGTTTATTTAAATAAATAAAATAAAATTGCTTAATTACGTTTAAGTCTTTCTTTAGTTTTGTTTAGAAGGAAAAAAACGGAAGCCTGAAAAATATAATTCATTGTTATGTTTAGTACATTTTATAATTTTTTAAACGAACTTTTTATTTTTTCAGTTCACCAGATGACGAATGCAATATTTTATTAAAATACAAATAGAAACCTATCATTATAATTGTTCCAATGAAAAAAATATATATGCGTACATTGACTTGTAATTATGTGTGTCTATTACATACTATGAAGAATACTGAACAAGAAAGCTACTATTAAAAAAATGCTTATAATTCTTGTATTCTGTAATCGGTCAAAGAAGAATATTAGTGTGTTGCATTCTCAAAGAGAAGATATTTTCATTTTGATAAAAATCAACTGACGTCATATATTTCTCTAAATTATATTCGACAATTTTCTTCAGCAAATGCCCATTTAGTTGACTTTATGTGCCATAAAAATATATATTCACATGCTGATGTTTAATCTCACATAAATATTGATCAATATGAGATAGATTACAAATAAATGTTGAATTCATTACCATTTATTTATAAGCTAACAATGATTGATAATGATTTAATTATATATATATATATATATCAGAATGACAAATAAAAGTTGACGATTTGTCTTGTAATATTTGAATTAGAAAAACTTGAACATAATGTTTTTATTTGAGTGTCTTTCATTTCATCGATTTTTCAGTATAGATTTGTGTTTTCAACTCAATTGCATACTTTTCTTGTTACTTTCATTATAATACATATTTCTTTGAGATAGATTTATTAAATCTTTGTTTTTTCAAAAGTTACAACAACAATCATATTACTTAAACAAACTATCACGTTGTTGAACATTTTCTTTGATTTCATCAGTTATAGCTTTCGTCATATGATCAATAGTTATTTTTTGTGTTGATGAAAATACATTTCCTACTAGCTCATTTGGTTCACGTTCACCACCCCATTGTAAGAAATTTTTCCTAAATTGTTCACCAGTTGTTTTCGAGAGAGGATCTTTTAAAAATTGATCATGCCATATTTTAGTTGCTATTGAACGTGCAATAATATAACTAGAAAAACGAGCTCCATAATCAACTAGATGATAAAATTTTAAATAAGGATGCGTTGATGAAATATACGGCAGTGATGTGTGCTTTGTTAACAATGATGAATAGAGTTGATCGTAAGATTGCTTTAATGGATATGGACCATGAAATTCATGATCAAACATTGCACATGCTACCTACAATAGAATTATAGAAGTTTTGAACATAGAATAGTTTTGAAATGACGTACTTGCACTTGTGTACGATGCGCTTGAAAACAATTTTGAGCTAAATGAAGACGCTGTAAAAGTTCATCAGGTATAGTTTCACCGGTTTGATAGTGTCGTGCAAATAATTTAACTACGCGTGGTTCATAAACGAAATATTCCATCCATTGTGATGGGATTTCAGCAATATCAGTTTGACATCGAGTACCAGATGCATGTTGATAACGTGTTCGTGCCAATGCTGAATGCATTGCATGACCGAATTCATGAAATAAATTCTCCACCAATCCTTTTAATCAAGAAAAATCTGTTAAAAATTATAATCTTTACAAGATTAAAATTCTGAAGCATAATTTTGTTAATCACGAGAAAATTGTTTTATTCTATTAATTTTTAGGCATGAGTACACTATCATCTATACTTAATCCTCTCGAAATGTAATGAGGAATTAGTTCGTATAGCATCTACAGAGATATTATTGACTATATGACAGCAGACGTATATCAATAACGTCTATCGAAATCTGTGACGCTTGTTTTTAATAGTTATACCTTATCATATCTATGGCAAGCGATTCTTAACGTTTCTAATGTGATCAACGAGAAGATAGAAATACAAAATCTATACTGTATATACTTCTAAACTACGTTTTGGTTGTGTTAAGGAAAAAAAATTATTTTAATATACCTAATGTAAGAAGTGTTGGAACATTAGGATCAGCACTTGGAGGAATATTAACATGAAGTACAACAATGGGTAGCTGACATGAACCATCGGAAAGACGTCGACTGCATTGAATAGTAAAATGACAATCATGAGGGATTTTATCTTTTCTGAAAAATAAAATAAAATACAATTACAAATAACGAATAAGATTTCAAAAATATTTTACCGTTCGAATAAATCACAGTAAATATATCCAACAGTTCCTTCTGTTACATGATCAACTGAAAGTTTTATAACAGACGGATGCCAGATTTCTCCTGGTGCTGTTGGTTGTTTATTTAACGTTACACTAAAATAGATGATGTTAGTATAATTCCTCACTAATAAACTATGTCATATTTAATGAAATTTGAAAATTAGTTGCAATATTCTATAAGTTTTTTGAAAAAGAAATCGTAACATCTATATACTAACGAAAAAAAGATTGTAAGAATTATTTTTCCAATCAATAAATCGCACGATGAAGCATTCTACACTTTAAGCAGTATCTATTTATAAAATATTGATAATATTTTTCGAATATGAACATACTTGAAAAGACTATGGAATATGATATTAAGTCCATCCATACAAGTTCCCAGCGAGAAATATGGTGTATATTCTCGTGTATTAATTTTTAAACTAAATAAAACACACAAAAAAATTGTTTTTGATTAAAAGAAAAATTTTAAAATATACATTTCTGATTTAAATATTGCTTCTAATCTTGCAACATCCCAAGGATTAACTAACTGAGTGTTTGAATTTTGTTCAAGACGATTTTTAAGCATTTGCATTAGTTTTATATCTTTATCAGCTAATGGTCGAATAGCATCCATTATTTGTTCTAAATAGTTGCTAACATATTCTGGTTTATTCAGTAATGTATTATCTAATGCACGATGACTATAAGATGGATAACCACATAATTTTGCTAATTGATATCTAAAAAGTCACTTAAAACAATTAGTAATGATGAAACATAGATATTTATTTGTAAATCTATCAACCTTTTACGTAGTAATGCATCGAGTATTTGTTCCTGATCTGGTTCGAATCGAAAATAACTACGAAATATAAATTCACGTAGGTTTTCATCATCATCACTTGAATGAGCAGAATTGATTGTTATAGTTTTATCATAAAATCTAGTTTCAAAAAGAGGCAAAAAAAATAATATATAAAGATTTTCTTTTGTTAAATTCTATAATATCTTACCTCGTTCTTACCTTTTCTGGTAACTGTTTTATTGGAATTTTATATTCTCGATGTGCATTATATCGAAACTGATTTTCAAGATGTAATACATCATCATTCAATTGTAAATAATTCAAACGATTATCATCATTTAGTCGAATACCAGATCGTTCAAAATCAATTAAATATAATTTGAGTACACGTCGATCTGTTTCATCACCTTCACCTGAGTCATAGATCTGCTTTGCTTGTTCATATAATTTTGTATTTGTATTCATTTTTTCTACTAGATGATGTAATACTCCGTAAGCTTGTTCAGCAGCTTGTTTATATGCAATTTCAACATCAACATTACGAATGAATTCAGCTAAATCTGCTACGCGACATATTTCATCGGATATTTCATCTAATATTTCAACTATTTTACGCCTTGATGGTGTAAAACATTCGTCGAGTAATTTCTCACATTTTTGCACAACACGTTCAGCAAGAATATGAAATCCATCAGGTGTTGATAATTCATTGATTTGAAACAATCCAACATTAGCACCTTTAGCTGGTGTTTTAAGCCATGATAGTGGTGAAATCTTACGAAAATGATTTGAGAAAAGATTTTTATCTAGTGTTGATACTGTTGCTGCATCGAAATCTCTATCGATTGACGAATTACATTGTTTGGTATGTGAAGTAGCGCGTGGTATTATCAATGTTGACAAAATTTGTCTCTAAATAAATAAATAAATAAATCGAGAAATGATTAAGTCATTTTGAGAAACATTAAATTTCAATTTTATACTTGAAAACGCAATCGTATAGGATTAAAGATGATTCTTTGCATAGTTTTCAATGAAATGAAATAAACTCAGATTTCTATGGGCATTTGGAATTAATTTGGGTATTACATGGAATTTGATAGATGGCAGGCGCGATCCTTATTTTTCCAATAGAATCCTTGCAACAGAAAAGTTTCCGCTTTTATTAGACTATAATTGCTTTTGATCATCAACCATAATAAAGTATAGGGATGACATGATAATCTTCTCATCAAATGCTTCTCACGTATACTTTTCTTTTTGATCTTATGAGATACTCATATTGTATAGCAATTAGACGAGGCTTTCTTTTTTCTTTTTGTTTTCCTATTTTTTTAGTCCATCATATTTTTAGAAATCTCGTCTTCTCGATGATTATCGTTCATTTATCATTTTCTTGATTTTACGGCATTTCCCCTCATTAATATGCGTAAAGGAAATGTAGTCTAGCAGCCTTTCTATTAGATATGGCATACACGTAATTATTAAAGCATCAGCCTCAGAACATACAGTATGTAAAACCATTATTGGGACATCCTACTACACGGATTTTATTGAGTGAATATCTGAGTGAAGGAAATGCATTTTATAAAGTCTGATTACATTATTCGATAGGTCATTATCTCTATTTTCTATTGCGTAGAAAATACTTTTTCCATAATGTAGTTTTCATAAAGTTTTAGAAGGTTTTCCTAGAAGCACTCGATTTTTCAAACACAAACATTATTCCTACGCTTGTATTCTTTTCTTTATCACAGCTCTGTTTTGCATCAAAACATTTTGAATTACATTGCATCTGATAGAGAAAACATTTCTTTACACGCTGGTAAGTATAAAAATTTAAAAAGATGTTAAGATTATGCCGGAAGCATCATAGATTTTACAGAAAACCATCGTCTTTTGACTTCACAAAAATGAAAACCTAACTCAAAATATATCATCTGAAAGAAAAACAAACACTGATTCCAAATGTCTTTTGTTTTTCGAAATTCTGAAATATAATGAGTAAGAATGTATAATTCAAATTAAATATTCAATACGTTCATCTAAGATTCTCAATTTTCAATCACCTAAGTGTATTTTTAAAATGTTTTGAAATATAGAGGCCAAACAGACTAGAGAAATTAAAACTGAATTAACCACTAATTCACCTCAAAAAGATGACTTAAATTGGAATTAACCAATCGCATATCTTAATTCAGTTGTATTTTTTCTAGTGTGTTTGGCCCATAGAGACTTATAGAAAATAAAATCCTTTACAAGAGGATATGCTTGAATGCCCGATAGCTATTTTCCTTTGACACGACGTGCGCCTATCTATTCACTTTCAGTTTTGCTCAGTTTCATCCTTCGCTATCATCGCATATATTATATAGAGAAAACAACAGAACGAAAAAAGCGTTTTTTCTTTCTGCTCAATAAATTATATATCTATGAATACGTCTACATCGTGTCTAAGGAAAATAGCTATCGGGCATTCAAGCACATCATCCTATAGAAAATTTAATTCTCTACAAGTTTGAATCATTTAAGTACTTTTGTACTTTAATTTAGTTGTCTAAAACTTGAGAATATTAGATGTGCTGAAGAAAACATTAATCATCATAAATGATTATTACGTTTAATATTCGAAAATTTCGAAAAACAAAAGATATATTTCGAATCAGTATTTTTTTTTCTTTCAGATGACATATTTTGAGTTGGGTTTTCATTTTTGTGAAGTCAAAAGACCATGGCTTTCTGTAAAATCTATGGTGCTTCCGGCATAATCTTAACATCTTTTTAAATTTTTATACTTCCCAGCGTGTAAAGAAATGTTTTCTCTATCAGATGCTATGTAATTCAAAATGTTTTGATGCAAAACAGAGCTGTGATAAAGAAAAGAATACAAGTGTAGGAATAATGTTTTTGTTTGAAAAATCGAGTGTTTCTAGGAAAACCTTCTAAAACTTTATGAAAACTACATTATGGAAAAAAAGTATTTTCTATGCAATAGAAAATAGAGATAATGACCTATCGAATGATGTAATCAGAGTTTAAAAAATACATTTTCTTCACTCAGATATTCACTCAATAAAATTCGTGTAGTAGGGTGCCCCAACAATCTTTTTACATAGTTTATATAATGTTCATTCTTGCAAACTGCTAGATAAATAGTGTGAGATGATCTCTGTTGACATAGTACTCATTTCCTAGTATTTGGAGACGAATGCTTTTTCCCTTCTCATTATTTCTTCTTTGACTTCATTCTTCACATACTAAGTAAGCTTGAATCATAGATCAAATAATATAGAAGTCGATAGCTATGGAAATAAACCAACATATCTATAAATATATGCTCATTTTACTATCTCGAAAAATTTTCATTATTAAATATGTACGGTGTACTGGTGATAAGCGATTAAGATAGTTATTTTGAAAGGCTATTCCTAAGTTCTTAGAGCACATGTAATCATTGGTGGTGCAAAAAGGTTTAGTGAAACTTATTATTTTGTTTTCAGATAGAGAATAGATGTTTGTTGATTTATCACATGAGAATAATATAATAAGATTACTTTGTCACCACTCCCTGAAGATTTCGTGATCGTCTACATCTGTGTCATTGATGTGTGCTTAATGTTGTCGACAATCAGCCTAATGAGAAAAGGATGATGAATGTTCCTATTTTTAAACTTAGAAAAAGTTAATAATTAGCCTTTTTTTCTCTCTAAATATTATGCTTGAAATCAAATTTTATTTATTTTTCCAAATTATTTTATAATTTAAATATTTCCGTAGATGTAAACAATATTCAACGGATTCATATGTTGGAGCATTTTTCTTTTTCATTTACAGCTAGTTAGTGAAATTTATACTGAAGATGTTTTTAGAACTAGAAGAAATTTATTTTTGATTTTAATTATTATATAATATTCATTAAAAATAAATGTTTAAATATAAATCTTCGATTATCGATGTAAAATAAAGTACTCATACGTTTTAGTATATATAATTATGGGGTGTGATTGCTACCCTTTTTTTTTTATTATAAAAACAGATAGTTGATAATGAAGCTAAGAAAAAATAAAATTTTCGCATGATTTTTTATATATTAACATGAAAGCCAGGAAAGTTGTGATAAGATCGATTACTTAGAAAAGTTTTTCACACTTATATTTTCTATTTTCAATAAAATAAATATTGAAAAAAACAAATTAATGTCTATGACAACAAGACATGTCAAGATCAAAAGAAAAACTAAGATATTTTTATAAATAGATTTGTACAAAAAGATATATTAAAAATGCATCGGATATCTACATGTGTCAATTATAGAGGATAAAAAGCGTAGTCACACCATGTGACAGACAAAAAGTAGACGAGCGTGGACGTCTGTTAAGTGACAAGGTGTGCACCGACATGCATTTTACGATTAACTTCATTCTTTATCGGCATTGATTCGTTCTTTTATTTTTATTTTTATTTTTTTCTTTCTTTTCTCCATTTTTCTTTTCACCCTCAATATTATATTCTCCGTCGTATGTGTAACTATGAAGAAAAGGAAGAGAGTGCAACAGAGGTGCAACCCGACAATGAAGACAATACGTTCGGGATGAAATCTGACTAGGAACCTTTTGCGAGATAGGTTATTATTGGTATCGTTTTTCGAATACGAAACAAAACAAACATACATCTCTACATTTATTGAAGCAAAAAAAAGTAAGAAATAAAACATCTGAATAGAAACCTCATTACTTTCTTCCCTCGTTCTCTTCTCTCTTACACAAAAATCAAAGCACATATATCAATTACTACCAATTCTAGGTTTTCTATTTTCTACTGCTATATTCTATGTAAAACGCTTCCTATGAGTTAGATTATCATTACTATTTTTTAATTGATTTCAAGTAAGTAGTAAATATGTTGACATGCTATTCAAGTGTAAACAAATCTAACATAAAAATATAGGCAGCTGATAGAATGAAAAGTAAAGTAAAGTAAAGTAAAATATTTATATACTCAGTTCTAAATACTATACTAGCTGTTTTAGCTATTTTATGTGAGTTGATTTAGTTTTCTTAAGTAAGCTAATGATTAGAAAAGTTAGGTAAGTAAATTGCGCACTATGAAAACTTGTTTCTTCTGGATGACTAATATTGCCCTAGTATTTACTTAATATTAGTGAGAAAGTGTGTAGACTTGTTGTATCAATCTAATGGTAGCGAGGATGGTTCGTTGCATTTTATCTAAATATTATAAGATAGAGAAACTAATGAACATAATAGTAAACATAATTGGCAAATGTTTTTTATTTATAAAATAAGTATTGATTTGTATCTATCTATCTATCTATCTATCTATATATCTATATATACATGTATATGTATAGAGAGAGAGAGAAAAAACGTCCTTCAACCTAATTAAATTATTAGCATAGTGTCGATTAAGAAGTGAAAAAGAGCAATAAACAGGAACAGTCTACATCAGTATTGTTGTGCATGTAATAAAAGCAACAAAAAAGAAAATGTCACATTTATGTATTCGTTATTTTAGTATTTGCTATTATAGGAAAGGTAAAAAAACAAGCTTGATTAAGTTTTATATATATATATATATATATCACATAGAATAAAACAACCATATGCCAAAAAACAAGGCAGAACGGAAACAACAACTTCTTATGTCGATAGTAGCATATACCACTACTGCAAGTTTTATTTTGTCACAGACATTAGCTGAATCAAAATCTGTTTCCTGTCAATCTATCTCAATAATACGAAAGCGAAGAATACTGTTGAGATACTAAATTTTCAAAAAAGTCACTCAAGCATTTGTAAGTGTGGATAGGAGAAAAAAAAATAGAAGATGAGAAAGATCATGGATTTTTACTTTATCGTATTAACAGTTGACAACACATTGATGACGTCAGATTTCACAAGAGAAAAAGAAACTAGTTTTCCTTTTTGTTCTACATTTCATACGGCAGACGAGGAGAAAAAATGCTGTTAAAAATTTTAATATTAATACTTTAAATATCTCTTGAAGCACCAAGCTTATTAATATTGTTTTAATACGGATTCTCTACTGTTTCTATTTGATGTTTAGAACAAAGTGACGCATACATATATATATATATAGTAGTTGCATCATAAACTAGGAATACATTTCATTTTAACAAACCAACATCATTTATTTTATTTAGTTTTAGATATTATGTTTTAAAAAAATTAATTAAATTCAAATAATGGCTCAATCGCAATTATCCCAAGAACTTATATTTATTTGTTTAAAATTTGGTATAAAATATCAATCGATTCAAATAGACAAATCTGATCCTAATGTACTTGATTTAATAAAAAGAAATTCTGAAGATATTGTTTCAAAATCGATTGGTAGTCTTGAAGCAAATGATCGTCTTCATCACATACAATTATTCCTTATTTCACCTGATTATCAAACACCAAGTTTAAAATTAATTAAACGTGCCAGTGATTTAACCCCTGCATGTTTTATTGAAATAATTATTTGGCGTTCAGATCAAGAAAATGTAATACCAGCACGTGATCATTTACTTGCCGAGCACAGTTATAAAAAACCAACATATTGTTCACAATGTGATTATTTTATGTGGGGTCTGATTAAACAGGTTTTGTTTTCGTTCAATCTTATTCTTACACAAAAAGAAAATAATTATTTATTACTTTTCTTTTTCAAATAGGGTAAACGATGTAAAGTATGTCGAAAAGATTTTCACCATCAATGTGCTGAACATTTACCAGCTGACTGTCCTGGTGAATATTCAAGAAGTAGCTCATTGATGGCTCGTGCATCATCCAATGTGACAATTGATTCAAGAGCATCCCAAAATCAAGTATTTACTGATGGTGACATGATAAGTGTAACTAGTGATGCCACGAAAGGTAAAACAGCCAAACGTCCTAAAATCTTTGGTGGTAGTAATCGTGCAAATGCATCAACAAAAAATTCAAAATCATCCACAACATCGTCAACACCGAGTACGCCTACATCAAGTGTTCAAACTCCAATAAAAGTTTCACTACCAGTATCAAATATAAATCAAAACGAGTCATCTATACTAACGAATACAACTGAAGGATCAACACCAACGTCAACATCAATGAATGGTCGAAAGAATACTCGTTTTTCTCCAGATCAAACATTACATGTCAATCATCGAACACAACAAATTCATGTCAAACCAGATAGACGTAAAGACATTAAAATAACAAATTGCCAAGAGAAAGATGGTATTTGGACAGCAACAGGCCAATTTGGAAGAGAAAGTCGTCATAGTAAACGTGCAGAAATTACATATGATAAGAAAAAATTTCGATTTATACAAAAAGATGATCAAGGAAATAAACATGTTTTTGAAATACCAACTTCAGATATTGAAGGTAAATATTTTCGATATCAGCATCAAAATAATAATAGAAATAAGAGTAGCTTTGTATGTTTAAGCAATACAATAAAGAAACGCACCGAGAGATTCATATTAGGAACAAATTAAAGTCAAAATTATTATTAAACTAATTCAGAATAAAAAGAAAATGACAAGCGGAAAGACATCAGACAAAAAGTGCTCATTAGAACGAGTTGATTATGTACAATAGTACTCATTTGACAAAATATGTCACAGAAATTTATAATAAAAAGAAAAACGATTGAGTTTTTATACATTTTATTCTTAGAAATATATGGTTCAGCAACGATATTAACAAGAAAACATCTCTTCTCAAATACATGTAGGGAAATGTTCCCCAAAAAAATATTGTTTCCCTTGTTCACTTGATTATCATCGTGTTTTTTATTGTTCAATAGATTAATTGATTGTTTTATGTATTTCTATGATTCATTTCTAGCCAATCGATCTCAATCATCACCTAATATATTAACAAACGGTACATCCGATACAAAATCTGTGGTACCACCACCATTAGCAGTTATCTATCAAAAATTAGCATATCTTCTTCTCGATACTATAAATGAAGCTGTCAAATCAACAAACGATGGTCGAATGCGTTCATCGTTTAAAATAGTTCGTGGGCCAGAAAGCGATTCAAAAGATTTTGCTGATTTATATGATATGAATGAAAAAGAAATCCTTGGTATGGGTCGTTTTGGTATGGTATTTGGTGGTACGATGCGTCGTAATGGCGTACGTGTTGCAATAAAAAAGATTCAAACAACTGAATGTTCACAAAAAGATAGAGAAAATATTGAACAAGAAGCTGCTTATTTATTTCAATTGAATCATCCTGGTTTGTTGTCATTTTTCTTTGAGTGAATAATGTTAACATATTCTTTTTTGTAGGTATTCTAAAATTTGAAGGCATTTTCGATTTCGAACAGCATATATTTCTTGTTACCGAACGATTAGATACCGATATGTTAAATTATATTCTTTCAAATCCAAAGCCAAAAGCTCGTCTAAATGAAGATATTACACGTTTCCTTGCATTTCAATTAGTGGCAGCTATACGATATTTACATTTTAAAAATATAGCGTAAAAATTTTGTTTTCTTCCCATTTTTAATTGAACTAATCGTATTTCATGTTTTTTTTACAGACACTGTGATTTAAAGCCTGATAATGTTCTAATTAATATATTTCCCGATGATGTGGTACACTTAAAAGTTGGTACGTATCTATGTGCATACAGGAAAAGATGAAACATAATTAGTAATCTTTTTTTCTTCTTGTCATACTCTAGAAATCAATTTAATGTAATTTAATTATTCAGGAATTTGACCTAGATATCCCTTTGAAAAAAAGATTCATTTGAATTTCTAGATATAATTATTTTTGTTTTCTTGCTTTGAAATTTTTTCGTGACAATATATAAATTATAGAGATGAAAAGAATATTCATTTTTCCATCTGAACAAATATTCTGTTCGTTTACTTGAATAAGTTTATTTGTTCGATTAGTTAATATAATCGTTACATGATAAAATATTTATCATTGATAGAATTTCATTTCCATTCTGTTTCTTTCTCAATCATAGGGGATTTTGGTTATGCACGAACCATTCACGAACATTCATTACGTTATACTAAAGTAGGTACTACTGCTTATTTACCACCAGAAGTATCTCATGATCAATGGCGAAATGCTCGTGGTTATAACAAAACAGTCGAGTATGTATTTGAAATACGGGTTTACATCAATATTCGAATGTTTTCTTGGTTTATCTTTTTTTCTAGTATGTGGGCGATAGGTGTAATTATATTTGTGAGTTTAACTGGTTATTTTCCTTTTCACGAAGAAATTGATATATTACCTCAATTGGAAAACATTCCAAAATTATTTCAAGATGATTTATTTAATGAAATAACAGATGAAGTGAAAGATTTATTACGTTTTCGTTTGTTAGTTCCTGACGCTGGTCATCGTATGCATTCTGCGGGTGTTATTTATCATGATTGGTTTCAAAAATCACGAAATTTACTGAAATCATGTAAACAACTTGAAGAATGTTTAGAAAAAAAATGGTTAACATTGTTTTTTGAAGAAACAGATTCAAATGCTAATGTTTCAGTAGCAACTATTGAAGAAAGTGACAGCAATTAAGACGATCAAAATGAGCACTATCTAACAAAGAACTATATGATCTAGTCAAATAAGCTGTTACATATTTGTTGTGAATCAGTACGGATTAAAATAGGGATGCCATCAATATTAATTACGTTTACTTGAACAGCTATTCCATTTTATTTGCCTATTTCCTTGTTTTTATTTTTATTTTCGTGGCAATTTAAGTTTTCAATTGTTTTCCTTTTTTTGCTCGCTACCCTCGATAATATATTTCAATTTTCTTTTGTATATGCATTTTTTTTCTATGATGTTAAATAATGAAATAAAGAAAGAGAAACTATGAAAGGGAAAATTTCTTTTGAAATTTATTCAAGATAATATTAAATATGCTTTTGCAGAATATATTTTGCTTATTAGAAAGATCAACATTCTATTTATTCTTTGCGCTTTCTATTCTTTGTATAATATCGAGTTTTTCAGGTCTTGTCGACTAAGGTCTTGTAGTTTAATTAAAAGTTTATATTTCTAAAGAAGCCAATAATTATCTTCACTTTAATATTGTAGTGAATAAAATTCATCATTTGATTACGGACTTTTGTGCTTTGTAGTATGCCGAAAATATCTTAAAATGTCTAGCCATTAATATAGACGTGGCTTGATAATCTCAAACAGTACGAGTTCTATTGTTTCACTGTTTGTCTCTGTAATTTTCTGGGTCGGAATAAGCATGAAAGATGCCATTTACAGTCGGAAAGTACTAGGAACTTACAAGTAGTATTTCAATGATCGTGTCTAACCGTTGATTCCGCTATAGTATGGCTACTTTTTTTTCTGGAAGAAACAGTTGACATTCTATTCTTATTTTTACATTCTAATAATTTTCTTTTCTGAAATGTTACTGCTTATAAGTCTTTATCTATTATGTACTGAACAAATAGTTGCTAGGAATACAAATCGACCATAAATCATGATTCAATTGCTATCCTCCTAAATTTAGAATGCTAACCAATTGAAGGGAATGACATTTAAATGTGAAGGATAGAGTATAAAACTTTTGATAATTCATTTTAATTGGTTAAAAAATATGTGGATTTGATTTCAAAGTTTTTTAATCACATACATTTTGATCATCAGTTCTATATTTTTTCTCCTGGCGATTTTTTCGATGCGCTTCTTAACTGATTTCTCTTGTCTAATATGATTCACTACAATCGAAATCTAACGCAGGTAAAATCGATACAGATATATAGGGACATTTAACATTGATTTTTCGTCTGTTTTCATCTTGAGTAGTACGATCATATTTCATCGTAATTTAAATGATCCGATATTCGATTTGCCGACTGTTATCACGTGTCTACGGTGCGATAAAACACGCTCGTAATACTACGACTGTTAAATATCAATGTACACTGAATGCAGATTTCAAACTATCTGAAAAAACGCCATATAGTATAGGATTTAGTCGTCTTAAACGTTGTAATAATCTATCCAACTAACTCACTCGTCAATCAACATAGACCGTCAAATATTGAGGTATTAAACAGCTTAGTATTACTACTGAATTCCTCTGTATACGAATCGGTGAAATATGATAGTTGGCGGCCAAAGATTTTTTGAAACACAATTTTTCCAGGATCTTATTATATGAGCGTTGTAAAAAATCGTCTCTCTTCGAATTGCATGTCGAGAAATTCGATCTTACTGCTGAGCTATGTAATACACTAAAATCATAGGACACCGTTGTGCATCGAAGAGCATTCTTGTTCGATCTAAGATGGATTAAAACTTAAACAGTTCAAAATATGAGAAGAACTTATAGAATTTCAGTTTTCATAAAAGAATTTTGTTAAAAATTATGCTCGTTATTGAGCTCGAGTTACATCATGCACTTCCTTCATGATTTCATTTTTACTCTATTCTTCTCAATATTAAGTTGCTGATGTTCAAAAATAAATGTGTCCTGTTTTCAACGAACACTAGAAATTGAGGCACTTTACATAGATTTGTATATTGATTCGATATAGTACAAACTTTGGACTCCAAACTAGGCAGGGGTTTAAACAATAAATAATTAATATACAATTTCAATGATACGAAGAAAATAGAACTTAATGAATTGTCATTTTTTATCTTTTTGGTGTTTTTCATGCGTAAACACAAACAATTTTTAGACGAGCAATATTAATTATGTAGGCTTTCTATCCAGCTCAAGTATTGAATAAAAATCAGTACTCTTCTTTGGTATCTCTCCGTTGGCTCGATGAAAAACATGCTCAATGAATTAATTATACATTAAATGAAATACAAATGAAAATAAGTATGAAATGTACAGCACATCATCCTCAATAACTAATTTCGTGAAAGCTGAATGTCGTACAGCACAAAGAAATATCTTCAATAAACTTATCATGACTGTAATTATGTCGAAAAAATGTCTAAATGATCGATGTTGATTAAAAGTATAATCAAGTGATAAAAAAATAGTGACACATACGTTAGTAAAAAAACGAATCAAGTTATAACTATAGAAGGTCATACTCATACGGACATAAAAATCAATCGAGAAATAGTGAAATTTCTGCGTATGCGAAATAGAGAATATGTGTAATGTTAAATTACGTACACATGATGAAATGAAAAAAAAAACAATAAAACATACGCTTTCAGCTGTTAGAATAATATATAAATTCAGTGCGCTAAGTGTCGATGATTCGATTATTAATGCAACAAATGCAGATCATTAAAAAAAGTGTTACTACAAATAGGGGATAATAGTCGTTATCGCGTTTTATTTTGTATCTATAAAGATATTTTGTATCATCATCATGTATTGAATTTTGCTTACGAGAAATAAGAATTATTTTTCATAATCAATTGAAGAACCAATACAATTAAATATTAGTTCGCATCCATGTGAAAATGGTCAAAATGATTAGAATAATCAATTGATGATAATGATCTAATAGAGCCATATATTTCTTTGGTAAGCTATCAGTTTTGACTAGCAAAACTCGAAGATGAACATCTATCAAAGGAGGATTCTATAAGAAATGATTCGTCAAATTAAATCTGCTCATTTCAGAGATCCTAAATTTATTTATCATGAGTATTCTCAAAAGAATGACATGAAATATCAAAAGATTCTGTGTTAACTATTCATTTGCCTTCCAATTAAGCCACACGATAAAAAAATTTATGTTTAAATTTAAAACTTTCATGTTTCAGTGGTATCCACATCGAGAGTTCTCAAATTTTCAGTGTACGATAAATATGATATCGTTACTAGTGAATCACATGTTGCATCTGAAATATCTATTCAATTAAAATGAGAAATTTTCATTGTGCAATCAGAGATTAACTTGATAGTTTTTGAAAATAAGAAACAAAGATTTCCTTGTGTTTCTGAGAGTTCAATAAAATTTTAAGATATAACAGCCGCATCCGCATATATTACATGGAGATTTTCTCTAAATTACCCTAAATCAAGGCAATTTCTCTTTCCATACTTTTGAAATAAGTTAAAATTAATTCATCTACACCAAGAAATGACAAATGAGCGTAATTATAAGATACTAATGTGAGTAGTGTCATGAATCCATCGGTGACACAATCGAATAATATGGAACTAGAAATGTTTGCAAGACAAGTATTCTTTAAGCGATCACTATCATAGCTATTATGAAAAAGAAGAAAGGATTATTAGAGCCATTTAAATTACTTAATAAGAGTTCATTTCAGTAGTCTTGAGACCCAGCAAATTATTCGAAAAACAATCATCTCCTGTAGGTCTAAAATTGTTAAGGGTCTTATTGAAATAGATCGATAGATTATATAAATATTTTTAAATCTCAAAGAAACAATTTCGGACTATCAAAATATCTTGTTTTTTTTTTAAATTTATTTAGTCGTAATTCATTATTAATTTAAGAAAAAGATCGACAAACATAGTTCAAATGATTTCTACTAGAATCGTCCGAACTGTCCTGAATGAGAAAATTATCATCAATTTTCTTTAACAATATTAAAGCATATTTCGTAGCTTGAATCAGTTCAGTCAGATGTAAAAGTCTATTATTCGTCGAGTACAAATAAACTTTATTATGTTTCATATGTCATTGCTACGAGTTAATGTATCTATTGCTGTTTTCGTCTGTATTGATAATTTTGTGAGTGATCGATGTTTCGAACTAAGAAATAGTAGTCTGTCATCGAGCTTATAAGATTCCCAAGTAAGCTGTACGCTTAATGTTGACCAGAAAAACAAACTGAACTATTTCTTCTTTATTGAAGAACTATACAGTTCAATTGTAGATCAGTGAATTTATAAAGTAGTATTAAATTGAAACTTATTCGTAAATGATAGTAGTATTCTCATGTCAACAGAGACTATGGTGATATTAAAGCATGATACAATGGAAAGGCTAACTTTGCTGCTTTTTCATATATAGATTTTGTTTTACTAAATCAATGGATTCAGATTTTTACAATGTTTGACCGATAGATAATATATTCCAATTCAACATATTAGACGTACTCATAATAGCCTAACAGCTAACGAATATATATGAACAGTAAAATAAAAAAAACTTTTAGAATTCGTCTTTTACTCATTTTTTGCGCAGTATATTATATTGAAATATGTGTTTTCTTTTCTAAAAAAGCAAAAAAAGTTGCATTAAAAATGATGAGAATATTTTTAACAAGATTTACTACGTTTTACAGGTTTATTAACATCATTTTATTTGTCAAAACACCATTAGAACAGTTCGACGGATAATTGGTACCTTGCGAGAAATACGCCCAATCTTCAAATGCTAACTTATGCTAAATAAATACCATTAATCATAGTTCATTATGACAGTTTAGGGTCAACTTCAAGGAGAGCATTCTTATCGTTGAACTTTTCCTTCCTTCTTGAACATTCATCGAAGTACATCATATTCCGTTACCTGTGTATTATTCGCTGTTACAACTTGTTCAAGGATTTTTTTAAACAGCTTGTGAAGAAAATTGAAGTACCATGTAGATATTCAAACAATCTTAAAGAAATGAATCGACGAAATAATAGTGTTCTTAGTATTTCTCAGTGTCAAGTTTAGTTCACGTTTAACACCTCCTTCTCAACAGGTTTCATAATGAATATAGAATAAAATAATTGTGCCACGAGAATAACTTCTTAAAAAAGAAAATTTTTCGAATAACAAAATCAATATTCTCAGATTGTCTTGTAAGTATTCTGTTTATTGATATTAACTGAGGACATATCTGGAGAATTAATCAAGATCTTAACTTAACAAGTGACTTTCTTAGTTTTTCATAATGATTTGTTGGATATTACACGAGAAACACAAGATTTCCTACGCAATCTTCTGCGAAGAAATGGTGCTTTAGAAAAGACCATACCTACTATACATATTGTATTCGAAAACAACACAGAAATAATTTTTCTTACTGTTCAAATCGAAATGATCTGTCATCTCCGAACTAAATTTTTAGCAATAGAACATTTAATGACTTTGTGTCCGCCTTAGATTTCTAAATGAAAAAGAAACAATATCGAACTGGCTATTAAAATTATAAAAATTAATCAACCAGATAACGAATACTATCGTCATGTGTGATGTGAATGAAATTCAAGTGATCTCTATGTTAAAAGTTTTAGTTCGAATTGTTTATTGACTATATTCTTGAAAATAATGAATCAAACATTTTTACTACACATAAGCAAGATTTCGTCGTCTTCTATCATTCGACTATTCGAATGAGTTCGTAGAACTGAATGACTGATTCAACGTGAACTTCAAAGTAAATTAACTATTCCTGGGCGAACTGTACGTTACCGTGAGAAGGATTTTCAAATTCGATAAGCGAGACAGAAGATATGAATCGATTGAAAACTTCGTGAAGGAATCCACATGAACCTATTCGAGAATAGAATGAATTAATGGTAGATAATCAATGTTCACCAGATTATGACACAGCAAGTGACATCGATACAAATGATTAAAGCCCAAGCTGAGAATTTCTATTTGAGTAGATTCAATTTCTTTTTCCATTCGATAATCCCCATCGGCAAACACATCCAAATACATATATATTCGAATTGTTTCAAATTAATAGTACGAATTAAATCACACTGCCGTTGTGGCCATAAATCGAGCAAGCTTAAAGTGCGCTCACTCAATAATTGATTTTGATTAACCCTTTCCGGCCGGCTGTTTGAAAATTGCCGTACTCCCCTAGGGGAAAATGTTGCCATGTGGCAACACCCGGCCGGAAAGGGTTAAGAGACAAAAATCGAACGTAATCAATGGTTAGAAACTATTTTCAAGAAACTATTTGAACAAAAAGCTTCTTACAACCTATCGGAAATTCCCACATTCAGGATAACTATTGATTAGAAGACTGAAATTTATATTGAAAATTTCAACGAAAAGATTGTTACTGAAATGCTCATGTTTACTTTCATTTGAGATCTGTGTTAATGCTCATATCTTGTCCGTTCTACATCTAATAGTGGTATACAGCGGTTTTTCTTCGATCGCAGAGTTGATTTCACACAGGAGAGAATGTTTTGCAGAGTTCTTGTCATAATCCAAACTTTTAGACGATGATTGTTTTCGACCTATTTGATTCGCTACCATCCACAATGCTTTGACAGGAGTGAACTCGATATAAGCATCGAGTATGCACGTAAATATATATCATCGATAAGCAAACATGGCACACAACCAACGCGTGACTGTTGAATTATATATATATATATATTAGGGAAGAGCAACTACTATCTGCTATTTTACAACAATCTAGCTTTCTAGCAATATTTGATCATTTTTCTTTTCACAGATTTAATTTTCTGGCTATTGTTATCTATTCAGTCAAAAATAAATGCAATTCCAATGAATGATCAAACTAAATTTTGTTTTGAATAATTTAAGATATACACCAGAGAATAAATAATTCTCTCAAAGCCTTGCAATTTCAATAATCTCACAATACTGTGAAAGGTCCTCAAGTAGTTTTAAATTAGAATCCATGAAAAATTGATTATTAATAATTTTAAAAATATCAATAATCGTTTAGAATCCCTTTTCAATTATTGCATTGAACAAATATTTCCATCAAATACTTCAATGTAGCATGTAAAACCATGCTGCTCCAATTTGATAACAAATTTAATAATGTTATACATTGTACAGTAATTATTCCTCATGAAAAAGGTTAGCACTAACGAATCAAATATTTTTTGTTCTTAGTAAGATATTCGTAATACAATTTCTTTAATGCAAAAAAGAAATATTCCAAGCTCTTGTCAATAGAACATAGCCAACTTTTTATTCTTATAAATATGTATACCAATAACATTTCCATCAATCATCCGAACATATGCGTGCGACATGCTGCATTCATACTTGTTGTTTGATAATTATGTCCCTCAGTATATACAAATAGAAAAATTTTCCCAAAAGATTTTTGTATTCTCACAATTGATTGAACTCAAACCGTATGATCTTACTGCAATGCTCAAGTTTCATTGAAACATACACTAGATAGAGTACAGAATAATACCAAAAAGATAAGGACCATTTCTGTTGTCGATGTATCATCGATGAGTGTGTGTGTGTGTGTCTTATCGAACTGTACGTATCCATGTTTTAATGACTTTATGTAAGATTATCATATACTTATTTGTTCGTATTTCTACTTTGTCGTTTGATATAAGAGAATGTCACATCATTTGCAAACAATCAAAATCCATTTGCACACTACAAGAAAAGAAGAACGTTCTATAATAAGAATAACACAAACAACATTTCGATATGCTTCTTTCTCTCTCTCTATCTGTCTCTCTCCCACTCATCATGCTCTTCGCGACTCATTAACTTTTTACATACAAAAAACAAAGGCGAAAATGTCATTTTATATTTATGATAGTATTAAAAGATCAGAGTAGATAATTAGAAATCACTTCCAGATTTGTTTCAATGCAAAACCAATATTTCAATTGATGAACTCATCTCATCATTAGTTAAATAAGAATCATCATGTATCAATAGATATAGAAAACGGTTTCATTTGTATAACAATTTTATTCACATTCGTCTGACAGCATGACGATAAAGATGAATTGTTATCAAACTTCAATCATATAAACAAATGAGGTAAAGTACGATGTGTTTCTTAGGAACATCATATTATACATACGTATATGCATGTATGGATTTGATCGAATCAAACGATTGGCACGTAGACATAATCAATGATCGATCAAATCGAATGTTAAGACAAATATCTTATTCAATTCATTGTTCACGTGCGAATAACTTATTCTATTTAATCATCATCTTGACTCTATCTTCGTCTTGATCGAATTGTTTTTGATTATATAACTACTATTTAGAATAGTATAGAACTGTCAGTATAAACAACAAGACATCTACATATATACATAAATATATATATATATATATATATACAGATATACATATATGTATACATGACATGCATCGTTACCATTTATCAATACCACTTTGCTAGAGATATTCTTTCTTGTCACACCATGTCTCACCAGATTATTAATATTTTTTATCAATTATTTGATTTTCGAATGTAGACATATTGAATGCGGAGCTATTCAGTGACAATAGTATAACTGCATCAATCATGCACGTCTTAGATATGCGTTTGTGAAGAACAATGAAAATAGTTAACTATATATGTACGACCAATTTATGTTTGAAACTCAGCATATCGACCTTGAAACAGACAAGTTAATTGATGGGGCAGCTGGTTTTCAAGAAAAGAATTTTTTTCGATGATTATTTGATATAATCAAGGCTTATTTCTCATCGATATCGATAACATGAAAGATAGAAATTCCAAAAAAAACGACTAATAATTAATCAATAGTGATGTCTTTGATCGATGAGTAACTTCAATAATCATCAAGAGTTGCTAGGCATATGCCATTAAACCTACAAACACATTTAAAACGGTCGATTGCAATGATAGTGAATAGATGCCAAGGACAAGTCAATGATAATCGAAAAGAAATTTGAGAATTATGTTTGACGCTATGCAAAAATGTTTAACTTTGAACTGAACCTTACTCGCAACTCTGACTATTTCTTTCATTGTATTTGTCAATGTGTCATTAAAAATTTTAATTTAACAAAAGAAACATAAAATAAAATTGTAAGTCTAATTAAAATCAAAGGAACAAAGAAAAAAGTATATATAGTCATCGTTCCAAAACGTTATCAATGTATCCTTAATAATTGATTCATTGTTCGTTCTCTTTGTTCTCTGTCTGTGCACACTATTAATAAGTTGTAAGTAGTCAAACAAAAATTGAAAAGAAAAATGTTGTTGTTGTCATTGAGATGACTGACCAACGAGCGAACAGAGGAGAACTTATATATGCAATTGACCTTTCTAATCGAGACAATACTACTGATCTATTGATTTTCACTCTTTACCATCAATACATTGAGTAGGCAAACGACATGCGCTTCTCCAAGATGTTTGTCTATCGTCGTTAAATATACAAACATTAACTATACAACACCCAATCTCCAACTCAAATTTCACATTGACAACGAAATATTAAAAAAAAGTAATAGTAATTGATCATTCTATCCTTCAGCATGGTCTTCTTTGTTGTTATTTTTCATGAATATCATCAACAAAAAAATATGTGCGGATCGAATGTCGTGTTAAACACGCGTGTAAAAAGAGTTAGATGAAACATGTATAAAAAGAAAAGAAAACAAAAGGAAAAAGGAAAAAAAAGCAAAATAAAAAAAAATATATATGCATATGTATAAATATTGTTTTAGACAATAGCATCATGTTGTTGACGTTTACCATGATATAAATAAGTTGAATGACGATACTGAGAATCATGATTTGGTTCATTACTATGAGATGACATTGTCGGATAAATATTCATTGGTTGCTCGCCGGCAATAAGAAAATCTTTCCAATCATTAAAATAAATATCGGATGGTATACGCCCGGATGTTGACGATGTACTTGTTGTTGTTGATGGTGCTATAGTCGTTGTTGTTAATGTATCTTTAGGTTGTTGATGTAAAAGTGATGTTGGATTATTATAATGTGAACTATTTTCGTTCATGAAAAAATGATGTGGAGGTGAAAACGGAAAATGATCAGCAAGTAAATTTGTTTTTGTTGATGAATTTACTTCGCGTTTCTTTTTATCATTTTGAGTTTGAATACGATACCAGAAAAATAGACTAATTATAATTAATAGCAAAATAAGTATTAATATAAGAATACATGTGAAGAGTATCGGTAATGTTACAATAGTTGGAGATTTTGTTTCGGTTAAAAGTAATGATGTTTCAATAGTTGAATAGAAATTTTTTTCTAGACGATTTAATGCATTAGAAGTTTTATGAAGAGTTTCCAATGTACAACAATAACGACGAGACTCTGATCCACAGCATATTTGAGTTTGACCAGCTAACGGAGGACATTCGAAACCATTATTCCATATACCGTATTCATCCAAAAAGCCTGGACAACTTGTACGGTGATCTTCAGGATTCATCATGCTAAAAACAAAACAAAGGACCAAAAATTAAAATTAAAATTAGATAATCTGAAGTGTCAATTTACCAGCCAACTTATATTACATGCAAAACTTATTGTTTCTTCTATTGAAATGATTAGATGAAGAGAATCTGAAAGCAAAGAATAACGGAAGAATGATACATGAAGAAAGAGCAGAAAGAAAAAATATGTTCGACAATCATCTTTCTTGTTCTCTCTTCCTCTCTCTCTCTCTCTCTCTCTTGCTCTTGCTCTCCTTACTTTTCTCACGTTCTCGTTATAGATCATCATCTCTTTTCGTTCTCTTTGACCATGCGATTTCTTTTGAAAACAAAATGAAAAATTATTCAACAGAGAAGACTGGCAAAGTCTTGAAGTGATTCTTGTGTGACAACAGAAATAGCAGTAGTAATAGAAATAACAATAGAAATAATGAATTCATTCTCTTATACATACATACGAAGAGGAAAAAACGTACATATGTCGTTTATCTAACAAACGTGTGCAGCAAATACAAACAAACAAAAGCGAGAAAATGGAGGGGAAAAAATCATGATTTGCCTTGTATAAACTGAAAAAATGAGCATGTCGTAACGATTAACTTTCAATCTGGCACATACGACCATATGTCCTTCTCGTACTATTTTATTCCAATGCTATTGCTTATCTAAAAGCTCATTACAACACGTTGACAATAAGAGTCAAACTTAGATTATAACGTCATTGATTGCAATGAGAAAAAAGTAAAGAAAGACAGGAAACATATATATTCTCTACCTTTCTTTTTTATTTATAATAACACTTCACCTTGATGAATGGTAACAAAAAGAGAGAATAAAATAACCTAACATTTTCTTTGTCAATCACTCAAAACTGACGTTGAGTACGTAACGTCACAGTAACAATGGATTATAAAGCATCATCATACGAACCAAACTTTCATTCATTTATTCATTCATTCTCTTTCTATTATTTTCCAAGCGTTTGTATATGTACATTTGCAAGAAAGAAAGTGGCGAATGACTTGCACATGTTGTTGTCGTCAAGTTTTGGAGGACTACGTATGTATGATATACGCTATGGGATAGTAGCATACGTAGTTAATGAGCTCTTCTTCATCATTATCATGTAACATATTGAACATAGTCTCATCGTCATCATAGTCAAATCGAAAAGGGCATTCTCAGTAACAACAGAAACAGCAACAACAGCAAAAACAACAACATCAGTAGTAGAAGCGTGGTAGCAGTAGTCTTTTCATTATGTAACAAACAATTCATTAAGCTTTAGAATCATGCGCTCTTAAAACTATGAATGATGATGAACTTTGCTTACTCGACAATAATCGGACAACGGCAAGCAGTGATGTCTACTTGTGACAAGCACGCTAATGAGTCCTGTTCTTGTCTTGATTCCTATGTAATGGGTACGAGCAGGAAAAAGAAACGAAAGACATACTAGAAAAAGAGAAAGAGAGAAAAAAATCACTGCCTGTACATGATTAGTGCTGGCCACATGCAGATGGAACTAAGATGACGGAACTTTTGCATAATGACATAGACGAGTGCACAGCTGGATTTTACTTCATACACTTGTCTACGAACACATTATGAAATTTTGCAGATCAGTGTGAACAACGAGACAATTAAGAATATGCATCATGGAGTGCTATACCATATATTCTATACCTATAACTATATATAGTTATATATCGATATCGTTGAAAATGTTCTTATAGACTTTAGTGAATATGACATATGTACTTCTTTACTAGATTATAATCTACAAAACTAAAAGATATACATTTTTTTCTTTGTCTGTTGTTCTCAAATACTTGAAAAGAGAGATAATCGTCTTTTTATTTCTTTTTGATTTAACATTCTTTGATGATGTCAATTAAAAGAAAAATGAAGTATATGCTATCTGCTATTTGTTTATATTAAATGATTATAATAGAATGACAGAAACACCAAACACTACTTTATCTTTGCATAACAATAAAAGCAATTCCATAAAATTCTTATTCTATTCATTGATAAAGTGAATCTTCACATGAAAAATCAAATATTACTGTTATTACTTTATTTTATCATTCATAAATAAACTTTGAGTCTGATTTATTTCTATAATATTATCTATTTCCATTGGTAAATGTGATCTAATCAAATTATTAAGAAAAATATCTCCAAGAGAACCTTCATCTCAGCAAGTTGATATCAATGGCGTATTTCATGTATGATTGTCCTTTTGCTTTCAATAAAGGCTATGTTTATTTCCATAAATCAAGACATAGAAAAAGAAATGATTATTAGAATAAAAACATTCGAAAAACTAGAAATTAATCAGTTGAATATTGAAATTATAGAGATCTTATTATTCGATTCTATTGCACAGTAGAATAGAAACCATATCACTATGTTTACAAAAAGAAAAGAAAATCAAGATTTCATGTAATCGTGGAATATTACATTTATTTTTGCATCAATATCAAATCTATTGCAGTAATAAAATATATAATAGGATATTTTTATGTTTATTACGATCAACAGAAGTGCTATTCAGACATTTCAAATTTTCACTGAGAGACAATTGACGACGATATGATAGTTACGATTCATTTTATTTACAAGAATATTCTGATGCACATTTATTTGTTATCTACATGAGGTTAAACAAAAATTTTCAGACAATATTTCTTTCTTTAATTATTATCTATTTTTGAACTGTAATATCATATATCATTATTGTTCGTTGTATTTTTGTTATAATGCTAAAAATTTTCTTCCTCACTTGAACCAATAGAAATAATCATTCCATATTAAATCGTGTTCTCATAGTTGTATATCTTTCAATTCTTATATTTTATTAAACGAGAAGAAAACACAGTTCATTTCTACTTGACGGCATTAGTGATAGAGAATTTTATTTCAGATGAGAAAACCCTTTCTTCTTACCTTTTTTTAAAATTTTATTTCCTACAATCAAACAATCAGTCAAGTGAAAGCTATTGTCGTTCCCATAAATCTACATTCTTCTTTAACTCTTTTATAGACACTCTTAAAAAGAACGGCGGCATCAACGCCGACCAACATTCAGACATACTTCAGAAGTTCAATCGATAATTGGTGTACTCTTCAAACATTCAATCTCATGTTGCCTATCGCATTCACTTTCTTCTATTTCCTGTTGATTTATGTACAACTGATAAATGATCTATCTATTTCATCTATTTCCGTTGTCTAAAGCAGATCAAAATGAAACTCTCAGCAGCTGAAACAATAACTAGGATATATTCATAAAACTCAACGTGTAACAACGAAAAAAAAGAAAAAAACAGAATAGAAGAAAACAAACAAGGAGAAATAGGATGAACAAAAAAGAATGCGAATATTAGTAATGAGTATGCAATAAGACAAAAACAGAAAAAACGAACACTGTTTGCTATTTGTTCTTTTTTTTGTATAACTCTTGGAATACAAGAAGAATATTTAAAAAAAATCCACCAGCAATAGCTCGAGCAAGTATGTGTTTTTTTTGTGTGCATATTTCGAAAGAAAGAAAAATAAGCTAAGTCACAAAGCACAATCACAGTACATGACAGACGAAAAAAGACATATTTACTTTTTTTTCTCTAATTACACGAAACAATATATAAATACTCTGACTTGACTTTTTTTGTTAAGATATAATTAAAGTGTGGGAGATATAGAGCAATTGAAACGATAAGAAGAAAACGAATAGTATTAATAATAACAACAACAACAACAAATAAATGGAAGATAATGAAAAGACATAAATATAGATTAATAGATTTAGGAGTACTTTTTTTTGTTATTTTGATCGTACGCACGCATATAATTAATAAATACAATAATTTTTTTCTTTGTATGTTGATTTGGTTTTGATCGATAAAAGAGAAAGAAATGCCGATGAGTTGCAAGAATACTGAGAGAAAAACCACAAAAATAAATAAATAGATACGACATTGAAAAATATAATTATATAGACAGGCTCTGTACTGGGTAAGAAATATATATATATATACATATATATGAATATATATATATATATTTATACATAATGTAAGTGGTACAAGGAATGGATGTTAGTAAGTACTATGTCCAAGTACAAAGACCAGACAAACAAAAATAGGCTAAATAAAATTATATACATAAAAAACGTTTTTCCCGGTTTTTAGATAGAGCGACATTGATCTGATTGTCGCATAAGGAGTAGTATAGCAGCAAGTACATATAGAGAAAAAACAAATGATAACAAATTAACTAACCACAAATGTAACAAAACAAAGGGAAGAAAAAAGTCGACAACAATAACAAACAACAGTATAATAATAATAATAATAATAATAATAATAATAATAATAATAATAGTAAAGATAATAAAAAAAAAAGATTAACAAACAAAACAAACAACGGCTGTAATTGAATACAATAGATTTGTTCTTGCGGAGACTTGTTTTTGTTCCTTAAAACTTATTTTTTCGGCTTCTCGAAATCTTCTTTCATTTTTTTCCGATCAGTGTCAAAAAACAAGATGATTTTCGGCAAAAGTAATCGAACCACAACCAAAACCAGGTAGTACAAATACACACACGCGAGCGTTAAGTTTAGAGAAAAGAAGAAAAAAAACGAGCTACACAGCAAGCATTGGTGATGATGGCAGGTGCAGACTAGAAATTTAGGGTTATAAAGAAGAATATAGATAAAGATTTGCGAATGAAAAACAAACAAGAGAGAAAAAAACGAAAGATTATTTTCTTTAATACGCATTACTTGTTGTTGAAATAGTCAATGGACTATCATCATGACCATTCATTAATAATGGCGATGTACATTCACCTGCTAACATTTGACTACTATTTGGTGTTGTCGATGATGATGATGCAGGTGATGATGGCCCCGTATTATTTGTGACACCACCTCCTCCTGCTCCCATTATTGATGGTGTCATTAAATAACGATAAACATATATACGATAATCTTTACTTGCTAACACAACACTTCCGTCATCTGTTAGTGCAACATCAAAACATTGGGCATGTTTTACTTTTGATTCAAGTGCATTTATTAATTGTCCATCTTAAAAAACAAAAAATTCATAGAAACGTCTTTAATACTATTTATTGATAAAAATTTGTTTTTTTCTTTACCTTGAGTAAATATTGTTAAATTAAAATTGTTATGATTGTCAGCAATAAGTACATCACCTTGACTATTTTGTACAACACCAATTGGATAATTAGTAATACCTTCTGATCCAATAGTACGTAAAAATTGTCCATCATAGGAAAATACTTTAATACAATGAGCGCGATTGTCGGATATGAATATTTCTTGCTTATCATTACAACAAACACCATTTGGAAATTCCAAATATTTCGAACATGTGAATTTATTTAAAACATTTCCATTTATATCAAAAATAAATACACGCATTACTTTACATTCAACAACAATAATATGACCCATATTATCAACGCAAACACCTACAAATAGAAAATAAAATAATAGTTGATGAGGAAAAAAAAGTTAACTTACCACGCGGATGTTGTAAAACATTGGCACCGAATTTACGTATAAATTGTCCATATTGATTATAAATTTGTATTTGATGTGTTGGACTACGTTCGGTAACAACAATATCCCCTGATTGACGAAATACAGCAACACGATTTGGATATAATAATTGTCCATCACGTTTCCCACATTCACCAAATTGAAAACGAAAACGTCCTATATAAATATACAGAGAGAGAGAGAGAGAAAGAAAAGTGATTATCAAAAGGTTTTCACAAAATATTAACATACCATTGGAATCAAAAATTTGTATACGATGATTATTTGTATCGGCAACAATAATATCACCTTGTGCATTAACAGCAACACCTGATGGCTCAGTAAATTGTCCTTCAAGTACACCAAACTCACCAAATTTTTGATGATAGATCATTTTATGTCGTTTTATTGTTGAACCATTTGAACGGGATGGTAATAAAAGATGATGAGGTATTGATGAATAACCATCATATGTATCAACGAGATCAACTAAAGAATCTTGTCCATTAAGATTTCCACCACCATTACTTGAAGTTAAAGAACTTGAAAGTTGTTGTTGAGATGTTGATTGTGTTGGCATTTGTGATGCATTTGACCATAGTTCATATGGATTTATATCAATTCCATTTGATGATAATGAAAAACTCATTGGTGTTGGTGTTGATGATGATAAATTTGAATATTTAGACATTGCTGATGGTGGTAAACTGCATGATAACATATCAATACCATTTAATAAATGATTTGTATTTGGTTGTAATTGTTGTTGTTGTTGTTGTTGTTGTTGTTGCATCGATTTTGTTGGACTAAGTGATAACATAGTGTTTTGTTGTTGTTGTTGATGATGAATATGGTTATGACAATTATTCATTGATGATGAACAGTTTGTAGATGGTGGACCAATAACTTTACTAAAATTATCATTGTTCAACTAAAAAGATAAAAATAAATATATGAAAATAATTTGTTTAAACAGAAACAAATTTTTTCTGTTCTCTTGAGATCACGATAATATTTTTGTTTCTTTAAACAGAAAAAAAAACATTCTCATGAGATGCAAGAAGTAAAATAAATTAAAAATTCTCAGGAGAATTTTATAATCATGAATATTTTGTTACTAATTTTGATTATTTTTATTTATTTCGATTATCATATTTTTCATTTACGACCATATATGAATATTAGTTTGTCAGAAACATTGAAAATTGATTTAATATATCAATATCAAAGATTTAACAAGCATTTATATTTGTACATTTTATTCTATTCAGTATATTTACTGTCTTGAATTGTTTACAGGCAATATTCATTATTACTATTATTATTATAAATTAGTCTTTATAGTTAAGTTATGATGGCTAGTAAAAAAATCTAATGATGTGTTTCAAATAGCTACTTTCACGATGCTTTTTTTTTACAAAATCTATTAAGAATAATTTAATCAAGAAATTTGATAAGAGTGGTATCTAATGATGCAACTGTCACCTAAACTAGAATGTTTAACAACTGTTTTCTTTGCCTTGATACTTCTAAGGCATAGAGTTACAATATTTGCTCTTTAATTTGCACGTCAAATCTCTTTATTTCTCGTAATTAACAGTAATAAAAAGAGAAAAAGAAAACTAGTATGTTCCTCACTTTTTGTGGGCGTGGTTTATAATGAGTATTCTAAAATTGATAAAAATAAAATTTTTAGAATCAAAAACTAAAACTTTTTCGTTATATAGTTACCAATGATGCTGGTTCAGGTGATGATCGTACATATCCAAATGTATTTCTTACACCAGTTTGAATTGCCTAGAAAAATAAACGAAAACGAAAAAATTCTACTATTTTGTTTCATCGTCATTATAGAATATTAGATTTTACCTGAAAATTTGAAACAAATTCAAGTTCAAATATTGGTGATTGTCCATTTGTCTCTGGTATTGCTTGTCCGAGAGAATTAAATTTATTTTCAAGTTGCTTTTTAAATATTAAAATTTCTGTTGTTGATGAATTTTTAAATAGACGATCGGAAAACTCTAAAGGCTAGAAAAATACCAAAAAGAAAAAAAACGGAAATGAATATTTATGATAATAAATCAATATTTTATTTTGATTGTTATTTACCAAATTAGCACGTTCAGCAGCGTCGTCAATTTTTTGCATTTGATTCGTCAAATTAGTTTGTTTTTCATTAAACGCATTATCTAACTCCTTTGATTAAAATAGATTTAATAATTAAATAATAATAATGAAGCAAAAAGAATAATAATATTCATTCTTACTTTAATTAATTCATGCTTTCTTTCATCGATTAGCTGTCGATAAAATGAATATGTTTCATTGATATCATGTTGCGCTTTATTATATTGAGTCTAAATCGATAAAATTGTAATACTATGCTTTTCATAATATTTTCAATCGTGTTACTTGTAATGAAGTGTATGAACGATCGACAATCTTTTGTGAATTTCTTAAATCATTCAACCGTTGTCGAGTATTTTCGACCATATTTTGTAATTTTGCTACTTGATGTGATCCTATTCAATAGGAATAAATAGATTGAGGCATTTTTTAGTTGTTTTACATATTTTTTTTTGTATGCACATGCATTTACCTGCGTCATTCAATGGTGCATATTCATGAGTACCCGGTCGATGATCAATTGTTGTACATGTGACACAAACTACAAAATAAAGATCGAAAATAAATATTTTACAAGGTAATAAAGTATAGTATTTACTCGGTATATTGCATGTAGAACAAAAATATTTCAGTGTTTCATTTTTATGATTCGAACAAAAGATTAACCGAAGATCATTACCATTTGAGTCAAGGTCTTTTATATGAACAACCTAAAAGATGAGATAATGGTCATTACTGTTAATCTATACAGCTAATGATCAGCCCACATCATTTATATCTGTACTTGAAGAACAATTATTAAGAATAACAGCAGACATATTTGTATCTTATTCTAATTTTATTCTTCTTCAGAATTAATCTTTTTAGCTTCCTAGAATAACTATTCTTTAAAGTTGATGATCGTCCACTGCATTCAACTATAGAAGGAAATGCGTTTCTTCTCGTTTTTTTTTCTGCAAAGTCTCAGAGCCGATTACAAATATATATAAAAAAAAAGAGAAGAAAGAAGAGAACGGAAAGAAAAGGCACACGCTATCAACATCATCATTTTTTCAGGGTTCAGCTACAGGAGAAAGAAAAAGAAAAAGAAATAGAAATCAGAGAGTCTGGTTGTCGAGAAGTTCATTTCGGTCGACGAATGCATCCCATTTTACTTGCTTGAGAACTCTTGCCCGCTTGTATTCTCCTCCCTCTTCATTACAATTCAATTTTTCCTTTCTTTTCTTTGTCCTGCATTAGACTCTTGGAAATTGGGTTCTTTCTTTTTTGTTTTATATGCTTTTACATTCTTGCTCTCTCAAGACAACTTTCTTCATCATTCAGTTGATTTGATAGTGTTTTCGATGCATAGATAAAGAGTCGGGGCGAAGATCTTATGCGTATCTGTATGTATTTACATACATACGCCCAAACAATCTTCTACTCATAATAACTTAGTCTGAAACTAGATACTATTTTATGTGCATGCTGGTAGCAAAAGTGCTCGTCGTTTTTCTTCTCTTATTCGTCAACGTTTACGTCAGAACTATGACTATTAAAATGTACAAATAATCAAATCGGGAATTGTAAAAAGAAAATCGTAAACAATGAGGAATTGGAGGCTCTCGACGCTAATCGATAGAAATACGATCCGACCAGAATAGAAATACAGCATGGAATTGCTCGAATACATCTCAAAAAGATTATTAGGAAATCAGAAAGATAAGGAAAATCGAAAGAAAATAAGGGAAAAAAATAACTAAATTATGGAAATGCATGCTCAGTAATTATTATTGGATTATGTATGTGCGTGTGTATATTTGGTCAGCGATGGCAATGGAAATGAAGAGAAAAATGAAGGAAGAATAAATCAATCAAATAGAATGTAGATGCGTAATGAACAAGACGAGAGAAAAAACGTTGTAAAAATCATGCATAAAGCCATGAAAGAAAACAAGTTATGTCGAAAATAAACAAAGCAATAGTCGTATTGTTTTCTTCCCTTTTCTCGACTTTCAAAGTGATTAAAGAAAGAAAAAATTCAAAAAGCGCAAGTGAATAAATCGATTTCTTTTTCTCATCTGTTTTTTTTTATCTGTCCTGCTGTAACTTACACGATGACCTTCAAAGCAGTTCATTATTTGATGTGCACAAACACATTGATGACATAGGAAGCTCGAACATTGGAAACATTTAGCCACAGCCATTGATTCAGCACTTTTACACGCTGTGCAACATTGTACGACAGTGTCGCCTAATGGTAACATATAATCATTGGATACATTTGAATGATTATTTTGTGCTGTATAATCAGGTAAAACATCTCTAAGCATTGTTGTTACACCACACAATGGACAGCAGATACTTGCATCATCATTTGTGGATAATTTTTCTGCACATGTTTCACATAATGTATGAAAACATTGAAGTACTTGCGGTCGATTTTGTTTAAATGGTTCTTGACATCCTGGACAATCCCATGAATTATAATGATATTCTTGATGTTGAAGTTTATGATAGAAAGGAGATGATGAACAGCAAGGATTATCTGTTGTAGTCGAGTGAGCACTTGATAAACTTGAACTTGGTGATGATGTTATTAAGCCAGCAATTAATGATGCATGTACAGGTGGTTGTGTTATTATCTGCTGTGCTTGTTGAGGCTGCTGCTGTTGTTGTTGGGATTGAAGACTACGCATGATTGAAATCGACTGACTGGTTGTATTATTTGAATGTTGTGGTAGTGGTGGTGGTGGTGGTGATGATGAAGAAGCATAAGCTGAATCCGTGAATGAAAAAGCAGTCGAAGAGCCATTTGAACTCGAGCCAGAACTATCGTGACTTAAACATGTCGAAAGAAGTGTATTCGATGATGCATCCGATGTTGGAGGGAAAAGGCCAAAGAACGGTGAGTTCTAAATAGATATGAGAAAAAAAGATAATAAACACTTGACATATTTTTCTTTCCATTAAATGTGACAGCGAATGAATGAACACTCAATTGTGTCTTGGCTGGGCCAAAGGTCATCATTAATATATACATTGACCAATATAGTTGACAAATATATAGCGTCTCCTGTTGTTCTTATTTTATGTCAAAATTGCTTTTTGTATTCATTATTAAATTACGCATTCATGAGTTGACAGAAAAAAAGCGATTCAGTTTTTTATGAGTGATTTGCATAGAATATCATTCTTCCTTTTTCTTTGAATAAGAAGAAATAAAACAAAAAGTACTCTATTTGGCTACGCTAATGCTAATAAACGACACCTCGAAAGTCTAATTTTCAATTTTATTTTCATTATCGATGACAATAATGTCTTTTAAGTTATATTTATTTTCATCTGTCAAAATTGCTTACCCATAAATCATTATCAGAATCGAACATTGCTAATAATACTTCTGTTGCTCGGCTTCCACGATTAATGAAAGAACTTCTTTTTTGTCACCATATCGCGTGAACAGGGCGTCTTAGTGAATAATGATTTGTCAAAGTTGCCCCGTCTTTCTCTGCTTCATTCTTTTTCTTTCGTTCGTTCTTTTTCTTTCTCTCATTTTCTCTCCTCATCTACTGTGTTCCGTATGTATTTTAAGCAGAATAGATCGTCAAAGTATCTCTATTTTTTCCCTTTCTCTCACACTTATATTCCAAATTATATACGGTATAGACATATAGACATATAGACGATTGATGTGAACGCGTCAGTATCAACACATGTCATGATTCAGTGGAAGTTCCCAAATGTTTCTTTGAATTTTCCTTCTTTCTAATGAAAACAGCTAATGAATGCCGTTTGAACATTTTTTTTCGTGACCGCAGGAATAAAAAACCGAGCACATCTGGAATGAGAAGAAAATAAGCTGAACCTATAGACAGATGTTTCTCTAATCACATACACATATTCAATCATTATTCTTATCAAAATCGAATGGATTTTTTTTCTCCGACGTTTTCTTCATAAAAAAGAGCCCACTCATCTCGATTGTTGTTTATTTAGGTTTTTTGTTATTTCTTCGCTGTTATTCTTTTATTAACTATTCACACTATATTAAGTAAAATCAATGACTTAAGTCGATTGGTTTGATTGTATATTTGATTCATGGCATACACACTTGCTCAAAATTACAAAAAAAAAGAAGAAAAAGAAAGCTATGATCAAACAACAAGTGAATTTTTTTTATTGTAGTGGGCGAATTTTTCAAGGTTATGTGCATATTATATATAATCAGCACATGAATATATATATACATATACATATATGAGTCGAACACAAACAGCAGTACTAATAATAATAGCAATGTATGATTGTATATGACAACGATAGAAAGAGAAAGAAAGAAACAAAAAACTTTATCTTTCTTATTTGTCAAAACAACATATATCCTCTCGTTGTCCATGCTTGTATCTGAGGAAAATACAATGAAATGAGAAGGCTTAAAAACTAACACACTATGAGATGCATCTTTTTTCCTTGTCTTTCATATATTGGTGATGTAAATCAAAGAAATTGTCTTGACATAGCAAATGTACATATTTATAAAATAAACATTAGGTCTCGAATAGAAAGCGTTAATCTATTGGTCGTATGTAATGTTTTCTCGATAAAAGCTATGCATGTAATATAGACGTATAAACTAAATGTAGAACATCATCATTTAGATGAAAATTAGAGGCAATGAAGAAGAAATAATGATGATGTACGTTCTATCGTAGCTCGAGGATAATCGTAAAAGACGCAAAAATAGTCTCATGTCATTAGTGCATGAACTGTTTTGGTTTTTTCTTGTTAAAAACACTTAAAATAAATCTAATAAAGAAAAATAAATGAATGTAAATTACAGTATTAGTCTATTGTTGATGAGTGCATTAAATCTGGAGAGAAAAAGTTTGCTCTCGAGAAACCATGTAAAGATAGAGTTTTACTCTAGTTACTTATAGAATTTTTCCTTCGATTCTAGAAGGGAAAAGACGATAACATCTAATTAGAGGTTTTATCCGGTTCCTATTTGTCAGTTTGTTTAACATTGATTGAAACACGCTTTCATGTGCAAGAATCTATTCGATGTTCTAGCAACCTTTTGGATTGAGTAGACGATGATACTAGAATCTCAAATATTAACTTTCTGTTCTTATGTTTCTGCTACGAAAATATATTAAGCATATATGTTGGTATATTCTATTAGCATGCAATGCTAAAGTCTTCGCAATAATGTCAAACGCTGTTAGGCCATGTTGGCGACTTCTAATTCAGCTGAGCTTTTTCTTGTTGGAAAGAGCAGTGTCTGAACTTCAAATTTTGTACCGAACATATTTTTCTAGGACGAATCTGGAAATGAGGAAAAGCCAAAAAACTAAACGCATGAAAAAAAGTTCTTGCAACTTGCCCATCCAGCAGTATCATTTTCTATTTCTATTGGATTCTTTTAAAGTAAAAAAGAGAAAGAATAAATCATGATCAATGATGATTTTTGTAGAATAAAGGATGGTCTTTTCAATGGTGTATTGAAAGTTAAATTTAGTTTTAGTTTTTGTACTGAAATATCGCTTTTTTCGAGAGAGAGACTGACAAATTTGGTCGTTCTCACAATGTGACCATTTTGAAACTACAAAAGATATTTGTTAAGTTATTTTGCTGTCAAGTTTCTAAAGTCTGATATATTTCGCGTAAATAAAGCGAAAAAATAAAGTTCATACATGATTCCTGGTAGATATTCTTGAAAATTGATAGTTTTTTTCCAATGAGTGTTTTTTTTACAAAAATTTCTTTTTTCAATTTGTTTTTATGAACGACTCAAGAATGAATCTAAAAATCTTCCACAAGCTGGTATCGATAGAGTTTGTGAAACTCAACATTGTGGTGTAGGTTTTGTTAAAATTCTGCTCATGTAGTCTATGATATTTCTGAAATGCCGATTTTTTTAGATTGCAGGAACGTTTTTTCATGCGTTTAGTTTTTTGGCTTTTCCTCATTTCCAGATTCGTCCTAGAAAAATATGTTCGGTACAAAATTTGAAGTTCAGACACTGCTCTTTCCAACAAGAAAAAACTCAGCTGAATTAGAAGTCTCCAACATGGCCTAACAGCGTTTGACATTATTGCGAAGACTTTTGTACCACATGTTATTTATTAATATATTTCTTTTGGTTAAATAATTGTCAGAGTAAAATGCGTTTCGCGTCAATATGATTACCTTAGACAAGGCAAAACACGCTCACGCAAACCATCAACCGTTCGAAAGACGAAACAACATGTTGTTTTCGCATATAACATTTCTGAAAGCTTTGAATAACCCCACGCATGTGAATCAGAGGTAGCTGCTTGCAAAAACAATAACAAGAGAATATTGAAAAAAACACGAGAAAAGACAAAGAACAATGAAGATCAATAAAGAAATAAACTACTATCACTAATTTAATATCTTACCGCATCATGAACATCATCTTCTGCATCATCAAATTGATTAGTTAAAAGAAGATCCTTGTCCCGGTATGGATGTTGAACATCAAGTAAAAATGAGGAATCGTCGAGATCACCGTCAATAAAAATTGTTTTAAGAGTAGATGGTATCATAGAACTTTTTTTTTAAATTGTAAGCGTCAACAACGGTAACTTAACTGGAAACTGAACAATGCTGCCGTTGATTTTTTTTTCTAATTATAGATGATGTTATTCCATTATTTTCTTTACTTTACGTGTCGCGCCACCATTCTGCTGTATGTGCTTATGTTGTTGTCGACCCGAGCAGTAAACGAACAGTAGGAAGAAAACGAGAGAGAGAGCGCGAGAGAGAGAGCGCAAAAGAATCGAAGAACAGAAGAACAAGGCAGAGCTTTTTACATGCCAACGCTACTACCAAGGTTGGTTTGTTCTATATTTTCTGGAACAAGAAAAAAAAAGAAATGAAGAAAGAGAACTAACAAAGAAAAAACAGACGAATCAACCTAAAAAAGGGGGAGGGGGTATGAATGTGTGTATATAGTGTGGCTTCTTTCTTCCTTTAGTTATGTCTATTTTTTTTACAAAAATATATCTGTATCGAAAGGAGAGAAAGCAAGACAGAAAGGAAGAAAGGAAGAAAGAAGAATCATTAAATCCGTCGTTTGATGATAGTGAACAAGCACGAGCATGCCTTTCTTCGCCCCTCTCTCTCTTTCTGCGTCTGGGTTTTTTTCAATAATAAAGAGTATCAAAACTAAATTACGTTGGCGACGTTAACGACAAATACTTACAATACTGCTATCGAGGCATCGGTCAGACAAGAACAAAGCAGCAGAATAAAAACAGCAGGGACAAAACACAGAGATCTATAAGATTGCAAAAAAAGGGCAAATAGTCGCAACGAATGACGATACTCGACATTGTTGTCATGATTTATCTGGAAAGCACATGTTTCTTATTCTATTCAGAATAGTGTTTGTCAATCAATTTATTTCTCTTATAAAATTATCTGACAAGGTCTTTTCCTATGTACATATATTCATACATGCGTATATACATATGTTTATATTCGTCAAGCCTTTCTCGTGTAGCAATGATGATAACGATGATGATGATCATCATCATCACTATCAGCAGCTGCTGCTGCAGTCTACTAGTAACTTGATTGTGGGTGGCTCGTGTTTTTCCTCAATCGGCATGATATTTTATTGATAATGGAGCCAGAAATAATATAAGAGTAATAAATAAACCAGCACGTGTCCACATGTATGTGCATAGAAATAAAGCACGAGCATTAGTCAAGGATATATCTGTCTTTTTATTATGATTAGAAGTGCCATCACTAATATGATGAATGTAGGCGAAAACAACGACGCAAAGAAAAACAACCTTATGTGAGACTAAATTATTTTTTTATCGGATAAGAATTCTCTCTCTCTCTCTCTCTCTCTCTCTCTCTTTCTTTCTTTTATTCTTGCCATGTTCCCTATGTACCGAAAAAGATGATTCAGAAATAGCAATCTTTTCAATCGATAAAACCAAAAAAAGATCAAACAGAAATGCTTGCAGAAATACAAATAGAATATCTAAGTGAAAGCGACCAGATTCTAATAATATTTACCAAAAATAGTATCGTACTTTTTCTGTTTATTTGAATGTCAGTTATTCTTCCAAAGCAATTAGCATATGTATATATATATTACTATTGTCCTTTCGAACTTGTGTCTGAAACCGCTTGGTCACAGTACCCTCTAATACATTTTCAACTGGAAACACTGTGATCGAATTTCTTTGTCACAAAAAAGAAAAACGTGTAATTGGTTCTCTATTTTTTCATTATTATAATATAAATTTATCTTATAATTCAAATCATTCGATACATTCTAGTAGTACACAGTTAATTTTTTTTTATAATCCCTATTCAATCAAACATTTAACAATAAACACGAAAATGAAGAGCAAATAGTTTTTTTTTGTTCTAATCAAAATAAATCATCCATCAAAACATTCTGAATTTCAGTATCACGACAAATATCAATTAGAATTGTACGTATCGGTTCATATGCAGTACTGGCAAAGACAAATGAAAATTTATTAAATATCTTTGTATGCCAAGCAAGTGAACTTTTCAAACCCTAAATAATCAAAATAAAGCAAATAGATAATTCAAGGACGACACATTCATGGTGTTAGGTATACCTTAATAAATGATTGTCGATTTTTGAATAATAATTTTAAAATGACATAAGCCCCATAAGATGTCTCAGTAAGTATCTCAAGAACTTTCTCGATTTTCATCGATATAAGACAATCATAAGAACTAATAATGGAAAACAAATTTTTTTATTACAAAAAAAAGTATTGAAACAAATGAATACCTCGATAGATCAGATCGTTTAAAAATAGTTTCTATAATGCATAAGCATATTTGATCATAATGATTTAAATCATGAAGAAGATCAAAAACAAAGTCCTTGAACAAAATAAATTGTGTTATAAAATAATGAATTACAATAAAAATAAATTAATATTACAAAATGTTTAGGCAAATGAATCGTTATTGTAACAAGAGCCTCTAATAAACATCGATTAGCATTTGAAAATGCACGACTTGGATTGATGCAGATTCGTATTTGATTTAATAAATTATGGTAACTTGCTTGATTTGTTGTCTAGTAGAAAAAGAACTAATCGACTTTTGTTTTGAATTCCTAAACTTAATAGTTTACTAACCGTGGTTAATGATGAAAATACTCGTAGAGCTAATTCACGATGATGTATATGATTATCGGTTCGGCAAAATATCGCCTTAAATAGAAATAGAAAAAATTCAATTAAATAGTAATAAAAAACAAGAACATAATCAACAAACATGTAACAAATAGCCATAAGCATTTTGCACGAAGTCACTTGGAATATCTGCTGATAATATATATTGGCGTATCGTTTGACAATTTCTTAAAAACTCTTCGTAATATACCGTTTGACTAACATGATTATATCCCTAAAGACTAAATTACACGTAAAAGAAAGTTAGCATCATTAACTTGTATACTTCACTACAATACATAGCCCATTTTAAACCATTTAGAATCTCATTACTATTCTTCCAAGTAATAGATTTTGTTTGAATAATTGTTGCATAAATTCTCATAGTTATATAAATACTTTTAAATAAATCAGTTGTCATTGTCTGAATAACAACAAGACAAAATACAAAAGAGAATATAATAGTTGTCACATTTATCCATGTGCATATGTCTCTCTCTCTCTCTCTCTCTCTCTCTTTCTATTCACGTAGGGAAAAACAAAAAAGAAAAAAATCACGTAGTTGTTTGTATTGGTGCATGGAAATCAACAAATCACAAAAGGTATACAAGTTAAAAGAAAGAAAGAAGAAGATGATCATACCATATTTTGTTAAAAAACAAAAAGTAGATTTTTATTTTTCATCACCGGTAAACATTTTATAAACACTAGTCAAAGTCAAAAGTAATGCATCGTCAGCATGTATTAAAATATTTCTGTGTGAGTTACTGTCATATTAGGATTGATATACGAAAAACCACGAAATGTATCTGCTGGTGTTGATAATAATAAAACTCTATCTTTTTGTTCGATTTCAGATAAACGTAGTTGTTCTCCACTGGGTTCCAACGATATTAAGGACTAAAATAGACAAAAGGAAATTGTATTGAAATTTCAGTCCGATTGAATTGACTAGTGAATCTGTTTGTTTTGTATTAAAAGAAAGAAAAAAAAAAGAATTGAATTGGATATTAAATCAGTGTAGACGTAACGCAAGAATTCAATTAGAATTTAAACTAAGAATAGCAACAGATTATTTAGTTGCCAAACGCAATATTATTTTTCGTCCAGGAGACGTAAATCAAAATCTGTTATCGAAAAATTCAAGAAAATTGTAGTTAGCTGTATGAATTATATTGTACGCTATGCGATAACTATATTTTCTTTCAAATATTATTACAATCAAAATTTGATTGATGCATTGATGAATTCAAATTTACTATTACGGATAATTATTAGAGTCAAAAACTTTAGATATACTATAGTCTTTAAACGGCTATTTTATGTCTAAAGACCTTGAACAACAGTCTATTTCATTATCTTATCACTTCAAAATTGTTGTACTTTTCGGGTGGTCTTCAAATGGGTACTGTGATACTTCTCAAAAATGCTAATAGAAATACGAATTTTTTATCTTGAAACTGAGCATAGCGATAAGTCTTAATGAAATTAGTTCATTGTGAAAATTCTTCATGTTCTAATTTGTTTCTTTCTTGAAGTATCAACATGAAAAAAATAGGTCGATTTATGTGAGCGAGTTACAAAACATTCTAATATCAGAACTGTATCTGGCAGTACCAAAAAGATGGCAACATGCAAAGCTTGTATCAGAAATTATTCTAATTATGAATAATCTTTACGGATACTTTCAGTCGAAAATTAATTTTTTCTGGTATTTCTAAGAAAAACCTAAGCATTCATTGATAACTATTCTCAGAATATGAATGACTTGCCGTAGAAACAAAGCGAAAGATATGGACTCTTTTCCGTCTAGTCTTAACTCAGTTCAGTATAAATTATGTTATAAATAGTCAATTGAGAATTATTTTATAAGTTAAAAGACTTGCTTCGTTTGTATAAAATCTAATCATATTTGAGGAAAAATATACTATTGGAATGATCGTTTCTCAAATTGTTTTTCATTAGGAAACATCTTATTTTATATTAAATACATACACTGGGAATCCATGGTGGGGGTACTCGACGATTTTCAATATTATTCAATGTATATGGTTTCCTAATAATATAAAAATAAATATTTTGCGATAGATATTCTCATTTCGAATTCAAATTACATAAAAAATGGTTCTTCATTCAGTAATCCTAAGGGCGAATTTTTATTTCCTAATCGTCGTTGTGGATCACGTTCAAGTAGACCCGAAATAATTCTTTTAGCTTCTATTGACATTGTTTCAGGATAGCAAACATCTTTAAACAGAACATTTTCTTCGACTTGTGATTCATCTTCATCATAGAATGGTGTTACAAATGTAAATAATTCATAAATCATAATACCCAATGACCACCAATCAACATTTTCATCATATTCAAAATGTTTATAGATTTCATATGCTATATATTCTTGTGTACCACAAAACGTTGTTGCTTTTGGTTGTTTATCGATATTTTCTTTACATAAACCAAAATCCCCTAATTTGATGTGACCGTCTTCAAAAACAAAGACATTTTCAGGCTTTAAATCACGATAAACCTATATCCGAAAGACAAATTCAATTAGAATAAAATAATTATGATGCAAGAGAAAGATACTGAAGAAAAATTACATACAAATGATTTTGAATGAAGAAATGAAAGCGCACAGGCTATTTCGCCAGCATGAAAAACAATACGTTCATAGGAAAATGGTCGAGGTGTTTGTTTTAACAGAATACGATAAAGATTGCCAGCTCTAGCGGCTTCCATTATAAAAAACATTCTATCAGCATTTTGAAACGCATAAATCAGTTGAGTTATAAATGGATTTGATTGACTTTCAGCCATGATTTTTCTTTCTAACATAACATAAGATAAATCATGTCCTTCTAGTACTACATTTTTACGCAGTACTTTCATTGCATAATAGTTTCGGCCATGTTGTACTAGATAAACCTATTGAATATTAGAAGAACAAAAAACATAAATATGAAGTCAAATAAAATCATAATTTAATTGAATTAAAGAATGAAAAGAAAACTAATCACAATACAGTATATCTAGTTCGAAAATAATGCTAGGTAGAAAAGTAAGAACTAAGAATAAAATTGAACAGTTTTAGTTTATTTTTTAAAAATATTAATGATCATTTTATTGAGTACTATGAATTTTGTTAAATAAAATGGCAGATAATGAATTACTTTAGCATATTTGTTTAGATGCAAAGTGAATTATAGTTTATATCTAATTGAACAATATTTTTTTGACTAACTGTAATAGAAAATAAGCAAAGAAAAATCTCTGGAATCAATTAGATTTATCTTTTTTTACAAGATAGTAACTAATGAAATAATAAATATTTCCATGAACATAAACGGTGAATCTTATTTTGAAATGTTTTATTATTTTGCAAAGAATTGTTGCCAATATTATTTTTGACATTTGGTTCAATTTAATTATTGTTTTGTATTTAGTTTATAGGAAAAAATTCATCGATTTTACCGTCAAATATAAAACATCTGTCAATATATTAATAGAAAGTCTAATTGAATAGTTTCCCGATAAGAGGAAGTGAATTATGTTTCAAAATGTTGCAGACATATTTTCAAAGAGTTTCTCCTTTGACGGCATGCTTCTTGTTTATAAAGAAATTTACTTTAAATAAATCTCTTGGCTATTATTCGACAAAGAATCTCGGAAAAGTATCAAATATGAATGATAAAACGTTTCCATTCATAATTTAAAAAGAAAAAAATGACAGTTAAAAGGATGCAATAGAATAGAAATGAAAATAATGATCGCGTTGAAAGAAAAATTTCCTTGGCAAATCATTTTTCTTGCGGCTAATAAATCAAGCGAAATATTTTTTATATCTTTGGAAGTATTTTCATCATTTCAATACGAGAAAAATTGTTCTCTTATTCATTGGCTAGAAAGTGTAACAGACAAGACTTACTGCTCCATTCATCCCATGTCCTAATGTGCGTAATAATCGAAATTGATTTATACTAAATCCAGATGTTACATTCGGTCGATAAGATTTCGATATACGTTCAATAGCTTGTTGGACATCTTGCTGCCGGTCGGTTTGATCAAGACTTGAATAAATATTATATAAATCTCCATTATATTGATAATTATTATCCGATCCATCATCATGCTAAAAGAAACTAAATTCTATATCCTTATATTTTATATTGGCGATCATAACCTTACCGTTTGTTTCCATTGATCATACAATGCTAAAACATTGTCTTCACATCCACAATAATTACCTACTTTTGCTATACATCGACGATGTACATTCATTCCGCAATCTAAATTTGAAAAAAAAGACAATTTGAGGCAAAATTTTTCTTTTTGAATACAATAAAGCCGTACGAGAACATTTATGTGGGTGGCCAGGTCGAATAAAACTTCCACAATGATCGCAAAAAACAGGTTTCAAAGAAAATGATTGCTGTTCAAAATAATGAGGAATATTGATTTTAAGCTAAATCAAATAGATTAATAAGAAATATCAGAACTAACAGACAAAATCTTACATCAGGATATTTTTTTCCTGTACATGGACACGCAAATCTACTATAACATCCTTTATGTACAACACAATGGCATCGTTGACATTGAAAACCTTGATAAGAAAAACCCCTTTAAAAATCAATCAAATAGACTATTTGCTTTAGTAAGAAACGCAAAACTGACCAAAGAAAATTCGAACATACAGAACAAAATGTTGGTAATTTAAATACTTTTGACAGAAATTCATGACCAAAATGTTTATAAATTCGTTGACGTCGTTCAGCATACCGATGACCACCTTGAGAATTGATTCCTGCACGACGTGTTTGTCCCGCAGAATCTATATATATATAACTATATGATTAAATTAATTAAAGAACACTACTTAACGAACTGACCTTTATATTTTATAATCATTTCAGATTGAGCGAGTGGTGTAAAATAAAACTAAATAAAAAGATGAAAGAAAAATTTTGATTGAAAATTAAGAAATAAAATTTTATACAAGATGTCGATGCCCATCAGCAATTTTTTTTAATGCATCTAAATCTGACTCAAATGTATATGTAACATCATTCCAATGGATTCGTATAATGATTTGCCGTTTTACTTTATGTAATAGACCAGCATCAAACGGAATGCATTTCTCTTTTTCCATAAAAATTGGGAATTTCACTTTCGCTGGTTCTTAAAAGTAACAATAAAATATCTGTTCTAATTTGTTGTTTTCTCTCACTTTCGACATTATTTCGTGTTGATCGATAACTTTCTTTGAGTTCAATTTGTGTTTGAACATTTGATAGATTTACATATTGATAATGATTATTATTATTATTTATTTGAAAATTTAATATTTGTATACGTAAAAATGGATGCAGCTGTTGTGACATAGCTATTAATATAAAAATATGTTCTTTGACAATCAAAATTTAGTACAATATTTCATACATGAATTAGTCGATTGAGAAGCAGCAACTTTCGAACGTATCGTCGACGTCATTTTTACATCGAAATAATGATGCTTACTAAACAAGTTTCATTTTTTCTTTATACGTCACTTTTTTTTGACAGTAAACATCATAATAGTGATTGAGAGGAAAAAGTCATGGTAAGATGTGCGACAGCATATTCGATAGTTTCTTTTTTTCTTTTCTTTATGTTTTTTCAGATCAGCAGAAGCCGATAAGGAGAAGACGAAAAAACGGTACAAAAATACACTGGTAAAAGAAAAAGAACAGACCAACCGAAAAAGAAACGCAGCAGTTTATGTTTGAATGAGAAATGAATGATTTGGTGTGTTTGGAATGAAAGAGAAGGAAAATTATTTTTATGATATTTACTTTATTCAGAAATTGATAAAGAAAAATCATAAAATTTATCTTCATCCATAGTAAGCGTAGCGAATTGTGATTGTTCGTCAATATGTGATAGATGAGGTGACTGCGTTGATGAAATCACTTCAAGTGGATTGGAACGGATCTAAAATAAATCAAGTTGATAACTAATTGAAACCTATAAAACTGAACAGATATACTGGTGTTTTTAATGGACATTTAGATGCTCGTTTTTCAATTTCTCTTAATGAATATTGCGATAAATAATAATCATTTGACTCAAGATCATGGCATCAAAAACGTTTTGACGGATCTTTGATTAATAAACCCTTTAAAATTGCTTGCAGACCAGATGAAACAGTATTAGGACATTCGAATTCATCGTTAATAATCTTTTGTTCTATTACCGCTGTTTCCAAACTGAAAGAACGGAGTTATTCCTTCAACCATTTCATCGATCACTATACCCAATGGCCAATAGTCAACAGTAAAACTATAAGGAACTTGATGAAAAATTTCTGGTGCTACATATAGAAGTGTACCACACAATGTAGATGTTTCTTTGTTTTCAGAAATCAAGCTCTTACTAAAGTCAAAATCTGCTAATTTTGCATAACCATCAGACATTAAAAGAATATTGCCAGGTTAGAGGATATTTAAGAAAGATGTTCACTTGTGATACGTTTCATATTCTTATTTGTTGAATTGACAATTTTTCAAATAGATCATTGATGAATATATAGTTTTCTCTATTTTATATCGAAAAATATCGATAGCAATTATTTCCATTGCCATATAAAATTCCATAATCTGATATAATATTATTTTAGTATAGTTATTTTTAGCTACAATCATAAAATCTACATATTATTTCCAATCATATCTCTTATATATATACAAATCTTACATTAAGACATCGTTAATTTAGTATTTAAAGATGCAGATAAACAGATCGATTAACAAGAGACGCATAGCCACATCGTGATTTATTTCATTTAACATCTGCATACTATCAGAGAATCCATTCCGATCAAGTAGGAGAAATAAGAGAGGTTACATTTGTACGAGATATACAAGTTATTCAACCTAAGCACACTACATTAATCCTTTTCTTTCTCTTCCGATATACAATTATATTAATGTAGAAAAGTTTTTTAGAATTTTAGAATTTCTCTCGATTTAATACAAGTAACGCGTCGGCTCCATAAGCCTCGCTTAGCTCAATCCTGAAAGTGCACGATAGAGGCAATATGATCATACTCTCAAAAACAAAATGATACCGTAGATGGTAGCAGTATAACTAGGATTTGAGGCTCGGATTAGAGTTGCCCGTACGCTTTCTAAAGATAAATAAAGGTAGCGTTATTTTTGTGGAACTCACATATGTTTTCGACGAAAATAGCGAGTGTGCGTTTGATGTCGAGGTTTTCTGACTACCCGTCCACGCCTTACACATTCCACGTTCAAATTGAATAAGAATCAGCTTAATGATTCCAATCTCACCCTTTGTAAAAAATAACTTCTGCATATGCTGGTAAAACCACGAATTAGGCAAACCAAACCAGCTCCGCGTCATTCGAGTACCGCACTCTTTCCATTAGAAAAAATCCCTACTGTAGCCTTCTTACTCCAAGTTTTTCAAAACATTAAGTGAATACAGTTTCAACAAAATCA